GGTAACCAAATGCTGGCTGTTGAGGTTTCCCGGGCTGTGGTCTTCGCATTCGGCAAATCGGACGAAAATAATGGCTTCTGCAATTGAACCGCTAAAGACCAGACTTAGGAACCAAGCTCACTTTGCGGGTTCCGTTCCAAACCTCCTCAAAGTGAGAATCGAGGAATAATCAATACGTCACAAAGTCACACACAGCCCTAAGAGATCACAGAATATCTTTAAACCTGACGGCCTGTTTCGGTCTCCTCGATTTCACATTGCGCCTGTATTCGAAATCAAAACCCAGTATCCTCCCTCACGTTCAGCATCTTTCACCTCAAAGACCCCAAGATGACACGATGTCAAAAGATGCTCCACAAGCTGCTTCATATTTTCAAGAAGAAAGCGCCAAAATACTCTGTCATACCTTGTTTGGACGAGCGCATTTTGGAGAAGATCTACCAACACCTCTCCCTAGTGGATCAAGTCTGCCTATCCCTCAGCTGCAAAGACCTTTTCAGCCTATTCGGGAAGATAGTGAAGCACAAAGACCTTGAATTCCCACGACTTCTGCGTATCAGGATTCCAATACTCTGCGTGAACAGTCCACATGTACTGCGAAATCAACTCCTTCTTCGACTCGAAAATCACCGCTGGGCCTACTGTGCAAAGTGTTTGAAGCTCCATCCGCGGGCGGAATTTACGAAATATTCACTGGGGAAGTCAGCTCTGGAGAGATCCTGCACATTCAAAGCCGGTATAGTTGATATATGTCCGTGTATTTCTCTGACAAGGCGAGGTCGGGACAGGCTTATCAAGATCCTTAAATCGCGCGCGACTCCAGCCAAAACCAAATATGGCCCATTAGGGTATAATTTTGACAATCGAGGACAACCTGGCCTCCGCCATGCTTGTATATTCAGTACTCGGTCTAGTTACGATGCAGAGTTTACTGCGGTCTTATTCATTAAAGAAAGCGGCCAGTTATATGTAGCTGGTCGACATACTATAACTTTCTATTTCCCTGACGCTCATCTCTCAGCTGAACCTACTTTTGCTTGTCCGCATCAGGAACTCCTACGTCTCATCCCCGATGATCAAAATATGCACAATTCCCTCATGCAACGGACTTTGAACTATTCAAAACCCCATCAGAACCTCCTCTCTCTTGTTCCCCCAACCCTGGCCCCAAAAGCCTGTCCCGTATGCCAGACTTTAATCGCAAAATACCCTTTGCCTGAAGACATGAAGCACGCTGATTTCTGGGTGGTTCGAAATCTGGGAGGCTGTGGACGGCATGCTGATTATCCTTGGTCTGATCAGTGTCGTCAAACCGGAGGGCTGTTTTTGACCAATAAATTATACTGGTGAGTTGATTGAAGTGTTCGTGGAGAAGGAAGTATTACTAAACTTCTCATAAGGTTTCGATCGAAGAACCTGTATAATATGAATCAAGGTGTTTATGGGCGGTGGGAAAGAGATTACTGCGTAGAACAGCGAAGAGGGATGTATCAACCCATGAACTGCCGATGAGGGAATCTAGATAGCTGGTAGCATCTCAGTGCTGCTTCTTGCGGTGTCTTGTCGATGAGGACGTTGGGCGGATGGTGTTTGGTGAACTTGGGATCGGGCCAGCGTCGAGGATAAATAATCGAACACCATGAGTAAATTATTGTTGGAGTCTATTGGTTAGAAGACCAAGTAGAGCTTGTATCATGAACGATAGATTGGATGGTAAAGCGTAGAGATGATTAGATACGGCACCTCAGATATCCATTGTCGCACAAATATAAAGACTTATTACGTGAACCCTTTGGAAATCCCCGACGAAATAGAACGTGAAAATACAATATCCTCTGGCCTTCGCTCTGAGAAACACCCTTAGCCAGTAATGTTATGATAGTTAGGCTATTCAAGAAAAAATGTGCGGACCTTTGCTTCGAGCTCATCTCTCGAATAACATATATATCGAACGAATTTTCGAAAGCGGACAAAATTCCACCAGAAGAAGTAGTTCAAAACCGCAAAAAAAGCATAAATTATCTTCTCATGATTTATGAGATCCCCTTTGGAGAATTTTCAAGCAAAAAAAGCAAGAGCAGGAGAACGCAAATGAATTCCTTCTGGCAGGCGGCTCTGGCTACAAAAAGGCAGTCAAGTCGGCATAGTGTACATCCATTACTCCCAAATCAAGGGTGTCGGCTTCTTTCAACGATAAAGACTACGTTTATTGTTGATGTAAAGTGCATTATATCACAGTCTGACCGTCTCGATGTTTGACTACATATCAACAATTGCCGCTAATGAGCATCCATCTACATCATCAGCCAATGGAAATGGGGCCCTTGAATGACAGCTCCTCGCTACGAAAGGCCAGTCAAGCAGCGCCTCGGAGAATTAGGCCGCTTCCCAGTCAGCAGCACCGCCAAGGGCGCATAAAAATCATCTTACTGGGCATGAGAACGCAGCCGCCTCTCCCTCCCTCCGTAAGAGACCAGCCCTACGAATGGCGTAAATGGTGGTTTGCAACATACTGACTGTTCTGTACATAGAACGGTGGCTTTACACTCGATAGCGCATCGCCACCCTCTTGCGTCATTTCAATCACTGCCAACACAGCAGCTATCCCCTAATTGAATATGAGATCTCGGGCCCATCGAATTCGACCGGGGTAGTGAGATGGCTGCGCGGGTCAGATTGGAATGGCGCGCGGATCGGCCGCCTCACTTATTGGCGTCACACCCCATCACAGTCACAGCCAGGGGCGTGTCAATGTTAGTCACGGTGGTGGGCGTTTGGAGGTGTTTATCCTTGTGGGCTATCAATTTTAAATGAGAAATTTGTTTCTCCGTATCCTATACTACCGAGAGGTGGTAGACGGGAGATGAGACCTAGGGTGGAGGGTTCCCGAATAGGAGACACGGCCGAGGGGGCTGGGAGGATAATCAAAATCACAATAATATTGACTGTGAAGGGGTCGCGGAAAGAAAAAGAAAAGGTTAAGAAGAAAAACATGGGAGCGTAAACAAAGAAAAGTCGAAGCGAGATATGATTTAGGGGAAAATCCGTTATCCGAGAGACATTACTCCGTACACGATGACTTCATGACTATTTAGGGTCTGAGGGGAAGATTACAGGACGTGGTTTCTGCCCAATGTGCGATGGAAGTGAGGAAGCAAGGCAACCTGCCTAAAAATGCTCTCAAGATACAAATTCGAGTCCAGCTATACTATGATAGCGGTGAGGTACACCTTATCACCAAAGTACTACCCTCGAATCAAGTCACACGTTAGTATCGTTCACCGCCGAGTGCGAGGTTGGGTTGCACATGACCAGCGCTTCGGGATGCCCGGATTACCTGACCCCCGTGATTTAATGACAATACATACCGTGTGAATACCGTACGATACGGGTAATGTAATAAGGAACGTGATGACTCCCCCTCGGAAAAGGCCAGCCAGAAACCACGGCAGGGCGGAATTAGCCCCCACTAGTCCGCTTGTTGCTCAAGATGGCCAATCAGAAGTCGGGTTGGGCAGCGACGGGTTCGTGTTGGCTAGGAATAATAGTCACAACAGTGATGTAAACATGTGTAAGTTTGGGTAATGTCTCGACCAGTCCCGTAATCCCAGGGAAATCAGCCAAGTGCACGCTGGATCATGTAATGTATCCAACTCACTCTCCACTCGCTCCAACAGCCCACGCTGATACGTCGTTCCCCGATGAGCCGGACCAGCCAGAAATTGACCATCCAGCCAGTACAAAATGCCCCGTCCCGCCCGCCCTTTTCGCCTTCCTCCTCTGCCTCTTCTCGTTGGTTGCCCGCCCTCTCCAGCCTGTTCACCCTCCAACCATCGCACAGCGCTGGCCACCCTTACTTCCGCCGTTTGGTTTAATCTGATTTCCCCCCGTGCCATTCGTCCACTCACTCTCTGGGTTGACTGGTCTGTTCTGGCACATCGTGGGAGAAATCCAATCACTGTTCTTCTCCTTTTGATCTCATTCGACGTGGTTTACCGTTTTCCCCCCCCCCACGGTTGGCACTCCAGTGTACGACAGTTGGACAGTCGACGACTGGATCGAGTACAGTACTCAGCAGCTTAGCTATAGTACACTTCGAAGTACTCTAGTCTACTGCTCAGAGTCCTATCATCGAGGATTCCTTCGCAGACCTTTATATCCATAGGTAGGTTTTCTATCAAAATTGATCGTTTTATTCTATTGCCTATCGCCTCTGCCATTCGGAGCTTGTTACTTTTGCTTTTTGCCTGTGCCTATTTCCATTTATTTTGATTCCATCTTGCATCTCTCGAGTCCCGCAAAGAAAGGCATTGGGTCCGAGCTTTCAAGTCCATGAACGACCTTCGTCCTTGTCCCATCTACTCGTTCCATCATGGCTTCTTGTCCCCGTGACTGCCTCGTGCGGCTCTTGAACCCTTGCCCAAAGAGACGACAAAGAACGAGTCCAGCATTCCTCGTTCCTGCCGTGTAAACATCACCCTTTCCTTATCGCACTGGAGCCCATTCTTGCTTTTCATTTGTCCAATCTCTTTTCCCCCCCTTCGCCTCAAGCTGTTTCGCGGAACTGGCCGGGCCTTGACATCAGTGGCCCCCAGTCGCGCACAGAACCCGGCACCACCGCCTTCTCGTTGGCACGTTTCCTTCGATCTCCCCTCTTTCCCCCCCCCCCATCCATCTTCTGCCATCGTCAAATCACCGTCTGGCTGGAATCCCTTGATCACTTCGGATTGGAAGTCCAACGGAGAATATCCACGTCCTGGCCCTGTGGTTCTCTTTCCCCCCCCCCCATCCCTCTTTCCCACCCATTAAGGTAATGCTCCCAAGCTTTTACCCCCCTCCAATCCCACGTTGCGCGCGCGCTTTTAGTGGCCCGTGGCAAAACACAACACACGCGCCCTCCACTGACCGTTGCCCATTGCCCGTCTGTCATTGCCCACTCCAATTGCCCTGTCCATCCACACTCAATCCTCCCGGTCGCATGCAAAGCGCCTGCGTGTTTCATGGTCGGTCCTGTTTGATCGTTATTGGCTCTCTTCCCTGTTATACGCGCTCCTCTGCTCTTTGTCCGTTTAGTCTTGCGTTCAATACCCGACCTCGTCGCTTGTCGCACGCGTCGGTCCCTGGCATCGTTGACATCATCCTTCGAATGCGTGATCTAACATTTGTCTCTTTTCTAGAGTCGCGACACTGATTCGCTAGACGCGATCAGCTTCGCCTCATTATCTGTCCTGCCTCTGCAGAAGTCGATCGCTTCAGGTATGTTCGCGACCTGCAGCCTTTTACCCAATTCTTGTGCCAACGCATACATCGCCTCCCCTCTCTTTCCCTGACTCTCCTCTTCCTCTCTGCCTTGGGTTGCCCGGCCTATCCTGGTCGAATCCAACTTCCCCCTCCTCCTTAGTCAACATGCTCTCGCTAGGATCATCATTGCCTCCCTACGCAGTCCCTCCGTTCGGGACTATGGGCAGCCCATCTCTTGCTTTTATCCAAAATGTGACATGCTAATGTCATGTTAGATCTGATTCGTGGAGCTCTTTGACTGCCGTCCTGACCGAGGTGCATCAACTCTTTCACGATCCGCTAGTCCGGCCCACATTGTGTCGCGTCCCCGGATTTTGCGTTCAAACGTGACAAAGCCAAGAGGTAAGAAAGAAAAAGAGAAAAAAAAAGCCTTCAATTCCCTAAGAGGACTTCCCTCGGTGACCGAGGAAGCCTGCCCCTCCGTGCCTGATTTCGGTTTCCCCCGGCGCAGCCCCAGCGGGGTGGCATCATCAAGGCGACTGGTTCTGACAACGCATCAAGCACTATAGTCGAGGGGTACCCTGCTGCATCACAGCCCAACCACGTTACACCCGTGGCTATATACCGATTCGCACAAAAGAGTCAACCCCCTCCGTTCGAGACGCGTCGTTGCTCGAGAATTAGCCTTGATCCTTCGGGACCAAACATTACGCCTATATTCGACTTTCCCCTCTCTGCAGTGCCTGCAGTTTAAAGTATGTCATGTCACTCATCCTATCAGCTCTGCCCAATCCATTCCTCCTCCACCCTGCGGATCCAGTGACCGTATCCTGCTGCGCTCTTGCTGACGTGATCCACCGAGGCTGCAGACTATCGACTCCCGCTTGTCGAATCACCGCGCGATTACGCTAACTTCTGGAGGTGACTAACCATCGTACTGCACGCGCTTGGAGTGATATCGACCCAGCACGTCTGCCAAACAAAACCCAGCAGACTCACTTCGATCTCCCCTTGGTTGCTATCGCGCCCCAAACCCACCGCGGCGCCTAGCTCCCCTATACCAGTCCCTTTGATAGGTGATTCGGATTGGCAGATCGCCACGCGAGCCAATCTCTCGTGCCTGTCATCCCAACCTCCAAACCCCGGTACCACACGCGCGCGTCGCCTGTGTGACGGAACCTTCTCTGGACCTTCCCCCGAAGTTTCTCAAGACCCCCCGTCAACATGGAGTATCCTCCGCAGTACCAACAGCCTCATGGCCAACATCCACATGCCCCTCCACACATGCCCGGTCCATACCAATCTGGACCGCAGCAACCTGGTGCGCCTGTTGGATCGATGACCTCACCCACAAACCCCCAGCCCCCCATGCAATCACAACATCCCTCCCATCAGACGTCACCGATCGTCCCATCGCAACAGCATTACCAGCAGGCACAGGGCGGACCTGGTGCGGTTCACCAACAGATGAACTTCCCTCAGGGCTATGGCGTCTCTCCCGGTATGCCCCAGCCCTACGGTATCTCGCCGACGCAGGCTGCCGCGATGGCCACTGCTGCCGCTTCTGGACAATTCTACCCTCTTCAGCAACACGACGGTATGGGGGGTCAGATGGCTCCTGGGACACGAGGGTCGCCGCGTATGGCCGGTGTGCCCATGAAGGCGGATCGGAATCCCCGTTCCCCTCCCCAAATGCCTGGCCAGATGCCCCCGATGGGTTCGCAGGTTCAAATGCCGAACCAGCAGATGCCTCCTGGTCGCCGGATGAGCCATATTGGTAGCCCCAACGTACCGAGTGCCCAGCCGGTGATGAGCCACGTTGGCCGACCCTCCGTCGCCCAGTCCATGCCCGGTCCGGGCCAGGCTGCCATCCAACAGAACCAGCCATCGCCCGAGATGGTGCCTGGTGGTAACCAGGAAGAGTCACCGCTATATGTCAACGCCAAGCAGTTCCACCGCATTCTTAAGCGCCGAGTTGCGCGCCAGAAGCTCGAGGAGCAGCTCCGACTTACGTCTAAGGGACGTAAGCCGTATCTGCACGAGTCGCGACACAATCACGCCATGCGCCGACCCCGTGGCCCCGGCGGCCGTTTTCTGACTGCCGACGAGGTTGCCGCGATGGAGAAGAAGGCTGCCGAGGGTGATGGTGATGCTGCAGCTGATCTCGGCAAGGAGAACGGATCTGCTGGCCAAAAGCGGAAATCAAGCGAGGGTAATGACGACGGTGGTAGCGCGAAGAAGACCAAGACGAGCGCCAGTGCCGATGGCAGTGAGCAAGAATCGGCTGAGCCGTCCGATGAGGATGGTTGAATGTAGCAGCTCCTTCTCGCCCTGGTCGGTTGCCCGTGTGGTCACCGGCTTAAACTAGGGCCACTCACCAAGATTGATTTTGAGCTTTGAGCATGACCGGTGTCTGTCTTGGTGACGATGTTTAAATTAACTCTTTGTCTTTTTTTCCTATGTCATTGTTGGTTTTTCTTTTGTCGAGACTAACGGCTTATGGATGGACGTCTTTGGAACCCTCTTTTATTTACTTATAGCGAGCGATGTGTACGGATGACCTCTTTCCCCCCCCCCCTTTTTACCTCTTATCACGCCACTTCTGTTCTCCACTTGACGTGCTTCTCAACTTCTTCTTCAATTGGCCTATTTATACCTTTTCTCATCCCGCGGACTAACTTGACCCATGATCTTTGTCAATAGCTGTCGATTACTGGAATGATGTTTTTGTTATAGGTTGTCACCTTTGCGCTGATCTTATCATCTTTGCCGGATCTGCCCGAGCTGGTCCTCGCGTTTCTACAATCGGGACAGTACCTGTCTCGGAGCACCGTGATGGACGGACTCTCCCCTCGAAGAAAGTCAATGTTTATAAGGGCCTTGGGCCCTCCGTGGGACTGTGGGAATGCGACTTATTTAGGCCGAGGCCAGTGAAATGTTAACCGTGACGAATTTCTCACCTTTTTGTCTTCCCCTTCTACTTTTTTTCCCATCAACACTTGCGTTGTCTTGGGGGTTATCTGTCTGTTTTTGTGTTTTTCTTACTAGCCCTTCCCACACCACTCCCCCTTGTCTTATGCTATCGGTGTCTATGCGATGCGCGCTTTATATTTCGAAATTTGGTTGGGACATTAGAGAGGTTCTCCTTCATTGGAAAAACAGGTTCAAATATCTTTTCTTCTGCTGATTATGACGTCGTTACTTTGGGATTTGTAGGCTATGGAAAGACGAGGGGTTTCTCTTTTCTTATTTGACTGCTTTTGTAACTGCTCTGATGTCAATGTCATAGGATGTGTCTTGGATGTTGATTGAATTGGATATGATATGCACTGTGTTTCAGAGTTATGGCAATGGTTTGGTTGTACATTTGTTCTGAGTTTGCGTATGATCAGATCGGAATGAAGATATTGTCTTCTGAAGAGAAATTGATATACCCCAGGGGAAGTAATGGAAAAAATCAAGCACTCACTGGGTATTCGCTATCAAAGTCACTAGCTAAATCGACTCACTACAATGAATTACATGTTCACATCATAGGCCTCGGACCAGCCTAAAAGAACACCAGAATTTACGCAAACCCGTCCCAAAGGAGAAAGAAGAAGACCATATAATACCAACCATGGCATCTCTTCTCCTCCCCCTGTCTGGCAAACACTCAAACAGCCTCCCAATCCATCGCATCAACCATAAACTCCCACCCCTCCTCCCTTCCCCCATCCTCTACATCCTCCCCAACCCTCCTACACAATGCAACATGTTCCCTGGCCCTCACAAACCCCTCCTCTAACCCCGCAAAAATGGCACTCAAAATCCCCTCCAAATCATAACTCTCCAAGGGTCTCACAACATCCCGATCACCCACCGGATCCCTCGACACCTGATCCCTCGTCATATCAGCCGTCTTCCACCGATTGCGCAACTCCTTCGCTTGCCGCAGTTGTTCAAAGGCACGACCACTGCCCAGCACGGGCGTTAACGGGCTGGTCTCTTCCTCGAGCGCAGCGAGCACATTCGCATGGTATCGATGCAGACCTGCATTGTTGTAGGCGCGCCCGCGCGCCGAGGAGACGGTGATATTGAAAACGGCGAGCAAATGGACAATCGCACGTTCGAGGAGGGCGTAGTATTCGAAGAAATCGATTTTAAACATGATTTCTGCCTCTGGGTTTCCGTGGGACGTTGCGAGGCGGTAGGCTTCGGCGAGGAAGGGGAGTTTCCAGCGGAGACGGGAGACGATTTTCATGAAGCGGGCTAGTTCTTCGGCTGGGGGGAGGAGGGTGGATTGTGAGGGGGAGTGTGATTGTGTGTATGAGGGTCTTGCTGGGGATGCGGGGACGCTGTGGGTGCGTGGTGAGTTGGATTTGCGTTTGGATTTGCTTCGGGGACGAGGGCGGTGGTGGTGAGTGCCGTTGCTGGAGGAGTGGGTGTCATGTTGGTTGTAGGGATCGTAGGGGTCGCTGTTGCCTGGTGCCCAGCGGGAATGGAGGAGGGAGGTCATCGGGTAGTGAGGTTGTTTAAGGTGTAAGGATATATGGGGTACGGTAGTTTTGTTGTATGGTAGTGACGGAGTGGGTTGGATTGGGGTGCACGGGCCTTTTGGGGATTTGGAGATGATTGATAAGGGTGATGAAGCTTGAGATTTGAGATTGAGATTGAGGGTTAAGGTGTGATTGGTTGGTTGTGGGTAATGAGGTATGTTAGTGATGATGTCTGGAATATTTGAAGGTTGAATTTGGAAGATAGTCGCGTGTGTGAGACGATGAGAATGTAACCAGCGGTGTTGGGCGTCTTCTTTATGTTGTGCCGAGGCGAGTCGACGGAGTGGCTTGGTTGGTCAGGGACGGGTGTTGCTGGTAATTTTGGGTTGCGTGTGCCAATGGATGTCTCCATAGATGATAGTCACAAGTAGATTTGAGGTATGCAAATTCTATGGAATTAGAAGATTGTCCTGATGAGTGGGAGCTCCCGGGCTTTGTATAAGGTGTGCGGGTAGATCTGGAGATCGCTCAGAGATAGGCGTTTCTTATCTTTTAGTATCAGCCAGGGACAGACTCAATAATCAAAATAAAATGGAATAGAAAGGTTGAAGGATAATAGTGGCAAGATATCATTTCTAAAAAGCACCTGGTAGTCCTCATATGGAACTAACCATTCAGGGTCTTCAACGCATGTTAGGCTTTGTTCCTCAAGATTATGAATCATCAGCGGGACAAAGGAGTGGCCATTGAACTATGCTCAGTACTTATCACATGTTGTGGTCCTTTTTGCAGCTAGGAGGACTTCTTCCAGATTCTAGTCAAGAGCCTGTTATTCTGAGTGTACTTGCTCGGATACGGCGCCGATAGTTTCAAGTAAAGCATTATTGGTCAATTTATTCCGGGCTTCATCCTTGAGCCTTGAACGATTACTTTCTAGAGTGACCTACAGCTTCCAATTCCAAACTGCTTTGGTTACTGCAATTTATTTGCAGTGTTTTCTTTCATTGTAATGAGGATTTCTCCGTTCCATGGCCGCTAAGCGCCAGTTCGGTTCGACCTATCAACCAGATGATTCCAGCAGCCAGACTGCCAAGCCAGCCATGCCAGGGTCATTGAAGCTCGGATCAAGCAACGCCGAAATGATTATGCTGGTCAAGCCCACAAGTTCTAGCCCGCCCCAGGAATACGGAGGACTCGTCGGCAATGTCTTTCGTATCTTGCTGATTGGGGCCTGAGCCATCAGGGCGTTTGTTTGAACTGAGACACTTCAACTTTCAACCCACTCCCCCTTGACCCCTTGACTTTCTCAACCTCTTTCCTTCCATCTCTATCTCTCCAGAAGCCCTGAATCTTCTGCTTATTCCCAGCAAACCCCCTGCTAATTGCTTTGTGTGCCTGTCTCGGGCTCGGGATTCTCATCTGGTCCAGCCATCAGGTTGGTCATCAGGTGACCGGGTGATCCGTGCCAATCCAGGAACCACGCTAGCACCATTCAGGATTAGCGCTTCTCCAGCTCTCTCCAACTCCAACCTTCCAGTCACTCCAGGTGATCTCACTGTCACTCTCCCTCCACTCTACGCTGGAGCTATCGTTGTTGGCTTCCATTCCAATCGCCAACTTTACTGGGCTTCTCTTGTAGGTGGCCTGTCCCTTTTTCTTCCTTCGCTTCCTCTTCTGCCTCTGCCATTTGCCGTGTTGGAACGGCTTTCTTGCCTTGTGATCGTCCCCATCTCTCCGTTCTTCCGCCATCGCAAGCTCTCCCACCCATCCTCATCCCTATATTCCGAACGTTTTTCCATATCCTCCTTGTCCAATTCTTCTTTTTCATTGCGATTCATGGTCCCGGTGTTCCTGATAGCGCGGCGTGCGCTATCGCCAGGCTTGCGGGACTCATCATGACTCTTCTTGCTTGGTTCGGGAGTCCTCCGTGAGCGGACTATCTTCATCATCTCTCTTTACTTTCCCCTCCCGCTGTGACCATGTGGCAATGGTGCGGTCTCAAACTCGATGGCCGCTGAATTGATAGCGCCTTCTTTCAATTCTCAATTTACCTTGCCCTACTTTCTTTGTCTTTTCCCCCACAGCCCCCGGCAATCGGCCACGTGCCGCTCTTCCGCTCTGTCTTGCAAGTTTCGTGGCCTGTTATTGACGATGCCGAATATTAGCTTTCCGCGCCCTTTGCGACAACTTTGATCGAGATCGCAGGAGATTCTCGTTGACGTTTGCCTTACCGCGTCGGAGCCCTTCACAGCTATCTGCGGCTGGAGCCGTGATCAAAAGAGAAATTCGGAATCGCTGGGATAAGACAAGATGGATTCATATGAAGGCTATGATGCATCTCCCGGAAGGAACCGAGATGCGGATCCATTCTCCGGAAGAGGACCAGCGGAGTACCACCGCCGATCGCCAGGTATGTCGCTATCACATGGAGGGTGTCTATTCGGTGAAGGAAGAGCAATGTTGTATATTGACCAACAATCTTAGCTTCTCAAGATCGCCGTGGCCGTGGTCGTGGCCGTTCCCGCTCTCCCATGATTGACCGCTACGAGCCTTCCGAGCGCCGCCCCCGAGATGACTTCTACAACAACCCCCGTGAACACGCTGCTCGTGATCGGGAAGATCGCCGACGCGCCCATTCCCCCAATGTCATGAACATTGACCGTTACGTTCCCGGCCAAGACGCCGGCAAGCGTCCACTCCCAACGAACCCTCTTCCTGACCCGCTCAGTCTGGACTTCCAAGTCGGTTTTACCTGGTTTGCCGAGTGGTGGAGAACCGAACAAGCCATAGGCGAGGAGAGGGAGCGCTCCAGAAATGGCGGCCGCCGTGTCAAGGGCGAGCGCGAAGCTCGTGAGGACCGAGATAAAGAACGGGCGCAAATTCAAGCTGCATACGATTCATACAAGGTCGACCTACAAGTCAAGCTGGCAAGGGCATTCGTGCAACAACACCGCGAAGAAGAATGGTTCAAAGAGCGGTACAACAATGAAGTGCGCGACCCGATCCGCAATCGTCTGCTGGACTTCCGAAGGTGGGCCTATGAGCAGTGGGAGCGGGATCTTCACGGCGGATTGTTTGATGATTTTACCCTCGAGGGCATCTACAAGAGCGAAAGCGACGGCGCTGGTGGCGTGATTGAAAAAGAAGAAGGCGAGGCCACTGCCGTCGGTGAAACATTGGGAGTTCTAGATCTCCTCCCCGTTCGGGGAGGTGAGCTTCGCGATGAGGCTCTATCTCAACCTGCCTTGCTTATCAAGACTCTTGCGCCAAATGTGAGCCGTGACAAGATCGAGGAATTTTGTAAGGAACACCTTGGAGAGAATGATGGCGGGTTCAAGTGGCTCAGTCTAAGCGATCCCAACCCGTCCAAGAAGTTCCACCGTATGGGTTGGATCATGCTGCATCCTGGTGGCGACACAACAAGTACTGTGGAACGCGGAGATGGTCGTGAAGAGGAAATGGATCATGACAATGGTTTGACTGAAATCGTGACTGTCAGTGCTGCTGAGAAGGCGCTAGAAGCTGTCAATGACAAGACAATTCACGACCCGGTACACGGCGATTTCACCTGTCATGTCGGCGTTCATGTTCCTCCATCCCAGCCCCGTAAGAAGGCTCTGTGGGACTTGTTCTCTGCGCCGGAGCGCATCGACCGCGATCTTGAGCTGGCTCGACGATTGGTTGCTCGGATGGACGGTGAGATGGGAAGTGTGGATGGTTTCAGCAAGATCGAAGAACGTGTCGAGGACCTTCGCGGCAAGGGCTGGCTCCAGCCTCCCGTGACGGGCCCCGTCAGTGTCAAGAAGCACAAGAACGGTTTCAATGACGACGACGTTGATGAAGGCGAAATGGAAGAGGGCGAAGAGCGAGAAATCTCCGTGGATGACGATGTTGACGACGAAGAGATCCTGGCTAAGAAGAAGAAATTAGATCTGATGGTCGAGTATCTGCGCCGTGTTCACAATTTCTGTTTCTTCTGCGTTTTCGAGAGCGACTCTGTTCATGAGCTTAGTCGCAAATGCCCCGGTGGTCACCTTCGCCGTCCCCGCACCGGCCTCTCCAGTCAAGCCAAAGAGGTTGCTCGTGCCAGTGCACTAGGGCAACCCTTCCCTGTCAAGAAGAAGGAGCCGAGCGAGGACGGAGAGGAGCGGGCTTCACCGGTGCAGGAGCGTCGCCCTCAGCGTGTTCCCAAGTCGGAGCAACAGCTTCAGCGCGCATTCAACTGGGTCAAGACATTTGAGGATAAGCTGTTGCAAATCCTAGAGCCTGAAAATGCTGACCTGCGCAAGCTTGGCGGCAAGCCTGTGGAAGAGGCTCTTGACGAGGAGCTTGCCAAGTATGTCAAGCAGGAGACCGACGACCGGTACCGATGCAAGGTGCCCGAATGTACGAAGCTCTTCAAAGCGGAGACATTCTGGCGCAAGCATATCGAGAAGCGTCACGCCGAGTGGCTCGACAAGATTCGGCAAAATGTAAGTGGATCGTTGCATGTCCAAAGCTTCATACACAAACTAACCGCCATCGCAGCTCTCCCTCGTGAATGCCTACGTTCTGGATCCTTCACGCATCGCCCCATCCCGTTCCGATGCCAACAGTAACGGACACTTCCCCCTTGCTTCCGGTCATGGCCAAGGTGGAACCCCCCGTGGATTCAGCCTGCAGAACGTGCCTTACCTCGGTAACCCAGGAGCTCTTCCTGGCGGATTTCCACCAGGCGGCATGCCCGTCATGGGCGCGGGTGGCGCCTGGGGCGGCAATGGCATGGCTGCTGGTGATGGCGCACACCTGCACCAACCCGGCGTCATGCGACGTGGCGGACACCGTCAACATAGCCATCGTGCTGGCCCTTACGACCGTCGCCGTCCTCCTAATAGCAGTGGACGCCTCAGCCCCGTTCGCATGCCCATGTATGGTTCCGGCGGCCGTCTCCCTCCTGCCAACTTCTCCGTACCCCCTGGCCACCCAGCCGCGACCATGGTCCCCCCCAACCCCTTCCCTGATGCTATGGGTGGTGGCGGTGGTGGCCCACAGGGCATCCCACCGCGTGAAGCAGTACAGGGCCGCAGCCTCAAGAGCTACGAGGACTTGGACGCTGTAGGCGGATCCGGCAGCGGAGAGCTAAACTATTAGCTACACTCACTTCTTCAACCCCTTTCATTCACATCTAGCTACACTTCATTCTCTGTCACAATTTTCCTTGTTTCTTGACATCTACCTTCCCTTCCGTTTCCCCTTTTTTTCTCTATCAACAAATCTCGCTGGCGTCGGCGCAAAGGACGGATTGGGTGAATCTGTCGGGTGCGTCTTAAGTTTTCTTTTTGGTGGTACACCACATCTTGCTGCGGGGATATCTACCTGTGGAATACTTTCATATCTTTTGTCTGGCTATCAGCACCTTTATTTCTTCAGTCGAATGTTCCAGTCTGGCTTGCGCCTTGCATGTACAATATCAGTCATCGATGGACAATCGAGAGGCAAATGGAAGATTGAAATCCAAATATTCCCCTGGACTTTGTAGAGAATTTGGATAACGGTCTTGTACCTCTCTTACAGACAGGACTCTAGAATTGATGTCCCTTCTATCGTGATATTTCCCCATAAATAGCGATATTCAAATTCATAACCTCATATCAGGGTATCTCTTGTCTATTTCAAACCAACATTTCAACTCCACATGACACCCCAGCCCCATCGAAGAAACCAAATATAACCAAACCCCTCAAATCGCTTCGTAAAGACTCTTCATGGCATCTGAATAACAACCTCCTCCCAAGAATCCACCCACCTCAACCCCATCCCCCGAACGCGTCGCTCGCTAGCAAGATACAGCATGAGATAGATATGCATGGCGACTTCACCCCATGCGTAGACTTTGATCAAGACTGGTGTAGGTGTGTCATCTGCCGTGGCTGTAGTCGTGGTTATGGTTGTGTTTCTGGCCGTGTTAGTGGCAGCATCGGGCGAATTGGTCGCTGAATCTGGATCTGGGTCTATGCGTTCGGCGATACACCATACGCCCCATCCAGCGCGGGCATCCTTTGCGATAAAGCTTGAGAGGAATGTCCAAAAGTGAGAGAATTGAGGATCAGTCCATGTTTGGGGGTTCGGTGATGGGCCAGTGCTAGCACCAGCACCAGCACCAAGATCCCCTTTAGGGTTGTTCCCTTTTCTCCCCTTTTCCCATGCTGGTGCTGACTCTGTCGCTGCGATGTTAACACGCATAGCCCAGTACCCGCGTTCGAGGGTATCCAGTTCTCGGGATTGATGGGTTGGTTTGTATGTGCGGGCGGGTTTGAGTCGCTCGATGAGCATGGCTAGGGTTGGGGTGACGTGTGTTTTGAAAGTGGAGGTGGAGATTGGGGGTGGCGGGGGTCTAAGGGTGAGGGGGAGGGATTTGGAGAAGGGTGTACTTTGCTGGTGAAGGGGGAGGTCATGTCGAATAGGAGGTTGCTGTCGTTGCTGCTCGGTCTCGATTACCGAGACGGCAGCATTTGCAGAAGCAGAAGCAGGATTGTCGATATGTCGAGGGAAAGGGGAAGGGGAAGTATTAGGGAGAGTGTGTGAATGCGACTGCGGACCCTGTGTCAAGGGAGGCCGTGAACGTTGGTCTGCGTGCCCTGGAGGTGTCTTTTCTTTTTCGTGATGTGCTGAACATGAAGGGGTTGTACCTTCTAATGCTGCGGCCTTGCTGATAGTCTGGTCCGATGGGGACGTGGAACAAGGTTCGACCCGCCGCCGTTTCGGTGGGTGGGCTGGTTGATCTTCCTCGTGCAGCGGTGGTGATCGTCGAGTGCATACGGCTAGCTCTGGTTGAGAGTCCGGGATGACACTGATGATACTCTCGAGTGAGTCCGATGCGAGTCGAGACCGAAGCTGAGCCTCGAGGCCAATTTGATGGTGGGAATTTCTAATCTGGTTCGTATGCGCCGGTGCTGGGATCAGTAAACCAGGGCTGATTTGATTTGTGCCAGGATCAAGACCGGGTAAGATCGACGGGCGATCGTGCCGTAGACATGGACTTGGATTTGAATTTGCAATGGGAGGAACCGTGGCCGTGGCCGTGGCCGTGTCATTCGCAAGCGGATCAGATTGTGAACGATCATCCGCTCGAGGGGACGGCAGATTGCCCAAGGGCTTCTTCTCCCGTTGGTGCATCAAATCCCGATCACAGCGACTATCACTGCTAGTCCGGCCCGCCCCATTTGGCTGGCCAGCTATTGCCGCTCTTACATCCTCCACGGACTGATGGGAGACCGAGGATGGCGCGGAAATGAGCTCGGACGCCTGCAGTAGTAAAGAGGAGGCCGCGGGCTTTGCATTCTCTGCATGCTCCGGGCCTTGATCCGCAGGTGGTGGGGCTTCTGCTGGTGCTACTAGTGCTCCTCCATCATTCAAGATCAGCGACCGACGCGAGATAGGCTCCAAGGCGAGAATGGCGGCGACTTGAGCACGGTATCGGGCGTCATCGCGGGCGGAACTGGGTGCGGAGACATGGACGAGGATCTCCATGAGGCGACACCCGATTTGGTGGGGATATCCCTGGAAAAAAGATCCCTTGGACAGTGCGGGCGTAATTTGTGTAAATTCCGGATGATCATAGGTGTGTGCCTGGAAGGGCCAATGGGTCGAGGTCGACTGATTGGAGGGGGAGGCATTCAGGGAAGGATGGAGGGAGGTGGCCGGCCAAAAGTATTTGTCACGAGAGAACCACCAAAATGCAGGCAGTTGGAGGGACTATTGGAGGATTGCGAGATGCGGTGATTGGGTAATTCGCGGAGGGGAAAGGGGGGACTATTGGGGGTGATTTGGGATGATTTGTTGGGTTTATTGGTAGACTTGCAGGTTTGGATCTTGCTATCGAGAGTGTAGTGCTTTTCTCGGGTGGTGGTAGTCAGTTCTCGTGTATAGTTCATGAGTTCATGGTTGTACTCGAGAGATCTTTTCGGAAAGTACAGGTAGAGAGATCAGAACCAATGAGCAGGATCATTCTCTTTAGAGTATACGACCTATACGCTCTCTACCCCGTATACTCGCATAGCCGCGCCAATTATTCTTTATATTATTCGCCGTCTACTGCCTAGTCCTCCTTTAGTCGTCCAGGGTCGCATCGGGGCAAAAAGGAGCCACACCGTTTTTGTGGAGCCCATCGTGACGAACGGACGAGCTAATGATATTGGGTCCAATTTGTCCAGAGCGTCTAGACTGGAGTGCTCGACTTGTAGTGATCATTTCTTGGTGCCAGCTTGATTAATCTTGGATGAAATAATTTATCTAACTTGTTAGGCTTAGTACTTTATCATGGTAGTAGTGTGGCAGTGTGAAGAGTCCTGATCCAGGAATTTCCGTACTTTCGTCGTACGACAATCAACTGGGGAAACTACAAAATCAAACTCATTCTCCTCGCAGTTGACCAACCTGCCATCCGATTTGATCCCTCTCCCTTCATTTTCTTCTTCCTATCCCACCTCCTCCTGAGAGTTTTACGGTCGGTGTCGTCCACACACTCTCGCCAAGCCTTCCCAGTTCTGCGATCCGTCACATCCACTTTGGCCCGCCCCGGCCCCAACGGTGCCCGCTCGGACTTTCTTCCTTCCTTCAACTCCCTTTCGGCCACCGTTGAAATCTTAAGATCCTTCCTTCATTCTTGTCTGGTCTGGCATCGATCTTTGTCTTTTCCACAATGGCGTCTGGCGGGGTCTACCCTTTAGACACCCAGCAGCTTCCTGGTAAGTTCCCATCAAGCTTTCCAGCTCCCGTTCTCCACGATCGATCTCGACCTCAGCCGCTCCGGGAAGCTCCATCGCGACCGTGCTTTCGATGAGATCGGATCCGATCTGGTGGCGGGTTTTTTTTTGGCCCATCGCGCATGAACAACTATTCCCCTGGCTTCCCGTACCCCCGGATTGAGAAACATTTCAACTTGATACACTTTCTTCGCCACTATGGCTTCCACTTCGCGGGCTAACTTCTCCGCGCCGGTCCCCGCTTCGACGGGGTACCCGGTGCCTTCCATGACAGCTGTTGCGCAACCCGAAACTCCAACCAGAGGTGCCTTTGGTACTGAGTTCTTTAAGATCTTTGCAGGTCCCAAGAAGGTGACTCGAGGTAGGCGAAGCTTCGAGCCTGCGACAATCTATCTCGCTCTAATAACCGTCGGTTTTCTATAGATGGCGCTGAACCCAAACGTCGCGGGCCCAAACCCGACAGCAAGCCCGCTCTCACTCGACGACAGGAGCTGAATCGCCAAGCTCAGAGGTACGGAATGAACTGCGTGGCCATGATTGTTGGCATGGATCATTGACGGACTGTCACAGGACACATCGCGAGCGCAAGGAACAATACATGCGAGCTCTGGAGACCGAGGTCTCGCGGTTGCGGGAGGCTTTTACCACTGAAATCTCGGATGCGAATGTCGCTCTTCAACAACACAAGGAAATGCTTCATACGGTGCGAAACGAGAATGAAGTCTTGAAGGAAATCCTGGCCGCCCACGGTATCAATTATGCTCCCGAGCTGGAGCAACGGATGGCCGAGCGTGGTTCGCTGGCGGGTTTCCAGTCGAGCCCCGTCCCCGCTAGCAGCGCTGGATCAAATACCGCCCCCTTTACCAATGCGACTAGCAACCAGAATGTCACACCAGCAACCTCGATCTCAACCGGGTTAAGCCCTCAAGCGACCGGCGGCTTGGAACATTCCGAGGTTTCTCCTCCGATGGGGTTCGTGCCTCAGCAGCAAGTATACCATGCGAGTCCGAATGAGAACCAGGGCTTGGATCGGTCTGGGTGCCAGGTCGTCGATACCCCCGTACCAGCAATGCGCGGTGTCTTCGAGAGTGACCCACAGCTTCAGATTGACTTTATCTTGACGTACGCCATGTCTCGAATCTTTACTCTCGAACTACTTCTAACAATCATCCTCTCCACAGACTGGAAGGCCCCTGCCGTGAACATACCGACTATCTCTGCCGTCGGTCGATTACCGAAGCCGACGACGAAGACATGCCCTTCTCTGGTCACGCCCTAATGGCCACTTGCCCACCACCCAGCTACATCGCAAACACTACCCCCGAACAAGCTTACCCACACAAGACCTACGATCTCCCACTCGCCAATCTCGGTACTCTGCTCAACCTCAGTCGCCAGCTCGTGACGGACGGTCAGATTACTCCTATCATGGCGCTGCAGTGTTTGAAGAATCACGAACTGTATCACTCACTCAGCCGCGACGACATTAAGATTATCATCGAAACCCTAAACACCAAGGTCCGCTGTTACGGCTTTGGGGCCGTTGTCGAGGACTTTGAGCTCATTGATTGTTTGAGTAGTGTGCTGGGCACGACAGTGGACTTGGGCGTGTCTCGTGTCCGGGACGACTCGATGTACGCTTGATATGCTCCCTCGGCGAGCGTGGAGGTGTGTGACTTCCAGAGCGAGGACGGTGTCTTCACCCTGGCAGGGAAACGATTATGATTCTGACGTCTACGAACTGTTCTTTGTGCTCTCTTGTGGAGTGGAATCGGGTGCTTGTGCTGAGAACTTCTTTGATCCAACTACTTTCGGTTTTTGTATGGCTTGGTATTGCCCGATTTCTTTTCCTTTTCCCTCTCCTACATTCCTGATCCATCGTTTCTTTTACTCTTTACTTTGCTTTTATTCTGACCCAAAATGCCATCTCTACCTGGCTGGGTTTGGACCTTGACTCTTCAATTCTTATGGAAATGTATATACTGAAAATGGCCCTAGCTGAGCGTGGGCCCGGGGAGTTGAGTTATTTTTTCTTCTGGGTGTTTGAATTATGGATTGACTACTTCTCACCGTCTGATCGCCCGTTGCTTGTCTCCTTGGTTTAAAATAGGCCAATCCACCTTGGCCGGTGGTTTCCATACAAGACATTTCATTCTTTTACCCGTGCTTTATACTCCGTACATACTTCTCTCTCGATTCTACCCTCACCGTATCTAATATCCCAACCCACTCCCTCCTTCCTCTCCCCTCGACCGCTCCCCCAACTACTCCCCTCTGTCAATCCTAACTGCAAAACATCCGGGACCGGCATAATAAACAAACAAAAACCTCACCCCCTCATCCTCAAACAACCCCTCCGCCTTCTGACCCAGCTCCTCCCCCTTCACAACCGCAAACCCAACCATCATCTGATCCGCATCGTACGCCCGCACAGCTAACAGTCGTTTCCGCTGCTGCTCCGGAACGGACCCGTCACATTGGTATTTCGGGCACGGCTTACGGTGGATAAAGATTGGGGATGGGACTGTGTATGGTGATGCACATCCGGAGGAGGGCGAGGGGGAGAACGGGTTATAGTGGATGAGGAGCATTTCTTCGCCTGGGAGGCCGTCCTGAAGACAATTACGGCAAGGGAAGGCGTCGTGGTGCGTGACGGGTTTGACATGTGTGTCGGCCATGGATTCTAGGGATGGAGGGAGGGATGTGGGCAGAGGGGTGAATTGGAGCATGGTGATAATGATCGTAGAGGGTGTGTTTCTAGGGTAGGCAGTGGGTGTTAGGGGTTGGATATTAAGGAGGTGATGGGTCTGAGAACTTACGTGTCCAGAGATGGAAGTACTCGGTGATGAATGGATTTGAAAGAGTGGTTGATTGCTTTGCATTCGTTTAGTGTCTTGGGGATAGCTATTTATTGGGTTTGTATGCTTTCAATATGGCCAATCAGAGGGTAGGGAGTTATAGAGTGGCGGTTTATCTCTGATATTGAATTATCCAGTAATATGACTTGAAAAACAAGACTTGTATGTAGTTGAACTAGCCTATAGGCAAAATATATGGAATCAGGGAACAATTCTCGTGTGGCCTACGTAACGGATTTCCCATGCAAACTCTTGGCTTTCCCCTTGTCTCTCATCTGTCTACCATTGGGAGAAATTATCTACCCGCCTGGCGATCAAGGGCGTGGGTTTCCCTCGAAAATCGAGGCCCTGCTCATAGCCACGAGCTACTTGTGAATCCACTAGCTACATTCTATACGCGCGACTGGCTCAAGCATGATTTTCAGGATGAGACAAACGAAATCAACGCCCGGCACGTTGACCACTTTTGCCAGTCAGATTTAGATAGTTCGGGCCGCGCTACAGCCACTTACAGTGCCGCACACTTTACATCGACACTCACCACTATAGCGACCTCTAGAACAGGACCCTCTACAACGGAAATACACTGGACGCAGTGTGGCGGTGTTGGCTCGACGAGGGCCAGTGTATCCCGACACCCGCCAAAACAGAACTATTTACCATCCGCAATTTCAAGCCAGAAGCATCAACAATACAGCAAGAATATCTTTCTCTATCAAAGTCAAAATTTCTAGGTACAATTTTCGCACGTGGCTTTTAGCTCCTCGGGTGAGGGACTGAACAGGTACCACATAGGGCAGCGAGCCGCTTAAGGTAATATTGTCGGCGATGAGTGGCCACGAACACACAAAGACCACGGTATGGGTTCTTTTTGCAGGTTCTGGATATTTGGTTTGTCGTGTAAATATCCCTGCCGCAATTACACTTCACCTTCAGGTTGAACTGGAAGATTCCATTCTCACGTTAGATGTGGAGTGATGAAGGGAAAGCCTCTTTGCCTTCATTACACAGAAATTGGGCGAATTAATCAACTAGGCAGTTTGGCCGAGTGGTCTAAGGCGATTGACTGTTCGTAACCCCCAATCATTCCATTAACCCCCCAACATCCACTAACTCCCAATTTAGCGAATTCCCGATATCAATTCTCTTCGGAGGCGCAGGTTCGAATCCTGCAGCTGTCGAATTCTTTTTTTTTTGCTGCGTTGTGAGCATGCCCCACGTACCTCACCGCCGAGTGGACCATCCACCGCACGAACAACCATGTCAAGTGCATTTTTGCAATGGGTTAGGGGAGGCAGGGGGAGGTTTCACGGCTCGTTCTTTGTATATTTCCTCCATAGTATAATTGATTTTTGAAAGCATTCAAAACTGTACAACTATACTTGTAGCACTAAGTCCAAACAATGTCGTGATACAGCTATATGAGTTGGAGATCTATGTATCGGTGATGGCTTCACTCTAATATTTGGGAGATTTCACGTGGTAAAAGATATTCTATATATAATCCACACGAGAGAGAATCCACATGAGAGAGTATCCTGGAGTCTGCCAGCTTCAACTGAGCGCCCTGAAAATTATGGCACAAGATAATAAAAGACCATCCGGCGTTTATTGTGTTTTCCGGCAAAGTGGTCCATCCAGAAATAAATTACTTCATGATGTATGTGTTCCCCGACTTTGACTTGACATAAAGAGTCACACACTAACTCCCTTCCAGCGAATGATCTCAATCTCAGCTTGTCCCTTTTATCAATTCTCTTCGGAGGCGCAGATTTGAATCCTGCAGCTGTCGAGCTTTTTTTTTTTTTTTTTTTTTTTTTTCATTTTTATGGCCAGGTGCCATACATATCCTTCTATCATTAAACCAGGCCGGGAGGCGTAATGTCACTTGTATAATAATTACTACTTAGTAGATATGCAGACGTAAGAGCATCGAGCGGTTTGATAAGTCTAGTTGATATTAGATTTCATATAGTGACTGTAAGGATCAGGCACGAGGCACTCGTAGGTGGAATATGGTATCAATAACGAAAGCAATCAGATTGAGGAGAGCAAGAAGAAGAGTCTAGGACAGAAGGAACTACATACAAATGGGCATAGATGCCAAGGTGAACGCCCGCGGCATCAGTGCCGCAATAGTCATAGTAACCATCGGGTTCATCACAGTGACAACAATGTAAGTAAGCTCTTGCTTAGGCCGGGGGCTTAGCCATTTGAAGAATTTTGAACCTCTCGCGATAATCAAGCTTCTGAGCGAAAATGATGTTGGGAAGTTTTGGGTATTCCATAAGGTCACATCCAATAGACTCAAATCTTCTCAAGACATTATACAAGCTCGCTTCTGTCACTGTTGGGATCTTGGGATCGACAGAGCGCCAATACCCGTTGAGAAGTCCACAGACACGACATTTGAAATGGGGGAGTAAAAGTTTGGGCGGGTCATGGATTGTCCAACGCCCCCGACGCATTATCTCATGCCCACATGACTTTCTCGGACATCGGACCCGAGCCTCTACTTCACAATTCTCCAAATCTGACCCTGAGCGGAGCAGACAGTTGATAGGGGCTTTTTCGTTCTTCCCTCGGGGGATGTAATTGAAAGATCTTGCCCGTAAACGTGTGGAGTCCTGTCGAGGATCCACAGGGACAAGAGATACATTTCTCCCACGACATTCTATCCGACCACAAGTTGCTTTCTCATGCTCCGTGATGACATATCTGCCTGGCATAAATCCTTTTGGAAACGCGGGAAAGCACCATCAGAGAAGGCTTTTGGCACACAGAGCACTTTCTTTGGATCACTTTGTCAGGGCTCCCAGGAACTGTCCTACTTCGTCTCATGGGACCCCCTGGCCTCGAAATTTCTTTGAGATATTGCAGTATTACAGTGACTGCAAGGGAGGTGATAGAGTTTGTACCCAAAAGAAGTAAATTTTCGCGATCTTCTTGCCTCCAGCTCAGAAGTTGAAAGACTGTTTCCAGCGTATCTTGATTTGATATGGATTCGCCATTTAATCTCAGACCTGCCTGGGCTTGCATCCACTCGAGAAGCTGGCGTGGAAGGTCTTCCCAGCTGATATCTTCCGTGAACTCTTCCGGTGTCGTGCTTGGGGAAGTTTTCGAGTCGCTGAATAACTGTAGAAGCTCACTATCGACAAGGTCTTTATAGACCCTTTGGAAAGACAAAATGGTATTTGCCAGGCCCTGAGCTCTCTCTTGTTCGAAGCTTTTCTGCAAATATCTTAGCTTTGGCTTACTGAAACCAAGTATTTTTATTAGCTCACCAGCTGATCTTGCGGTATTTCCTGTTTGAGCTTGAGCTTGATCATTGGCTGTAGAGGTCTCGCGAAAGAGTGAAGTATTTCAGTCATTTCTTGGATCTTCTCTCCTTTCCGACGATTCTTTTCTTGATACTTTTCTGAGAAAATGCTTCTCAAAGCCTCAAGGGATTCCCGGTCGTTTGCCTTACATTATTCCCTCTGTTCCCTAGTAAGTCGATTTCCCACCTGACAGGCAATTTGGAAATAGTGGACGGTGAAATCCTTCCCATAGCCAGCTAGACGCCTGGCCACCTTCAAAGCTAGATCTTGAGAAATTCCATAGTCCTTCCGAGCTTGAGGGCCAAGTGTATGAAGACGAGTCCTCACAAAGAATTGTGGGTGCCGAACATAAAAGGATAAACCTCCTTAGATGTTGATGGTCCTCATCAACTTCGAGATACAGCCCGACGGATTCAAACTTGCTCCAGAGGGGGAATCGAATCAGTCGGGAGCCTAACTCTCTTTTCATCTCTTTTAAGACATGTTCAAAATAACAAATCTCGACAATAGCGGCCATGTTTTGTCGAAGCTCACGTACAAAATCACGATGTGGTTGATAGAATTCATCCCTGTAAAACTTGACAAGATCCTTTGTTCGTCCTCTTCGGCATACCTGATCAAACAAGAATGCATTGCTCGATGAGGAACCACTTTCGTTTAGTAATATTATCGTTGGATTGGTGGGGTCGTCGAAAAGTCGATCTCTGGGGTTTGCGACGTAGTAAGTGGGATTGAGAAGGTGACATGCAACCAAAGACTCCATAGAGCCACTTGGTGGTATCAGGTCTCGGATTGACCTTTCTACGCCTCGCTTGTTCCAAAGAGCTATTTCTCGCTCGCTAAATTTCGCAAAGGCTGATTCCAGGTTCCATTTCGTCTGTCCCAGTGGGGCTATTTCTGGTCAGTTGGTATTCCGTCAAAAAGGATGGATAGAAAGAGACAGATACCAGTAGAAGAGCTGCCGCCCTTGCGGCTCTGATCGAAGAATCTGGTGAGACCCATGTTTGTATCCATGTTTGATGCATCAAATGTCCCGAGAAAATTTGTGGGATCTTCAAGCCAAAGATTCCCCAAAAGATGGAAAGGACGTGTAAGTGGCTCTGTCATGTTCAGGTCCATTGCAAGTGAGATAGAGGGAAAAGATAACGGGGTGGCCGTGAAAACAGAACTTTTGGAGATAAGTCTGAAGATTGGCCAAGCTATGCGACTGGAAATGGATCTGGAAATATTGCAGCCGCTGTGAGGAGCTTAGGCAGGAGGCACGAAAGTAGATGTGGTTGATGGCAACTTGGTTGTCAGCGCAAGCAGGAAAGCAGGGGGAAACAGGAGAGGGCCTATATAGGCCAATCAAAGAACTGGTCCTGGAACAGCCGGCACTTTCTGTAGGAAAAGGAAGGATATAGCCGGCAAAACCCCCGAGAAGATGAAGGGGATAACCGGCAGCAGACTCGATGTAATACTCGATGCATAAGCACTCGATATAAGCACTCGATATAAGCACTCGATATAAGCACTCGATATAAGCACTCGATATAAGCACTCGATCCCTCGATCAGTGGTAGCAATTACGAAAGTAATCAGATTAGGACGGAAGAAACTACAAACAAATAGGCATCAGTGCCGCAGTAGTAATACCATCTGGTTCATTACATCTTCCCTTCCACATAAGAAGCAGTGTCTCGATACTTCAATCAGAATATTCCAGAGAAGCGATATCCAGAGTCGAGCAAGTCGAGCGCATTATCCCAAACTTTATCCTAGCCAGTGTAATAGCTTTTTGGTCGACCAAGACATCGCTGAGCCGCGCAACATTTCTCGAAAATTTTTCCTCATTTCTTTACAAGCAATTGTAGACATGCTCCGGTGTACCTTACACGCTTGCATCCTTGCTCGTCGATTTCAACCGGCCCCTAGAAAGTAATTTCAAAATCTCCCACGGCACATCCTGAATTAAGGTTCTCGACCGGTGTAAAATAGCTGATCTTGGCCATTTGCGAACAGGTCTGCCGAGGATAGTACAGTCCCTGTGCTTGTCACATGGGCGAGAGCTGAAAAGAATCGAGATCTCACCGCAATTTATGTTAAATGCTCCCAATATCCGTGCTGGTATCGTCGCCTCCGGATAGGAAACTAGGAGGGGAAGGAGATATGATTTAGAGGGATGTGAATGACCGGTCTTACACAGCGAAGGCTGTATGCTTGGGCGAAGCATTACGTTCGGATCTTATTTCGGCCCATGGTTGCCGGATAAGATCCTCCTTACTCCGACGTTCCGAGTTTCGAAAGCACACTCTAATTATTACAAAGTTTCCGCCGGCGTATGACGTCAGAGCATAGCTTGGTGTGCGGAGGTTCCAGAAACATTCCGCGATTCTTATTGACACGGCCCCTCTCCGCTTTCTAATCTCCCTTCAATCGCCAGGACACTTAAAACTGCTCCCTTTCGTGGTCTGTGGATGATCTTTCCTGTGTCAATCAGACTTCAGATAAGGTTACTTCAAAGCACTCAGAATTATGGCCTATGTTGGACACTGCAACTGCAATAGCGTTCGGATTTCGCTCCCAGAACAACCCGAGGGCTCGGTTATATGTCATTGGTTCGCATTCCGCTGCCCCGAGAACACTATCTGCTATCGTACTTTTTGCTAACAATATATTCAAAAAATAGCGAAAACTGTAGAAGAGCTGGTGGTGGTAAGACTTTTTTTCGCGCGGGAATCATTTCCTAGCTTTTTCTCTGGCTGACCGATCTCAGCATTCTCTGTGAACTATTTTGTGGCAGAGGATGAAATCACCGTTGAGGATCCAAACGAGGCACTTGGCATTTACGATGACCCGAACACTGCGGCAGGATATGCCGTTCAGGTAGGTCTCAATCCAGTCGACCCACAACGTAAGTAATCCATGCGGTGTTAATAAATTCATCCAACAGCGATACTTTTGCTCAAAGTGTGGAAGGTGAGTCGATAACCAACTCTCTAATACCGAGGAGATCGAGAGGCTCTGATAGGTATCATATAGCCCCACCCATACCAAGACCCCTAAGGCCCCTGGAAAGCTATTTGTGAAGGCTTCCCTGTTTGACACGATCGCTCCGTGTGTAAAGGAGGTTTACGAGCACAGGCGGTTACCTTTGTTTCAGGCAGAGTCGTCGGACAAGCCCAAGAGTGATTAAAGCGTCAGATTCAAAGTTGATTATGCGAGAGATCTATGTGTCCCGCGAAAAGGTTGAGTACTCCTCTACTTCTCGATCTACCAGTAAATAAGCAATCGATATCTGGAGTTCGAGTTGTAGTCTATGAGTTCTGATTTGGAAGGAATCCCCTATGTAAGGGCGGTAGATTAATACTTTTCTCATACTACAGCAAAAGTGTTCAGAGCCCCCTCACCCGAAGCAGTTCTTGGAAGGAAATAAGGTTGTGCATAGTTCGAATTATCAAGCAGTTCAAATGCACATATGTTGACAAATAGTAATGATTGCCAATGCAAGAGAAGGGGAATTGTTTTCCACTCGTGACAATAATCCACACCGCTTTTCGACCCGAATACTCGGGACCCAAGTTGCACTAAATCTAGTCAGCTTGAGACGGGAACGTGCTCAATAGAGTGAATCACCCAATTAGCATTAGCGAATCTTGGCATATGTAGCCAGCAGCAGATGACAGGCCCCCGGGGACCACTCCGGCTTTTTCCAGAGTATCCACGTAAGACAAGGGTGGGGGGGCGGTTGACGAAAACTAGATTTCAAACACTTTCGTCAACCCCCTACTCATGTTGCCTGCGCCATGGAGATAGTCACCATGTCTGGGCCAGCTGTGCTACTTCTCTGTGGCCTTTTGGCCCTCTATGTCCTCAGGACAATCAGCACGTATGCCAGATTGCGCCAGTTCCGGGGCCCCACGTGGACTGGTATCTCGAACTGGCCACATAGCATAGCCATGCTTCGTGGCAACTGCCACGAGTGGTATGCAGAGGTCAATAGGAAATATGGTGCGGATCATCCTCGAGGAACTTTGGAGTGCTTTGTCTCTTTTCCCGAATGCCATATCTCCGGCGTTAACTAACACACTCGTCGCGCGCCAGGTCCGATCGCCCGTGTCGCGCCTCGGGTGCTGATCACATCTTCTCCAGAAGTTTGGATGCATGTAAATAACAAGCCCGATTATAAGCGCTCGGACTGGTACTACCGAGCCGCGCGGATTGAGTATCGGAGAGACAACGTCTTCAGCCAGACCGATAACGCGAAACATGACCAGCGCAGAAAGCAGATGGCTCCAGGGGTATGTGTGATAGCAGGCTTCGCCCGCTTTCCAAATTCCTAATTAGTCGGGTGTGTGTCGCTCGAGACTGCTGACCGATGAGCTTTACACAGTATTCGGGAAGGGAGAATCTCCACCTGGAGGAGTCTGTCAATGAGCGACTCGAAGACTTTCTGCACCTTATCAGGTCAAAATATGTCTCGACCGACTGGGAAGTCATACCCATGGACCTAGCGACGAAGGTGCAGTATTTCACACTGGATGTCATCAGCAGCGTGGGCCTCGGGAAAGAATTCGGCATGCTGCGAAGTGATCGCGACGTGGACAACTACCTTCAATCGAGCGAGGAGGGCCTAACCATAGGTCACCACGCCCTCGCTCTTGGCTTCAGCTGGATCGCGCAAGCCCCGTTCATCGGCAAATTCGTTGCACCCTCGCCAAAAGACAACAACGGCTTCGGCAAAATGATGGCCGCATGCTTCCGCCTCGTAGACGAGCGTGCTGCAAGTTCCACCGACAAACGATCCGATATGCTAGCCTCTTTCATGCGCCACGGTCTGGCAGGAGACGAGCTGCGCACTGAGGCGCTAGAACAGATTATCGCAGGTTCCGATACCACCGCTGGCGCAATTCGCTGCATCCTCTTGCATATCATGACAAACCCTCGCGTATACCTCAAGCTACAGCGCGAAGTCGATGACGCCGTACGAGATGGCCTTGCGCCTGGTCGTGGTAAAGGCTTGATCACTGCTGCCCAAACGAAACAGCTTCCGTATCTCCAAGCTGTGATTCGCGAAGCCCTGCGAGTCTGGCCACCCGTCGCGAACATCTTCTCGCGTGATGTTCCACCTGGTGGTGATACTGTCATCGTTGACGGTGAGAGCGTGTTCCTACCCGGCGGTGTCTGCATCGGGTATTCGGCATATGGTATGCATCACAGCGAGACGATCTATGGCAGTGACGCAAAGGCCTTCCGACCCGAGCGTTGGCTCGAGTCTGATACGGAGAAGCTGATTGAGATGACTCGAACCAATGATCTCACATTCGGACACGGGAAGTTCCAGTGTTTGGGGAAGCCGGTGGCTCAAATCGAGATTGGAAAGACTGTGTTTGAGGTAAGCGAATATCGCAACAATATTGTAAAGAATTCTGTTCACTTCCGGGGCAATACGCTAACATTCAACCGGTCGAACAGCTTTTGCGCAATTTCGACCTGTCAATTATCAACCCGACGCGCCCCTGGGAGACGCGGAATGTTCTCGGTCTTTTCGCAATCTCTGATATGTGGGTTCAAGTAACGGAGCGAAAATTTTAACATCCGTTACAGCTTACTGTTTCCTTGGCTTGGACGAGTCCCCCTTAGGCAAGACCCATATCTATGATGAACTGGGGGAGTACATCCGGAAGTTGAGAAGAGACGAAGGCAGAGTCACGCAGTGTAATTAGCATGTTTTTAACATCAGGTATATATTCAGAGAGAAAGGGGCAATTCATTGATTCTGAAGACCAGGGGAAATCCTTGATTGGGAGTGAAAGGGAGAAAGGAAGAAGAGTAGAGAGAGACAAAGAAATGACGACGTCTCTGTTGTCACGTGATAATGCTCCGGTCATCAGTTGATTGTTATGGAAGATAATGCCCGATGGCTGGTGTACAGGCTCTAAAAGAGAGTGATTTACCCAAAGACAAAGACACCGAGAGGAGGAACGAATCTGCTGCGTATTTTTGTCTTGAAGTAGTTCCATCTGTCAGCGTCTTACACCCCCTCCGCGACCAATCAACGCCTCTAGTTTGACGACCTCCCCGTGCTACCGTGCTGCCCTTCATATTGGTCCAGGCCATCCACGTAAAGAGCGAGGGTTATGCCCACGACCTCCGACATGAATCGATACAAACACTCCTTGAGCTCCGTCCACTCCCAGGAAGGTGACCAGGGGGACCGATCTGGGCCCATTATTCTAATATTGAGATAGACCCACCTCCTGGGTGCCACAAGAGCACAAAGATCACGGCGCTGGTCCAGCAGCTGGAACGAAAGCGACCGCAGAGGGCCCTCGCGAGACTTTTGCAACTTGGATCCGGGGCCCCAGAAATAGAATTTTGCGGGGAGCACGGGACGTGGGTAGGCCCAGGCGCTAACACGTTCCTGTAGTTATTGGTGAGTTGAGATATACTTTGTTGATGTGCTTTTACCAGAAGCTGGCTTGCCGGTGATCCAGAATATGTTCTTCTCGTGCAATCTGAGCCATTCAATGAAATTGATCCCTGCACATTCATCATTCTCTGCTCCGCCAGTGGGCACCTGGGTAGCGAACATCCACTGAAAAGTGTCAGGATATGCGAATTTGATTCTATCGTCCCGTTCCGTCATTTCCTCAAACCTCGGACTCTGCAGAATCTTTTCAATAGGCTGCCCGTTCGTGGATTGACTGTTCAGATTACCACCACTGGGGGGATTTGAGTATTGCCATTCACATCTAGCATTCCAATTGAGGCCCAGAGCGCTTTGGCAATTCTTCCTTGCGCAGCTGATTCCGTCTGCTCACCTGCCGAGATCTTCGCAGAATCGTCTCTCAGGGCATTCATCGTCTGTTTAATATTCTGGACACCCTCCAGAGCATTATGATCCAATGATGGGATATTTTTGAGACTGTGCAGATAAGCCAATGATGAAGAGTCTCGGCTGCGTATTCCTGCTGCTACCTAATGAGTTAAGTATGGTGTGACGTGGCAGAGCAGCCAGGTCAAAAAGCTGCCCATAGAAGCGAAGGCCCAATTCGTCCGCTCACGAAGCTGACTGGTTCCAATTCCGGCGGTAATCATCCAGCACCCGGGCCCCAAGTAAATCAGTAAATGCAGTATCAGAGGACCAGCAATGCGGCGCATGCGTGCTTATTCTGCACCCATAAAACTGCTAGAGTGTCGACAGTTTCGATGGCGCCCCACCACCCAACATGGTGGCTACAACGTCGGCCAAAGTCGTCAAAGATAGTGAAATTCAAGACCTAACATACAAATAAACATCTGTGACGAGCAGATTGATTCTCAGAGGAACTACCAGTCCCAGTTGTGGCATAATTTTCACGAGGCTTTGTATGGAAAGACACGCCTTATGCCTGCTGGAAGATCTGAGCTCCCGTCATATGGGCGAAGCTCACTTTGCCCATAGTACCAATACAATTTTTGATGAAAGGGCCATTACATCATGGGGTCTGCGGTCGCGGACTGCCTTCAAATTGACTTCAAGACCCGGATGCAATGGGTGATTCAACCGGAGGCGAAAAAATCAAACCACCCTCCCCTCGTCAATTCATTTGGAGCCGAGTTCCAACAGTTCCCCCAAACGCGACATGATGATATTATCTTTTGACAAGGAGAATGGTCTCATCATTTCTGTTACGATTCCACCCCAAGGAAACTATAAGAAGGGAAGGACGAGTGCTTATCCAAAATTTGCATATCATTTTGGAGGTTGCAAATGATGAGTTGGTGACTTATAGGCGCGTGATTCTTGCTATCAAAGGTGGCTACATGATCAAAAGGGATATATTATGTCAAAGAAGTATGATGAGCTTTAGCTTGTGATGCGTTCGGGTGACCACGCAGCGGGCGAAACGATTAAAGAAGAGACATAGTATAGCAAGTATGGCCTTGCGTTGAGAATTATGCAAATCTAAGAGAAATCGGCAAAATAGCTGGTTAAAGTTTCAAGGATTTGAAATCTATCCTAGAAATACACTCCACCATATTGATATTCGAATTTCCCACAAGTCTAGCTAATTTAATATAACGGGAAGGCTCCCGGTAGCGTAGAATCTTAGAGAGAACAAATTGACTATTCTGAAAAGTATTCGCTAGACATAGCCTACTTTTGGGGAGAGAAATCGCCAGATTAGGAGCTTTCTTGGTATGCGAACTCCATGTTGATAGATGTGATATTATGTCTGAACGAAGAGGTATTGTGCTCGTTGTGTCCTTTTTTGGTAAGCCAGCTTACTCGGATCACCCGCTTGCGGGATGATCTCACTAGGACTGGAGAAATATCTCAAGAAGTGGCAGGTATCATGGCGGGTCGGTGCATATGTGTTGTATGATGCTGAGATCGCGAGTGGCAATGTCTGCTTTTCGTCTTCGCCTGCTTCAACGACTGCTCGACTATGGCCCACTTTCTTACCACTTCTGACCTCTCCTCGGCCGAAGATGCGCACATTTCTTCGTGACCTTGCGCAATACGCGATATAATGATCTGTCCTTCGCTAGATTTGCCTAGGGAATCCAACATCTTTCGTCGTAAGCCACTCAATGGGTAACCCGCTAATCCCCAGAGACCTGATGAGGGCGTTAGAAATTAAAAAGAGCTCGAGTTTGAGGGGTATTGTCTGTCATACCTGCAGGGGGTTTAAAGAAAACTCCACCAAGGCCTTTACCCACTCCCTTGATCATCCCCTTGGTACCCGTTTTCTTATATCCGTATCGAGGCTGGGTTACTAGGCCAGTCACGCCGTAGTAAAAGCCATCATAGAATTCCTGCCGAGTCATTAGTAAAATGTCATCATGGTGGTATGAAGCGGTGGAATTGAATACCTTTCCAGCTGCCCTGAATCCACTGCGAACATCATGAACCTTGGGTGTCGACTTCACCATCGGGTCATGATATAATTTAGGTGCATTGTGGAAACCTTTGGAAAGGCTGAGTGTGAGATCCGTCGGCAACCAAATAAGAAGATTAACGAATTTCTTCGACATCTTGCTGCTCAAATTTGCGGCCTCGGAGAGAACAGTGTGTGGCCCGGAGTGAGCGATTTCGGAGCTCATGGTCAGTTGTTTCTCGAGCTGAAGACTGTGCGTCCTTTCAATACTTGAATCTGGAAACATGTCTGTTGTGCTTGGATCACTGCTGCTGCTGAGCATATCTTCGTCCCCGTCGTATTCATCGCTCTCGCCCGGAAGAGATTCATCAGAGTGACTTGAGTAGCTTGACCGGGAATTTGAGACCCTTTCATTTTGACGAGAGCTTCCCTCCCTAACTGGGGATTCATCGCCCTCGCTCGGGAGATGTTCGTCGGAATGACTTTGGTAGCTTGGTCGGGGATTTCGGGCCCTTTCTCGAGAGCTTCCCTCGTTATTTTGGGGCCCATCACTTTGGAAGCCTGAGTCTGTAGGGTGGCATTTCCGATGTCGCCATTTGGTATGTGGATCAAGGCGCTCATGAGAGTGGCCTACGGCACGGCCCGCGGCAACCAAATCATGAATTACATCTGCAGGCACGTCTGCGATGCCGGTCACAAAGTTCGCAATGGCCCCAACAAGGACTTGGGCACTAGCACTCAAAGGCCCGGCTGGATCACGTAAGGTATCGTATTCCTTTGGTCGATTTCTACGCGGGGTCAGTTGCTGCGATTGATTGCTGATTTAGTCAAAAGTGTACTCACAAGACCAAATCCTCCGGTTTCAACTTCCCCGTTTCCACCAGTACAGCTGCTGCGAAGGCACTGAATCCGAGAGTCGTGTGTTTCAAATGCCACACTGCAGGACGTGTCGGGCATACCGCACATCGTAGCGCCCGGAGATCTAGTTGACGATGGAAGCTGCGTACACCATCTCGCACGCCTGATTCATTTTGCATTTTCTTTGCAATTTCCCCAGCTTTCTCAATTGTTGAATCTCTCAAAGCGAACTCGATCGCATCACTCAAGTCTTTCACCGTCAACCGTTTATAGGGGATGGGTGACGGGCCAGCGCCAGACCTCGCGACGATCTCTCCCCAGAACTGCTGGTCACCAAAGAAAGGAACGATAATTGTCGGACGTCCTAGTGCTAACCCAGCGGCAGTTGTACCAGCACCCCCATGATGGATCACACATGATACTTGTCGGAATAGCCAGTCATGGGGACAGCTTCCGATGACCAGAATGTTCTCAGGCACATCCACGTCGTCAACGCCAAGGTTGCCCCAGCCTTTTGAAACAATGGCACGCTGTCCAGATTTTTGAATCGCTTCAAATACAATCCTTGTCAACTTTTTCTGATCATCTACCACAATTGAACCAAAACCGATGTATATAGGCTTTGGCCCAGCATTCAAGAATCGTGCAATCTCCTCCGGGGGGGTATAATCGGGCTTGGATGGGAGGAAGCTGAAGCCACAAACATCGATGTGGTCACCCCAATCTTTGGGTTTGGGAAGAACAGCTGGAGACCTGGAAGAGCAATTCAGCGAATGTTGCCATAGTGAATTAGTGCTTGCGAATTAAGAAACCATACCAGAGATACGAGCAGGGTATTTGTAATCTGTGAATCAAGCTTGGAGCGGTAATTCCGTCTATCGAATCCAAAGAAAGGACATTACGACGATATTTATTCACAATATCGCCAAGACCTTCCCATATCATCATATCGACGATTGCATAGGAGACAAAGTTTGCGACCGTTGGTTTGCAGTTTTGTTGGTGAATTACGGCAAGGGGATGCGGAAAGGATTGTGTGGGTGACCATGGCATACTGAACAACCATCGTTAGTTTTGAAAGCAATTCATTTGAAAAAGACGAGCATTAGACTTGCGTGAATATAATGTGAAGAGGTATCCCCAATCTCTGAGCGCAGTGAACATGTGCCAAACTGGGTGGATTGGCAATGATGACATCCGCAACAAATGGACGGCGACGATAATCCACCGTATCGCTCCATGGGTCCTCTTTGATTTGGTGTAGATGTGTGCCATCGCCCGTCTCGAAGCAAGATCTCCAACACCCATCAAATATCTCCTTCATTTCTCGACGGCGCTTTTGGATTGCGCCACTCCGGATCGTACTCATATTAGGGAGCAGTCCGGAATTCTTGACCATGAATGCCATCAATTCTGCAGGGTCACCTCCGATATTGAAGAACTCCAGCTCGGCATCGAGGATGAAGTCTCGAAAGGCTAGATGCGTGGCAAGTCGGACCCGATGTCCATGCGCCTTTAGCTCTTTCCCCAGAGCGACGAATGGTTGGATGTCACCTCGTGATCCAATCACTTGAATGACGATATTAAGGTGCAGCGGAAAGTATTTGCCATCCTCCAGATGTACCCTCGCGGCACCATCCGTTTCTTCCCTAAGTTCGAGCTCAGACGGTTTAGGATGGCGCTGCAGGTTGAGTAGCCCGGCGAGACTAGGCTTGTGCTCATTGATCCGGATGTCTAAGCGCCCATCGCCTGTTCAAAGTGGAAGTAAGTTAGTAATCAAGCTTAATCGCTAACGAACGAGCAGAATCCAAGTCTGCGCACCTAAAACTCGAACGCCGGTATCAAGTCCGTCGCCGCTGAACTGCAACCGATTACCACTGTCATGAGAAAAAGGATCGTTGAACTCCGTGGGCCAGTCCTCCGATCGGATGCCGTCATCTTGGTCGGAGGTTGCCCCTCCAGTAGCGGGCGCGACTGGGGGCATGTCTATCGGGAGATCGGCGCAGGGTGAGTGTTTGGGTCGAGGAATAGACTAAGAGAGGTTGAATGCGAATATGAACGTTGAACTTATAAATTATTAAGCCCGATATATTTCGTCACAGTCCCCATGCAGTATGACAAAGTTCCTCGGCTCGTACGGTCGAAGCATAATCACTCCGAGTTGTTCGACTAATGATGTCAGAAGGGTCCGGCTTCCCGAGCGTTCCATCCCGTGGGGCCGCGGCTCATCATGGCCACCGCTTCGCTGGGCGCAACTACAAAAAGTGTGAGACACTTATCATGACAACATGGCCGATCGAAAGATCTTTGGTCTTAGTAGTTATTATAGAGCGGCTTTGAGTTTAAGAGTCCTAAGTTGTTTTTTGCCCACCTGTGGGAAGTTCGAATATCGACAAGATAACTTTAAATGTCCAATGCAAATATGCTTGTTCGACAATTACTAAGTAGGGGACTCTCTATTACAACTGATAGTGATAGTTTCATTCTCCATCAGGCTTTATTTCTCCAAGATAGAGATATTAAACAAAATAAAAAGCAATACTGAGTTAGAACATATAAGATAGATAAATAGATCAAATTACGGAGACGAAACTAATTAAATTGTAAATTGCTGAAGCCAGACTTCATTCAATCTGGCTAGGCCAACATGCTGTTTACAAAAAGCTTAGAGTAGAGAAGGAGTGGATCAAGCAAACAACATAGAGGTAAGTAGACAGGACGGTGACAGAATGGAGGCGAGATATATATCAATGCTATCAAGTGAGAAGCAGGTCTACCGTACCATTGAGTCAATCCTGTAAGCCTATCAGCAGTTTCACCGTTTGAAATATTTCCTAAATTAGTTGAACTAACCAGATATAATAGATTATGTACCAAGATATCCCCCTATACCACATAGTAGGCTTTTATAGAATTTTTGATTTACAATAATGGGCTTCTAAGGGTAGCTAGAGTACTTAGCACGTGATGGCCGGAAATAATGTTTTCTACCCCGTCCTGCAGTATTTCCTGTTTGCACTATATATGGAATAGGATTGGGCTATTCTACTTCAAGTTTACTGACGATCCTCTAAACATAATTTTATCTCATCTAGGAGTGGTCAAGGCCTTCCGCTCGTATAATGAATACAAATCGGGTGTTCCGTCCACCAAGGGGTTCAGTCGAAACGTCGGTTCGGGTCCTAACCCAAAAAATGGGGGAAAAAATGCTCACACCCGGGATTGAACCGGGGACCAGTCCGTTTTTGTAACAACACTTTGAATAAGGTGTAGCATACGAGCGGAGCACTCTACGACTGAGTTATGCGAGCTTATTATGATCTGTGGCAAACTCAAACGGATTATCACAATTTCAGAAAAACTATCCGAACATCTAAGGATTTCTCCATAAGAATCTTTCCATCTAAATCCTAGACGAGTGATTCTATATATATATGATAAGTCTTTCGCGTGGTCTCTAGAATGTTAGAAGTAGTCACATCGTGGCCCTAGTATTATGATATCTCTCATGAGGCTATTCATATGTTGATATTAATCCTCCGACCGCGAGTAATTTCTTTAATTTTTTTTTTGGTTTGCAACCCTTAATGGAATTCCCTATAACATAATTCCTAGCCGACCCGATCACCCCCTAACACCACACTAAATGCGATATTTCAGATGCTAATATATCGACAATGTTAACTTTGTTTCTGCAATAATATTAAAAATACTCTAGCATGTGTAATTAGTTTCACAAAAGATTATTTACCTACGTTACCAAAGGATGAGAAGAGAAAAAGTGTGGTCGGGTTACCGCTACCCTAATCACTGATCACTCAGAGATGCTCAGAGCCTTACTAATTGACCACGTAACCTGCTCTGAGCTGCTCACCGAGTCCTGTTTCCGAGCGCCCTCATTAAAGCAGCGGCACCTAGGATAGGAAAGTCCCACATTGCATGGGAAATATGTTACGTATAGGTACCTAGGTATGTAGATAGATATGGAGGTCAAATGTCTAGTGTAGACAGTGGCCCGATGCCCAGGTCTACCTAAGAGGGAGTCCATTCGCAGATTGACTGGATGTCTCGGGTATAAAATAAAATATATTAAAACAAAGATAGCGCTTATAATCTACAGTCAAGTACATCAATCCTTCCATCGTTAATGGCGACCCAAACAGTGACCTACCAAACTCCCCTCGTCGCGCCTGATAAGCGCCACACGCGACCCCAGAATCACCATATCCTCCCTCCTTATCAACCAACACAAAAGTCGACATCCCCCTCCAATACCCATCTCAAAATGCCCCCGAAACACCCAAACCCACCGGGTCACCGGGTAAATCCCGCAGACCGACTCGCGCTGGCGATAATCGGCCTCAAAACGGGCAAATACACCACTCCCCGCGAAGCAGCCACCCAGAACGGCGTCCCAGAGACAACTCTCCGCACGCGCGTCAAATCCGTCCCTACATGCGCACTTCTACGCGTCCGAAAATCCAGATCCACCAATGCGCGCCCCAAACCACTCCGCCTTACCAGAACGGAGGAAAACACCCTCTACAACTGGATCATCGACGTCCACGGGAGCGGGCGTGACCTGGACCCATCGTCCATCCAAGACATGGCCAATACCCTCCTATCCAAGCGCAGTGGCAGCCACGGCTTCCGCGTATCCAAAGGCTGGGTATCAGGATATCTCCAATTCCACCCCGACATCGCCGCGATCCTCGAGCAGCATAAACAACGGCTTCAAGCACTGAACCTACGCGTGACGAATTCTTTCGCTGAAAGCGGTGATTCTAGGACGGTTTGTGCGAATTTCTTGCATAATACGAGAATGTACGCTTTAGAGCAGAATCGGATGGAAGGGGAGTTGCTGGAGAGGTGTGAGGAGGCATATAAGGCTGATCCGAGTTCGGTGCGACAGTTGTTTTTGGATGCTAGGAGTGAGCGGGATCGGATGGAACTGTTGGTGAAGGTGCAGTTCGATGCGGGGCTCCAGATGATTGATCAGTTTTGGTTTAGGGGTGAGAATTGTAAGAGTTTCTTGAAAGAGGTTGAGGAGACTGAGGCTGTTATGGAGGATACGGAGGACTTGAAAGGGGAGATTCAGAGGGAGTTTGGAGGGTTGGAGGAGGATGATGAGGATGAGGACGAAGAGGAAGAGGAAGAGGAAAAAGAGCAAAAGGAGAAGGTATAAACTTATCTCCAGAGGGTAAGTGTATACAGGGCATTGAAACCTCCGGGAATGGGCCTAGCTGCACTCTTTACATGTATATCTACATTTGAATGATTTCCGGCTTAGAGCAAATACATAGGTATTTAATGATGGATCGTAATGAGGCTCATGTCAATTCTTATCAAACTTTTGCAACGTATGCACATCCATGAAAAAATAGGTGATAAACGTAAAAAATCTCTAATCCAAGGAGTAGAACAGCACATCATCCATAGGAAGCATACATCTACTCCTCATCCTCCTCGTCATTCTCCTCCTTCTCCTCAGCCTCAGGCTCCTCATCCTCATCGAAAGTGGAAGCAGGCACGCTGTACAGACGTAGGACATTGCGGTTGGGGTCCTTGATCAGAACGTACTTCTTGACGGCATCCTCGGGCTCATCCGCATCCAGCGAGCGGATACGGTCGACAACAGTGCGGACAATACCCCAACCGTTGCTGAGGTTCAGGTTCATCTGGGTGGCGAACTCGCGGGGCTTGTAGCCAGCAACGCCGAGAACAACGTGGCCAGCGGCGGAGCGGGGGTTGGCACGAGAGACGAAGCCGAGCTTCATGCCATCGGCCTTGGCCAGGATAGCCTGAGTGGTCCAGCGGGCGAGCTTGGAAGAGTTGTTCTTCATCTCAGTAGCGAGAACGGCACCACGCTGGGAAGCGAGCTTGCTGCGCCAGTCGAGGGCGTTGCCGGAGCCGGGGGCCTTGCTGTCAAACTCGTTCAGGGCCTTGATAACCAGCTGCTGGTCGGCACCACCGGCGGGGTTCTTCATCACAGCGTCGACCTCGGTACGGACGATCAGCTGGAGGGGCTCATCGTCACGCTCGAGGCCAATGTCGAAGCGGCGGTACTTGTAACCCTTAGAGGCAAGGGGCTCGGTCTCCTCAGCCTCGTTGTAGAAGGGGTTGGGGTGGGTGAAGGAGATCTTGGCCTCGTCGGACTCGGTCACGGTCTGGAGGGCGAAGTTGTGGTTGATGAAGGTGGCCTCCATGGCCAGAGCGCTGGGAGTGTTGATTTGCTCCTGCTTGCCAGAGGCCTCGGAAACCTCGAGAGGGGCATCGTAGGCGTTCTCGTTAACGGTCACCAGGTCAATAGAGGCACCGGCACGCTTGTCGAGGTAGATCTTGCCGCCCTGGTGAACGATAATAATGTCCCAAGAGTAAACACTGCGAGTGGCACACATGAGCATGGAGAGAATGTCGGAGGTAGCAAAGACGGTGGCCTCGTTCTTTTCGGCGAGCTCGTGGATGACGGGATCCTGGGAGGTGGTGACGTTGTAGGCGGCACGCTCGAGGCTCTGGAGCTTGCGCTCGGCACCCTTGACGGGGACCCTGTCGTAGGAGCGGTCGTAGTAGTGCAGGAAACCGTAAGACTCGAGGTCCTCACCCTCGGGGGCCTCCAGGTTCAGCTTGGAGAGGCGGTTGAAGTCAACCTCCTCGATCATCTGCCACTCAGGGCGAATGTTGACAGAGGGCTCGCGAGTACGCTGAGGCTTGTCATAGTCCTTCCAGCCGAAGCGACGGCCACCGCGGCCGCCACGGTTGCCGCGCTGATCGTAGAAGCGGTCCTGACCACGGCCACCAGCAGCACGCTGGAAGCCACCACGAGCACCACCGCGCTGGAGCTGACCACCACGCTGGCCACCACGACCACGGAAAACGGTGCCACCACCACGGCCGAAGGTACGCTTGGCGGAGGTGCGAGTGTTGTCGACAACGGAGAAGGAAGACTCGTCCTCGGCACCTTGGATGGTGAACAGGCTGGTGGAACCGGCGCCATACACCTGCTGATCTGTATTTGCGAAAGAAAATTGTTAGAGATACATTGCCAACGAGCGTCGATCATCCGGCGGGATAGTAAAGAACGAGACAAAAAAAATATGGTGCAAAGTAGATCGCTTACCTCTGAAGTTGCGGTTGTACTGCTGGCGACCCTGACCAGCACGGTCCTTGGACTCAGCGGTCCAGTCAGCCATGCGGCCCAACTTGTCGCCCTTTGAGAAAGGAGCATAGGGAACACCCTCGAGCATGTTATCGCCCGAGGTGGCAGGACCCCAGGCATCCTCAGCCGGCAGAGCGGCGACGAGGTCCGCAATAGAAATCGGAGCCATTGTCAAAATTGTATGCACCGACGACACGAAGGACCAACGGTGGATTATTGATAATGCAGCGTGGGGTGAATGATTATCGGCGGGAAGTTTTTGTGTCGCGAGAATGTGGCTGGTGTCGCCCACAAAGCGGTGAGCACCGCCACATCACGTGTTGTGGCTCAGGTACCGTAAGGGGCGAAGTACAAAGATTCCTTTTATTTGCCTTGGCAATTTATGTCTCATGGTCATCGAGTTCTAAAATAACAAATTGTGGTATAACAAGCTATCTTTCACCTAGTAGACCTGTTTTTCATCCATGTCATCCAGGTCTCAGATGATTGCCTGAGATCTAAGGCGTACTGCACGAAAGAACAGAAAGCCAAGCACATGGACACCTCAAAGGTGCCACTTAGAGTGCTCACGAGACTTCAATAATAGTCAACCTTCCGGCATGAGATGTATTGCCCTAAGAGACTTCTTAGAGCATGATTTCAATGATGCATTCAAGGTCAAGCCTTATTTTTGTTACTGATATCAAGCTCATTAGGGTTTTCTACTGTTGCAGTGTCTTCACTCTCTTCAATTTCCTTCACGGAAAGGAATTTCATGTATCATGGTTGAAGATCTTGACAACAATAATCATCGCTAGCGATTCTAAGAGTTTTGGGAAAGCCTCGCTTGAGGAATGCACCTGAAAAGCCAAGCAGCACCATGATCAACGGAAGAAGTCACCTCTCTGGAGAATTAAATTAGGGCAAGCAGATGTCTTGAAAGGGAAATTATCGTCTCACAATCCAATTCAATTTTCTCTGTACACATTACAGCATTCCCTCTTGTCTATACAGAACTTACTCGCTGTACAAATGTGTTTTACCTTAATCTCCGGTCACTCTCTCGTTGGCGCCGGCATGGTGTCCGCTGGTCCTTCCAAGGGCTTCATGCTTGCCATGCGCAGCTCCATTAGGGCCCCGACCAAGGCGGACGATGCTACTCTGGCAGTACACAAGCTCGAGGAAAAGTATAAGGTCTCGAAGTGGAACACGGCTCTGCTTTGCTTTAGCTATGTCGCTACCACTCAGCATCTCGCCATGAAGTGTCTCTCAAAGTCCTTGATACTTAACGCTACACAAATGGCGGACTACTTGTTCTGGGGTGTAAGTGACTTCCTTAATTAAAATTAAAAATTTTGAAGATGCTAATGCTCTATTTCAAGGTGAACCTTATACTTCTGCTTGCGACTTGGCTCGTCAGTGCTGCACTGGGCCGGGGGCGCAGGGAATTTTTGGCATCAATCGATATCATCCTCAATGTTTTACTAACATCATGAATCGGGATGGCAAGTTCATTCTCGGCTATTTCGCGTTTAAGGAGTAATTTCGTTTCTTTTAGAATTCCTGAAAGGTAAAGCGGAATGGACGACGATGCCGTCTTTCTCCGGATTATGTACATTCGATTAGAGGAGATTATTATCTCTAATTAGCTTTCATGTTTTGAGATAATTACGGTAATTTATACGCCTTATTTTTTCTTTTTCGCTGTGCGGGAGTTACAAGAGGAGCCTGCACCGACGTTGGTTATAACAGAATGCACCTGATCAAAATATGAAACATCGAAAGAACCCAAGGAGATAGGTCAGTCCGTCCAGTGTATTGTCGAGTTATCTTATCTTGATCAAGCTGACCTCAATATGACCAATCGTATCGTACTTCATTCCTGTCGTTCCTCACCCTGCTCTCTCTTCCATCTCTTGCTTCGATGTCGGTTTGACCGAGTCCAACGTGGAAGCTTTTCAGTCTCAAACAATGTCACCACAAGTATGACAGCGATGCCAAGAAGACATCCCCCACGTCTATATAGGCAGCCCCTCCTCGAGTAGTGTTCGATGCAAGTCTGGTCCAAGGTCTCCGTTGGTAATGCCCAACAGCATAAGGTCAGACATGAACATGCGTCCAGTTTCCGCGTTCATTCATTTTGCGATATTGGTAGTGATGTATCACCCCGATGAATGGCTGTTGAAGAAGCCAAGTCACAACGAAGTCCCTAGGATAGTGTTGGTCTTGTTGTGAAGCTAAATCTCTTGTCGGCCGTAAGCCTTCCGTTCCGTGAGAAAGCAACTCATACGATCGAGATTCTCTCCCGCTCGGATCCCAGAGGCGAGGCCAGCAGTCATCAGAGTTGTTTAAGGGTTTGCCACCCTGCATGAATTTAAATCGTATTTTTGACCTTGTAAAAGCAACTTACAATACCCCGATTGGCATCATGATAGTAAGTATTAGGCCGATTACTATTCCATGCGCTTTCAAATAGCCAGGGACCGGATGTAGATCCCTAGCTATTGCTTGGGCCTTCGAGCGTTCAAACAATCGAGTTACTCTGCGTTAACTTGATATGAGGGAAGTTACATTTAAGGATGCATACACATAATAACGCAGATGGACAGGAATGTACATGAAGCTCTCATAGTGGGTGCTAAAACACTGTCCGATTTAACAACTCAGTACCTTTGAGCCCAGTTGGCGCCCATATATCTCTACCTTTGACGGCATGTTGGAATGCATACCACTGAAGGTTATCATCACCTCGCAGAGTTCAATTTCATACGTTGTCCTTCCGTCCAATAGGATCGCTCTGCGAGATGCTTGTTATTCTAATTAAAACTAAATCTACATAATTGTGGCCTGTTCAGAATCTTGTCTGTGATACGACCAACCTTCAAAACTTCTCATCCATGCAGGCGCAAGACCTGGCACAAAGTATGATATGCAGAACCGCTCACTTCGAGATAGAACTCGGAAGGTGATGGGCCACCTCCCATTTCGTTTGGAGTGTGTTGGCGGCTGCCATCGATAGAACAAATGTGGCGCACGACGGTTTTTCACCTCCCAAACTCCACATGAGGAATCTGCGCCATGATCAAGCAAATGCTGCTTGATTCTTGCATCCTTCTCATTATTTGTAGTATCGTATAGCGTCGATAAAGTCCACGTCAGCGCCGTCCAGCCATGACTGTCTATCGCATTGATATCGGCTTTCCCGGTATGAAGAAGATATTTGACAGCATCTTCATGTTTATTCCTGGTCGCTAATTGAAGCGGAGTTAACTGATCATAGATCTTTGGAAATGGTGCTATTTCGGCACCTGCAGCAAGAAGCATATGAATCAAATCCGTATAACCCCTACATGCAGCCCAACACAATGCCGTAGAGCCGATTGGAAGACCTGGCCATTTCTGAAGGTGTGAGGAAAGAAGGAGCTCAACAACATTCTCATGCCCGGCAACAGCCGCCCAGGTTAATGGACTCCAGTCGGAGCTGAAGTCCTCACATTCCCGGCGGACAGTCTTCCCAACGAGTAACTGGACTAAGTTATAATGACCTTTCATTGCCGCATAGGAAAGTGGAGATATGCAATTTTCACCTTGGGGCTCGATAGACATTCCGCGGTGTATGAGAAACTGTACAGCACTAATACGGCCATTCTCTGCGGCCCACGAGAGAGGAGATCGATAAGACTCTGGCAAATCAAGAGATGCCCCATGGTCAAGGAGTAGCTCCATTAACGGTAGATATCCACATGCTGCTGCCCAGCAAAAAGGAGTGCGAAGCTTCTCATCCATGAGATCAGTGTTGCCACCATGTTGCCGAAGGAGTTTTAAGAGCTCTTCATAGTGCTCCCCAGAAGACCAAAATGAAGAGATAGGAGCCAAATGGGGAGACTGGTCGAGGTTTTTGGCCTCTGGGCAGTCTGTGCAGTATCTGTGAAAATTCTGTGCATCGTCCCAGCTTATAGATCCAGCGATATCTTCTTCAAAATAAGCCTCGACTGGACAGTGAAAGGAGAACCTCGGATCCAACTTCAGAATCTCATCATGACCTGGTATGTTTCGAGGTTCTTTCGCCGGCTGAGGTGAACCAGCCCAGTGCAAGGGCGTTCGCATGATATCATCCTGAGTATTTGGGTCTGCACCAGCTTCCAAGAGGAGACGAACTATATCGGCGTGTCCTTTTTCTGTAGCAAATGATAGAGGAGTTCGACCTTTCTGGCATTTTATGTCTACAGAGATGCCATCAAGTCCCAGAAGAAGACTTGTCATATCCAAATCTCCTCGAATCGACGACCAGGCGAGCGGTCTCAAGCCACGATACCGAAAATGGTCGTCATCCATGAGCCCATTCGGATCTAGCTGATTTTTTCCTCGAATCACTCGGTCGGCATTCAATTGCAGAAGCAGTTGGACGGTATGGATATGTCCCATTTGTGTGGCAAACACGAGTACCTTATGGCCTCCATCGAGGCCAATCTCATTATCATAGATCCATGGCTTGAAAGTCCTGTGGAAGTCTCGATTTAAGCGAGCGAGGGACGTGAGGTCTTCGGGTGCTTTAAGACCAGCAACGATCTGCCGCAAAAGCTCGTTTGGTAGGTTGAGGAGTGACATGCTGAGAACATGGCACTTGTCGAAAATTAGCCCAGTCGAGTAACATAGAGATGAAGTGAGGCTAGAAACCGAAGGAAAGGAGTCTGTTCCAGTCAAGAAAGTTCTTCCTCGTAATACGTTGCGGCAAGTGCCGCCCCAGCCACCACCGTGATCGAGCGCTGAAGGAGGCATTTCCGAAACGAGTATTTACAAGCCATCGCGTGGGGCGCAATTGCCGAGCTGATATTGATGAGCTCATCAACGATCTGCTAAAATTCGATCGATAGTTATGAGATGAATCTCACTCGTGGGAAGCCTAAGCAGCAGCTTTCGACGATGAACGAGGTAACGAGGAAGAGCTCAGCTCCCACTGGAATCGAGGACTCGGGCCCCTGCTTATATTCGGCGATTACCCCGATTCATTCATGGTAAGATCGCAGTCTATTGCGTGTCAGATTATTCTCCATACTTTTCGTTTTCGAGTCGCTTTCCAGAATTTCTGACATCAAATTGGGAGCACCTGTTATCAAGCTGATAGAACCGTTTGGTTAAGTAGCATACAGTCGCTCAAATCAGCTTTTGCGACCGGACATCGCTGACCGTCATTGCCCTCGATCTTGGAGAACATTGTCATGGAGCAAGCTGGTCTTGAAGGTGCTGAGCTTGTAAGCGGAGCTACTACCATCGCCGATGGCAACACGATTACTCGCTGTAATCTGCGCAACTGTGCTGTCACTAGCTCCTCGGTGAAGCTTAGCGACTTCTCCGACCGTGTTTTCTCGCATGCGCGCTCAGTGAAGCAATCAACCGGAACTAAAACAAATTTCCACGATGTATCTCATACTAGTCGCAGTACCTTCTCCAATAGCATCATTCGAGACCAGTCCAGTGTTCATCGGAGCGAAGTGAAATTGTCTACACTGAATGACTCGAGCAATGTGAAGCGCAGCGCGGTCATTGGATCAAGCATCTCCCGCACTTCAGTATCGAGGACAACTTTGACCGACTGCAATACCGAGGAATGCATCTTCGAACGCTGCTCGTTCAAGGATATGATACTCAAGAATGGCTACTGGAAAAGGAACCAACTCATCAAGAAGGTAGGGAGTAAGGAGCCAGTCGCCGTCAAGAAGGATGGGCCGGAGCCTGCGGTGAACATCGTCGTTTCCTGAAATTCTTAGTACAAAGATAGCTACTAATACTTGCCAGAATTCTGGAGTTATGCCGTCTTCATCTAATATTCCGGTGGTCCCCGACACGAGCTCAAAGTCTGAGATGTCCGCTTCACGAAATGTCCTCCATCGCCTGGATTCTAATGTCACTCTTGAAAGCGAGGAATCAGATGATTCTGGAGACCTCCCTCCGCCATACAAAGTTTGAGACGGCGTGTGACCGAATAGTCTAGGGATGAGTCAAACAAAGGGGTAACAGTCCTTCGCGCACTTTATGATTTACAAGAATGCTATGTATAATTTGATGATCCTGAAGTTTTCGAGTTTTGGTAACTTCCTGGTCACATCTTTCGGATCAAAGCAATAAGCACATTTATTTGTTGTCGACATGTATCAGAGCAGGGTAGGTATCAAAACGGGAGATTCCGAAATTCGCCTTGCTCATAATCCGACTCATTCCAAGCTCAATATCCCTTCCGTCTTCCTAAGAACTAGTTGTACCTGCAACAACATACTGCTTCTCAGTCTTCAGCTGATTGAGAGTGCTGTCGCTAAGGTTCAATGTATCCTTGACGATCTGCTTCGGGGTTGATGCAATCCACTGACCAAGGGCCACGTCTAGGTGAGAATGTCAGTGAGGGGTCTGAGAAGTTGGGGTTGGTGAAGTGTACCTGTAAATTGAGGCGCTTGTAGCACTTCAAGGAACACCAATTCTTCGTCGCCAGTATTCTCGATATAATGGCTATTCGACTTCGGGAAATACCCAACATCGCCAGCGCGATAGTCAAAGGTTGTCGCAGCATTGGGTGCCGTGAATAACGTTGCACGTCCTTGACCCTTGATGAAGAATGTCCATTCATCGCTCGTTGGGTGCCAGTGGATCTCACGCATACCGCCTGGGTTGACCGTGACAACAGCAGCAGAGAAGTTGCTAGCGACAGGGAAAGTGAGTGGATCCACGATCTTGACAGATCCACCCGCAACCTCATGAGCAGGCTGTTCCGAGAAGTGGTAAGAGTAGCTTTCTGAGCGAGGAACGAGACCGGCCGAAGTGGTGACATTTTGCTCTTCGATATCTGCGGGGGCGGGAGTCCCCTTGAAAATATAAAGCTCGTCGTCCGGGATATTGTCAAAGGCCGACATGGAGACTCCGAGGTTCTTTGCCAATACCTCTTTCTGTTTAAAACATGAGCTCAAGTCTTATTTGTCCTGCTGGTACTTTGACTTACTGGGCTGTGGAGAAAGACTTCCGTGGCAAGGAAGGTGTTGTCCTCGCTAAAGTCACCCTGATCAAAGACTAGAAGGAATTCGACGCCATCCTCTAGTGCTTGAATAGAGTGGGGAATACCACTAGACACTGCGGTTAGAAACGAGAGACAAAAATAAAAATCATGGAAGACTCACGGAGGGAAGAACCAGACATCACCCGCTTGTAGGTCGTCGATGAACGTCTCTCCATTCTCGTTGATAGCCTAGTCATGTCGATTGGTTCCTTTTGCTCGCGTGATATAGTGTAAGGCGTCTCATACCTGAATTCTGCAAGATCCATTAAGAATCAAGGACCACTCAGAAGCAACATGCCAGTGTAGCTCACGATAAGCTGCAGGCTCCAATCGCATATCAACACCTGCCATTTCAGTGGCATCAGGCATCACAACAGTGTTCTCTTGACGAGCCCAACCAGCATTATCGCGTCCCAATCTTGATAAACCATTAGCAAGGCGCAAATTTGACTTTATCAATTTGTTTACCTGTTATGACTTAGACCTGTGTCAATCATCAGTAACAAGTTCTCGATTTATTGACACGATGAGCTTACCCATGGGCCATTGTGCGTTAATTGTCGCTCCATGATCAGTACCTGGCGGGGCTAGCTTATCACTGTTGATGCGATCATAGTAATAATTACCTAAAGCAATTCGTCAGACACTTCATCTTGCACGGTGACTCGTTATTGAGCTTACGAGGACCAGGATCATCGGACCCAGTGCTTCCTCGGATAGGTTGAGGGTTTTCAACGTTCTCAAAATCCAGATAAGAGCCAATGTCCTTGTCTTCCTTTTGTCCTGGAAGAAGAGTGTACTTGATATCAGGCTTTGTTCCAGTTGCTACTTGTTCAGTACGGGAGTATCCAACGAGTGCCTCGGAGCCTCTCAAGCCAGGGTTGCTCGAGCTGTCATCCTTACGGATCGGGGCAGGAGCAGCATTCACGAGGCAAAGGAGAGCAGGGACCAATTGTACAGCCTGGGAAAGGATCTGAGGCTTCATGATGACCGGAATTTCGGGCCCAAGTTTGAATGGTGGAAGAAGTAACTTGGTTTTGTTTGACAAGTTGCCCGAGTTTCCCACTCATCGAGCTGCCGAGGGCCTTTTATAGGTCTTTCTTCAATGTACCTTTGCCACCATTGCTCAGGCGCCCGCCTACTAGTCGCATGAAATTCTTCCCCTCACTCGATATGGGATTCAAATGCTGCTTTAGTGGGGATAGCTCTAATCTCCCCTCACCGTGTGCCCACGGTGATGTAGGGCTGTAGGTTTTGATTTCTTTTCCACTGCTCTTACTCGCTAGGAATAAAACAGCGAGGCTCCGAGCGGGAGGGGCCGATGGTTCTTGCGGAAAATGCGATGAATCAGGTCTAGAAGGATTCTACTGTGCATGATGTCCCCGCTCACGCATATCCGCGATCGAAGAATGGCAACACTGGCTTTTGTACAACAGCTGAGACTATGGATTACGTAGAGAAGATGCAGGCACCGGTCAGAATCCAGGAACCCTGATGCCTAGAAGGTATAGCAACAAAGCATGCAACGCAAAATTACACGCTCCTTGGAAGCAAGGAATCATATCCCTATCGGCTATCTAGGTTCCAGTCACGACGTGCGGTTGTCAAAGACCGGACCGGAGGCAGCTCGCATAACATTATTCGAGGCCGGACAGTAATTCGGGCTCATACTCACTTTCACGAATAGGGTGGGGAACCGGAAGCGATGTGAGGGGTGTCTCAATATTAAGATCACATATACTCCACTGGAACCATGGAAGAGCATTTACATGAAGTTGTCATGCACCTGAACCGATTATCGGCTCCAAGCGAGGTAACAGTAGCGAAGAGAATTCCCAAGTGGTCGTACGGGAAGCCTGAAGGCAATTTGCCTTCGCGATCGACAAGAGTATATCCCATGAGTGAAAAGCTACCTATTAGAAGCGAGGTCGGCGGTCATACATTAGCACTCGGAAGAAACAGAACAACAAGGTCCGAGCCAAGCTCTAGCCAAGGAGACCCACCCACAGCCATTGAAGAAACAAGCAATTCAAGAAAAGTCAAGCAAGCCTCGGGTATCACGGGTGTGAGAGTGGAACTTCGGCGATGGTACTTGAAAACGGCGAATCGAGATTGTCTCCACCCGGGAAATCCGCCTTATTCCCCTTCTCCGCGCGAGGGGTGAACTCGGACTTAAGCCAGTCGGCCCATAGCAGGGATGTCTCCAGGCCAGCGACTTGAGAATATCCCAAAATGAAATTTTTCACCCGTCAGAAGGATTTCTTGTCACCCTCCGCTGGAGGAACAGGTTGAGGGGATTAGGTTCAGTGAATGCGGACTACCATTCCACCATTGAATGTTACGCCCATTGCAGCTCATTACCTCGTGGGGATGGAGCTAGCATGGATGTCTGGATGAACAATATAGCCAGATTTCGGGGAGAGGCTGTGGGGGGGATCCTCAATTAGAACGTGGTATGCATGTTAAATATAGAACAAGGCGAGCCGAAGATCCCGCGACCCCGCGTAGTATCAGATCAATCATCATGCAGGATGTGCCCATTGACCGACTCATGAAAGTTTAATAAGAGGCAGCAACTTTGAACCTTGCGCGATAGGTTGTTTTCATGCACAAACTGCGACAGACATTCTTTACGACATTGGTCGTCCCTATCTCAAGACTGCTCGGATTCATAATTGAGAGCCATGGGGAACCCTTGGAGAGAGTAGCGTCGATTGAGACCCACTCGGACCGCGTAAGTCAGGAAATCGCTTCAACTACCAAGGTAGGAAACGTGGCATTTCAGGGCTATTCGAGAGGTATGGTGTTAGCCGGGTAATGTTCCAGCCGATGTGCATAAGTAATTGTTTGTACATGCTAATAATAACAGGCGCACTTCGCACGCAAGGATTTTCGGCAGAATCTGTAGAGAGTAAATGCTGGATATGATCGCAATGGAGCATGCGTCAACGGAATCATAAATTGTAAAAGACACTCGATACGGTACAAAGGTCTCTCTCTATTAACTCGAATCTGTGGCTTTAGCAGATTCTGGTGGCTTATGTAGTGAAGATGTACTTCGTATCTTATCTAGACTTTGATCTAGAAATACGAGAGCGAATCCAAGCACTTGAATTATAAGACTGACTAGTGTCATTGAAAGAAACATAATAAGTCCGGAGCGTTCAACATTGGATGACACTACAGGTCCAATCAACAGGGGCAAAGCTGAGTGAATGCACAGCGTTGTGCCCTGACAAAAGGTCTTATAACCATCACTCGGAAGGTCACCCCATTTATTATGATAAAAAATAACTTTTTTTACAAGTTAATGGTACTTTTTCCGAGACCAGAGAGGTCACACAGCTCAATATTTATCGGTCGCTGACGCACAGTCTCGACTTACGGGCCTTGTCTTTCAGGCAATCAAATTCATGATGCACGCTTAGATGCCTCAGGCCAGACGCTTACAACTGGGTTTCGTGGAAAACTCCCGTCCTGATGTAGGCAGTAACTTAGTCAACCTTGCTGCTGAGTAGTTAATTCATACCACAAATAACTGACTTAGTTAGATAGAGAGGCCGCAGAGTACTCATACATAACACATTATTCAGCCATCCGCTCGTAACTAACTACCCACCGAAATGACCGGCCAAACGGCAGATCATGCTAACAGCCACACCTACCTCCAAGCCCTTTTCCATTGGATCCACGCAGTACATGAGATGCTGAAGTCTTGAATACTTTTTATATGTGTGAATAACCTCCCCTCTCCATAGCATTCTTCAGACTGAAAGTATCAAAGACGGCCCACCACGATCGCCCAGTGCGGGGTTGCCAAGCCCAGCGCATCCGGGGCGCTATTGGATCCAGTGGATGAGCCGGAGAGTAACTCTAGAAGTGGGGAACTGGCCAAATCATGAGATCATCTCGTGATTTAGTGACGACGCCCTTAGTAAGTTATTCATTGTGATAGGTCGTCTGAGGGGCTGCCTTGTCCGGCGATTACATGAGGCGGGGCGGATTCTGCACCGGATTCTTTGGGGAATAGGGGGGGTCTTAGTCTGGACAATGGGCGGTGGTTGGCAGTGTGGCATTGCTAACATTCAAGGGTCATTCTAGGACGAGGGTTGGGCGACTCGTGGTGCATACTCGGTCGCACACTGACCAAACTTGTTTGGTAGTTTCTGCATGTTGAGCGTGCAAGATATTTGTACTGCGTTGTTCTTTATTCTTTAGGTGTTGATCCAGGACTATGAGAGCACCTTTCGTGTAGACCTGGCTTTGACTCTGCCTAGATTGTCGCTCGACATGGCCCCTAGGGTGCCTTCGCTCATTCTTTGTAAGGACCGGTCTGGCGCTTGAGGCATTATTCAGTCATGATGACTCCCTTGACTGCCCAAGGGGTTGGGTCTGTGATCGCACAACTACGTGATTATTAACGGTCTTCGTGTGGTCTCTCGCTCGTTTCCTGTCATAATTAATTCTACGGAGATTTGTTACTCATTTCTACGACACGGATCGCTTAGATCGATGCTATTGATATTGATAATAGTAACATTCGCGTTCGAGGTAAAAGTAGCCCCAAAACTCCGAGTCTGTCTTGCCAATCTATGGCGATAAAGTTAAAGGATCGAACATCTTGATAGATAAAAGAAAGGCCCTGCCTAAACATTCCTCCTCCGCGTCATTCCATAGCCAGTACGGGGGTCGAGATGAAGGTTGTATGTCGAAATATTCAAGTGTCAAAGTGTGAGGGATAATGTGTGATGGACAAAAACATAGATGATAATGATGGCAATGCCGACTCTTCAAAGGAAGAAAACCTCGTCAAGGTATCTATCTACCTGACATGTTTCAGGTATCTCATGGTGAGGTAGACAGCCGCCAGGCTGGTGTAGACGCCACCTCCAGCGGTAAGCCAGACAGGACGGTGAACGTTCAGCGAAGTGCGAAGCAACTGGCCCTCCTTCTTAGGCTTGGCCTCTGTAGAATGTTAGATAGACGATACTTTGGATGGAATGTGATGATCGAAGTCAAGGAAGAAATGGGATTTGATGAAAACGTACCCTGCTGGAAGAGCCTCTGGCGAAGGTTGTTCAAGCCCTGACGGGAACGGGCAGGCAGCTGCTGGAGCTGGGCGATAATAGGACCAACTGGTGCTGACATGATGATGAAATTGATGTAGACTTGATGGAAATACCAGATTTCACGGCTTAGTTGATGATTTGAGAGTGTAGAGGAGAGTTGTCAATAGGAAAGATTGGAAGGAGAGTCCCCTTTGGCCCCCAGCCCTTATATAGCAGAAATCAGATGACAGCTGAATGCGGGGTTTACCAATAGCGGGGGGTGACATTTGAGGCATCCGGGGCATCCCTGCGCGGTGGCGATGCCAGTAGAGTTTCAGCTTGTATCATGGTGGCTTGCTCGCCCAGAATTCCAACATGGTGGCCTATGGTCGTCGCTTGACTCTCAAGAAGTGATGATCAATCCCCTTACGAGTAGTTTGTATGACCTGTCATACAAGCAGGGCAATTTTATAACTTGAAATGCAAAAATCGAATGATCGCAGCATGTATGGGCTGATGGGCGGGCGACGGGCGATCAGGGATGAGGAGGGCGACCAGAATGACCTCCTCCGCATGCCTGGTGCAACTCTGTCTGGGGTGATTGGCTCCTAGAACCGAGCAGTCGTTTGAATACGCAACACTGCCCGGTATAATGTCCATGATGACACAACTATGAGCACCAGACACGTAGCCATAGGGACTTTCTCTCCATGGCCATAGGGAGGAGCCCCTGACACCATCCCAATGGCATGATCAAGCATAAATTTTGGGTTCACCAGGGGTTCTGGACTCGTATATTTGGAGCCTCAAGGATATCTCTACCGCATAATCATTAATACAACATCATATCATCTTCGCTATGCTATATCGTTGAAAGGATCGCAGGTGGGCGCGTTGGGCTACAGAGTGGAGAGTGGAGTCGCCCGTTCGGGCCCACTGTGGAAATCCGGGGATGCGATCGTATGTGGGGTTAGTGTATATCCACTGCTTGCCGGCCTTACTCGAAGCTCAACGCTGAGACGTTTACGATCAGTCAAGTGACGGAAATTCGACAGCACTCCGCATCAAATACCATTGAATATTCAATTAGTATCTTAAGAAAAACCCCCAATTTCATGATTACATGCCAACCAGCATCTAAGATGCAACAAGTAAAGGCGGTCAGCCTATTCTAGTTATTGCCTACGGTATACGAATGTAGAAAGCGGTCTACAATTCAGAGAAGAGCTACTCACAACATCGCGCTAGACTCAGACACCTTTTCATTTCTGTGCTTCACTTGTCTACTCACACAACCATCAGAGAATCATCACATACTACTCACAACATCAAAGATCCAACGACAAATCCATCGGACATCCACCACTTAATGCCAGCGATGAGTCCAGCATTCATCGGCACACCACCGGAACATGATGCGAGGTGTGAAGCTGGCCTCTGCGAGCCTCTCCCTCACCCAGGGGTGGTCCTCGTTGGGACTAAACATATACAAGTTTACGCCACCATCGGGACTATGCTGGGTGAGGACTCGCTCGTCCAGCATGTTGACAAAAGCGCCGGATGGCGCTCTCCAGATGTTCTCCGGATACTCGATGCCGGCAAACCCCTGGTCCTTGGCGGCCTTCCACCTCCGCCAGATCTCTCGGCCTTTCCCCAGCTTCACCCACCAATTCAGGTGCTGTCGGAGGTTGTCAACCTGCTGGCGTCCTCCGGTGAAGTTGTTGAAGAACGTGATAACACTGCGGGTCTGGGTGCCGGCCCGATCCATGCAAAGCCAGCGGTATCGCTCCATCAGTATTGCGTCGTCCGGGTCGACTAGCTGGATAGGCTCGTCCAACATCGCACCGAAGACTCCTGCCGCCCTAACATCGGCCTCCTTGGCGTGGATGGGAATGGTCTCCATGATGATCAGCGGATCCCACCACCCACTATCGGGAGCATGATGCATCCCAGGATCCGTTGTCAACATTCCGGCCCGGGAACCCCACGGATTGATCATCACAGAGTAGATCGCCGTGTCAACCGCCATGGACTGAAGCCACTGCTTGCCCTGAGCGGAAATGGGATAGTCATTGATCCGATTAACAGCCCCAGGCTCATCCTTTTCATACATCATCACGATGTCCCTATTTCTCTGGAACCAGAAACCGACTGTCTGGCGGACCTGGTGCTTCGGGTCTATTTGTCCTTCATGGACGGCGGCGCGGATGGCCACCATGCGAGACTCGTGGTTGACTAGCGAAATTGCCGGCGGCAAGGTGTTTTGCTTGGCTGTCCATGTTCCGTCGCATTTATCCTTTTGGGCCACCCACCGAGGGTGGTTGAGTTCGACGACTCGGTTCGGTAGACAGAACTCCCAGATCTTCATCCGCAATTCGGCCGGCAGGCGACTGAACAAGTGGAACTGAGGCTCCGGAGGCCTCGCGGCAGTCCGGGATCTGTTCATGCCTCGAAATGACGATAAAAAGGCTGGCCACGGCAAGTAAATGGCTTGCTGGGACGAGTCCATATTTTCAAGGCGCAAGCAGAAACTCGAAATCAACCGGTCTTGGCAGCAACTGTGATTGACAGAAACCACAAATGATACCAACAGTCAATAGTAGCTGATGGCAATGCGAGAGGCCCTTGGAGCCGACAACAGCCTCTAGTGACTCCGACTGCCGTTGGCAAAGACGGAGATTGAGACCGACAGCTAAGTGCAGCCGTTAGCGACAGACTATGAGCTACCACAGTAGCAGCGAATGGTACCAACCGTTTAGCAACCTGTGATGGCGGCACAGGTGAAGCTGGCTGTGGAAGAGTGGAAAGATGACGAGGACAGGGCAAGAGCAGACAATTGACGAATGCTGCTTGGTCGGAGATGCAGGACGAGGTATCAGGATGAAGATGTGAAGACAGAGCTTCAGCTTGATGAAAAGGCGCGTTCGGTATGATCAAGCAACAATGGAGGAGAAGGATCGATGGCTTGAAATATGGAGCAGGGTGATTGAAGTCAGAACTGTCAGAGTGGCACCAGCTTGGCAGCAACCTGTGATGGCTGCACAGACGATGCCCACCATGAGAGATTTATGATATCGAAAGGACGATGAGAACTGAGCAACACCAGACGCACGACGACTGCTGTCTACCGAAGAGGTAGGAGGAAGCTTGAGGATGGAGATGGGGAGAGGAGAAATGGCGAAGGATGGGTATGAAGCAGTCAATATCTCTTGGTGAGATCGAAAGACTACAAGAAGCGGGCAACACCAGATGCACGGTGAACCTTGCTGGACGAACGAATGTCGAGGATGAAGATGAGAAGAGCTCTTGCGGAGACCGAAAGACGATGAGACCTGGTCCACACAGACGAACGACCACTGTTTGGCCAGAGAGGGAGGACGTTCAGGATGACAGTGTGAAGAGGAATGATGAGAAAGAGGGTTTGGAGAGGAAGTATGGGAACAGAGGTGTGAAGGTCTCTTGGTGAGGACGGAAAGATGAAGAGTGCCCGGACCACGCCAGACGAACGACGACTGTCGCTTGTCCGGAGAGACAGGGCGAGGATTGTGAAGATGAGGAGGAACGAACCGTCAGCTCGACGAAGAGGCTTTTGCAGTCTGATCAACGAGTGATGGACGAAAGTCCATGATGGTCTGAATGAAGCAGGATGATGGGATTCACGGCTGTCAACAGGGCTGTTAACAGGACGCGATGTGCGAAGCGAACGAGGATGGGGAAAGGAACGAGAGGAAAAGGGTGAGAAAGAGAAGAAGATGGACGACAGGACGATGAATATCAACAGTGGCAGGAGGGCTGTCCAACTCCTGCTTGCGCTTATCGTTGCTTGCTGTTATCGGGGATCCCTAAAAAGAGTGCACGTGAAAGTCCTCATGGGGCATCAGGATCAAGGAATCAAGCGCACCAATTGAGCACTCATGTTGCCCATTTGGCCCCTGCCACTGCTGTTGCTCGGCCGCCAGCAAGCTCTACAGATTCAGGAGGTACGTTTTACTCCAGACGACTAACTTGAGAAGATGGGATTCACATATGTCAAAGAGTGCTGCACTGGATGCCAGAATGTGTCTTCCGAGTGCGCTGCTTCGCGTGGACCATTATCCTGGACTTGATCTTCGATTGCATCGGAAAACTCCCTACCCAGGGCAATGATGCTAACAAATCAAAGATTCAAAGGTACTCCTGGAGTAGACTAACAATGCTCGCAGTGCATGATCTCCATTCGATTAGCAAGTTACATTTCTGGTCCTCAAGAGGTGAGTAATAGGCAGTCTTTAGAGTAGAGGGAGTAAATCAAGACAATGTGCAAATCATCAGAGGGTCAAAGATAGATACATACACTTACAAACACTCAATTGAAGACCTATAAAAGACCTGTGGGATCGCAGCGTGGCTGAAATAAGCTCCTCGGGACCCGCTTATGCGGGTCCCGACGCGGGTCCAGGTTGGGGAACAAAGAAAGGTTCCGTGTTCCGGAACTTCTCATTGATTGTACACAACTGGCGATGCCTGAGCAGGATAAAACGTTTCTCCTGCATGAAACTATAGAAGCTCAATCTCATGTGAATAATCCGCCATATATTGACTTAGACCTTGCTTTATGTAGCATTAGCTACTGCACAAATCCCAATCAAGTGCTAATGTGCAAGACTGGATCGTTCAGGTCTCTTATACCATCCTATAACACATAATGAGGCTTATGATACCTATCGATGACTCGTCCTCATATCCAATTAGACTCCCACGATCGATCATCTCCTTACTGTATCATCGAATTGGCGAATGAATTTATACATTGTGGACTGTCTATGTAATGTTATTCCTCCCCGTCTCGATCAAGGTCTCGTTCACCCCTCTAGGGATGCGGCAGAGATCTCGTGCCTCATCGGGCATAGTGTTCCATATAACTTGGCGAACTTCCTTTCCAACTTGCTCAACGGCATCCATAGCCCAAAGGAAATCGAGATGCTCATATTCTTCGATGACCTTCGAGTGCACAACTCGAACATGAGGCTCGAGACCTCCTTCGAAGCGTTGTAAAAGCCGCCGACCATCCACGAGTGCATCGGAGCCACCAACCCAGAGGGCGAATGGAGGGACTTGAGGGCCGAACCAGGCTTTGTCGGCAGGGGCAGCTAAGCAAGGATCTCCAGGGTCGTCTCCATGCACCAGATCGACATCCTCTGGATCGCGATTGTCTGCCTTTGCCTCAGAGGCTGACTGATCCTCCGTAGAAAGAATGCACTTGTGCTTCGCGAACCCGTCGCTTCCCAGCCACCATCGCATTATTTCAGCACTAACGTAGACAGGAGCGAATTGAAACATGCGGTCTCGCAAGTCTTGTTCCCAGCGGCAATCAGACCAGTCGAAGAGGAACGAAAATACGCAATATGCGAGCGTGCCGTATAATTTGGGATGAAAGGTGCGTTGGACGGTCATCATGAAGGGTATGAAAGCGTGAATCCCAAAGAAGACGCGAAACATTTCGGAGGACATGATGCTCATGAAGCGGAAATAGGACCTGCCCACGAGGGGTCCGGCATATGCAGCGGGTGCGAGGGCACAGAATACGGAGATACGCTCGCCAAGCTCGGGTCGGTGTTCCTTCGCCAGAGCCACGAATGTTTCCGCGGTTCCTTGGGAATGGCACACCAGACCCAGTTTCTCGAAGCCGGTCTCGTAGAGCACACGGGATGTAAGTGCCGCCAGGTCAAGTGTGCCGAGGTGTCGAATATCCCAGGACCACATACGTGGGTCGGATGGAGACAAAGTGGTGTGCTCCGGTGTCATTCCACATCGGTTGTTTCCTAGCCAAACATCGTATCCAGACTTGCAAAGAAAGAACGCTAGACTATCGTCGTTATTGGTGCAGTAAGCGCCTGCACTCTGCAGCAACCCGTGTATTAAGAGAACGGGGTATCTTCGCTTTGCACTGGAACTGGACGCAGGCTGGCTCTTTGTGCCAGTAAAGACCGCGGGTCCGCGCTCACGTCGCTGCTCGGCCGGAAGTGCTGCATATTGCTGGGGGTTAAAGACATGCCAGAGTGTAATGATGAATCCGTCCTCGGTTTGGACCCGAAAAGTTTCAACATCCAATCCAACCCGTCGTGCATAGTATGCAACATCGCAAACTACCGCATCCTTGCCCCCTTCCAGCGGGGGACATTCATCTGACCCTTGCTCCTCATCCGCGTGTTTCTTTTGTTGCCGAATTTCCCATTTGCGGTCTGACTCGGCCCGTGATACCCTCCGTTTTTCTTCCTCGGCTTTGAATACCCGCTCAGATGCAGGCTTTCGGCCTCGTAGTCTTGCAGTTGCATTGACAAGTACAGACCCAGCGGTACGAGACAATGCCCCAACAAAGATCGCTGTCAAAAAGCATAGCGATAGCGCGAAAGATACAATTTGAATCACATAGTATTTTATGTTGGAGGCGATAGTCGGGGGACCGTATGCGGGTAGCGGTGGAAAGAGGGGATGTTCCTGCAATTCGAACGGGACTTCCTGCTCGCTCGCACTGCCGTGTTTCTCGGCTGCATACAAGTCACCCTTTGCTGCATTATCGTTCTTCGTGCCTTGTAAACTGTTCCTAATTGGGACATTGGATCGCGATGAAGGTGGATCAGAGGGGACATCGGGAAATATTGATAGGACGAGTTGGAATTCAGGTTCATCCGTCTGCGCTGGCGCAGTTGTGGTGGTTGTCCCACGGGGGATACTGACCTCCATGGTCACGAGGTCAGGTCAACGGCAACGAAAGACAACGGCACATCCTGCAATTTGAAACAGAGACCCAGAAGAGGCGTGGAGTTCTCAACATGAATCCGCGTCCCCTTGGCGGACTGCGCACCTCCCCGCCAATGACGGAGGCTCCCGCCCGGGTCAGGTACAGTCACGTGTTCACCTGCAGCCAATCAACGTGTGTGAGGATGAAGATTCACGTCAAGGCCACATAGATCGGGTGGCAAAAACCGGTTGTTCAGAGATCTAGGTGATGAAGTCATATCATGCTGAACCTGAAGCCTATTCATGAAATTATAAAACCCACTGACAGGTTTCTAAAGTCCGAAGTCATATCTCGAGCCAATGGGATGACTCTGCTTGAAATAAGCCTTCCGTGGTATACTTCATCCTCGGGACATCTTGGCGCGAGATTGCTGCAGCCCAATGAATTTGGTGCAACAAAGTCGTGGCTTGAATATCTCGGTATTAAGCCACGATATTCCGCAAAAAAAATCCATATTATATAGCATACTCTGATGTTCGTTTTTACAATGACAAAAAAAATAGCCGACGATTCCCTTAACTGTTTCCTATCTAATCTCTACGTTGATCTCTTAGTGATGTAGTAATTATATGTGCATGTTTGTGTCACGGTATCAAAAGAAATATTGAGTTCACGCCCTGTATGTATAAAGCGACAGTTTTCCAGAGAGCAACGTATAGGAGGCAGAAATCTGCACAACCCCGCAAAGGGCAAGTCCCGCGTTGCAGTCGTCGAGTGAGCACCTTTCTTATCAAGCGGATTTATCAAGCGGATAATTAACTTGATCACTCAAATCTCCATATGCCACCTGAAAGCGACACAGGCAACCCAGATCACCATCGTGTTGCACTGGCTTCTCTTCACTCTCTTATGCAATGTTTTGTTTCAGTGCTTATCTGGATGATATGATAGCCGAAGATTGGCAATTTGTCTAGACTTGATTGTCCTTGTGAGCCGTTGACTGCTGGAAACGAGCAAATTTGGACGATGCTTTCTAGCTTCGAGACACCAAACATACCATTGGGTACCATGTTTTAAGCAAGCTTTAGCAAATTCCAGATCCAGAACAACATTCTAGCTACACTTGAGACCTACCGTCGAGTCCGAGCCACCTAAAAAAGGCAATGGGAGAAACAATAACATCTCTTGTTCATATTTACTGTCATTCCATCTTACAGCCTCAGAACGGCTCGTGGCTCCAGTGGCCATTTCTGGGTAATTTCGTCTTGATGAAGCAACGTCATGTGTTGGTGCGAACTTTCACTGCCATGGAGCGAGGGTTTAAACATGTTTCTTTCGAGCGGTGGCAAAAAAAAAACGTTTGATCGTATAATGCCAAAGGCAGAGTCATTGGGGATAAGCTATGCAAAGTCTATATTACAGGAAACCAGCAGATCTATCTTTTCTATACACGCTCCAAACGCCGCCATGAAGGAAAGTTAGGTGGACTTGCACGAGAACACACCTCCAACGGTGCCGTTGTCGTACGACTTGATCTGTTGTAGACAGTTAGAATTCACGAATAACAAAGTTACAGTTTGCTGTTTCAGAAACTTACAATATCAACAATGCTGGCGTATGTTCCGGCAACCAGAACAATCAGACCGATGGCGAAAATGATCGAGTTAATCACAGTCAAGAGAAGGTTCTTCTTTTCGAAGTAGCTTCCCTCACGAATGAACATGAACCACATGATAGCCGGGAAGTAGAAGGTGAAGCCGGAGACGAAGAGCGAGGAGATGATCGACAGCAGGTCATCGAAGAAGGGGATGACCTCGGCAACCACAAACTCGAGGATGGTCAAGACAACGATCAGAGCCAGCCAAGTCACCCATCCCATCTTGGTGTTAACAAAACGGATGTTGGAACTCTTGAAGATACGGCCGTGAATCAAGCGGCCCAGAACCACGGTGTTAATGGAGCCACTAATGAAGATGACTGGCAACGCGATACCGAAAGCCACACGGCTGAGGAGGTGGCCTGCAGACAAAAGGGCAGGGCTCTGGACATCCTGGCCGACAAAAGCGTAGACGAGGGCACCGGTGATAGTGTAGATGAAGATCTCGGCCAGACCAAGAGCCCAGACGGACTTGGGGAAATCGGTAGGGGTGTGCATCTCGTCCATGAAGGAGAATTGGCAGAGGGCGAAGCTGTAGGCAAAGATAATGTTGGAGAGCGCAATGAAGGCCTCCGAGAAAGTAAGACCCTCCTTGGGCCAGGCGGACCAGTCAACCGCAGCCAGTCCAGTCGAGTCGCTGGCCTGCACGCCGGTACCGATGATCGTGATTCCAACGGCGATGATGATCGACACAAAGTCGATATATCCGAGAATAGCCATCTCGGAGAAACTAGGCGGAATGGCGAAGATCAACAGGATGATAGCGGAGACGACACCAAAAATCACGGAGCAGATGTTGCTCTCCGTGATGTTGGCAAATGCGATGGTTCCGGTCAAACAGTGGGATCCAGCCGACAGAAGAAGCTCCAAGGCCAACATGACATAGAGAATCTCGTATCCCCATCGGCCAAACATCTGTCTTCCAGCCTCGGGATAGTCCGAGATATGCGGGAACTTGACCTTGACCTGACCGATGATGTAGCTAGTGTACACCGCGATGAGACCAATACCAACACAGCAGATCACGCCCGCCACCATACCGAGTTTCGCAAAGGTCGCCGGGATCGAGAGGGTTCCGAGGGCAACGGCCTCGACGATCAGGACGATCGTCAGGCGCTTCCATCCCAGACGATTGAACTTCTGGATACCACCCTCATAGATCTGCTGTTCCCGATCACTCATGTCGACCATCCCATCCTCAGATGGAACCATCTTGTCGGCATTGTTCTTTTTCGGGGACATCGGGGCGACGCTGGTGGACCGGGAGGAGGAAGTATACGAAGCGGGCTGGGGGGACGGAGAGGACAACGCGAAAGGTCGCGACAGAGCGAGAGGGGAAGAATATTAAGTAAAAATGGACTCCAGCCGACGCAAAGCCGAGAAATCTCGGTTGGTGAAGGATTCGATAGACAAATCAATCGCTCGGCACCTTCCCGAAACAGCTCACCTCTTGCCCTGAGCCCCACCAGGGCAGCCGCGATTGCGAGGCTTGCACTCCACTGCAGTCCCATCCATTGGGTTATACGAGTTCTCGTTAGTCATGATTGTCAGTCATTCCATCGAACTTGCTGCCCTTTCATTGATTATCTATACTTCTTATCTTGACTCTAGAAGCCGTCAGGAAGCTTGTACATAATAGCACGGTATAATTGTAGCCAAACGGCGCCCGAGTTGCTAGTGCGGCTCTTAAGGTTCTTCAGAAGTGTCGAGCCAAGCCAATCGGCTTCAGCCCTACTCTTAGCCCCCTGATCTACGCCACGCGCCACGCGAAGCTAAGAGTTTTTTTCCCTGACTAAGGCCAGCTTAAAATTTTCCTTCGCCCCTACTTCTAGCCGCGCTTTTCCGTGGAAACCCACGGCAAACCGTAAGGCAACCCTAGGCGATGTGCCGAGTCAAAAATCCTCGTCGTGCCTAGCAGTCATAACCAGGGGGATACGTTCGGCACCTCCTGTGCCGATTAACATAGTGGCGGTTAAAAAACCTGAGGCTAAAACCTGGTCATGTGATCTCCTCCGAGTCCGTTTCCGTCTCGTACTGCAGACGAACTGGTGCTCTATAATGACAGTGGTGGCTGGCTGTTTTGAGAACCAAAACATTCCAGTTGTTAAGATTTACTCCGCTCATTCAAGGCCAAATAGAGTTTGTTTTGCATCTGGCTTTGGTATGTGACCTACTTCCACGACATCTAAATTCAGACTGCAAATTCGAGTAAACCTTACTAATACGTGATCACAAGGAGATTTCGGCTAAATTGACAATGTTTAAAGTATGGCAAAAGGTAACCAATAAGTTAGTCAGTATATTAAATAAATAGTCAGCAATATATGACCTCTAACGTTCCCCGTTCCATAAAGGAAACTGTCATCCGGCGAGTAGTAAACGGCGTTTGCTCACCATAAGCCGAGAGAGTTTCCGATCCACAACCCGCTTTTAGCCTTTCTTGCGGCCGCAAAAACTTAGATTGTCATCGAATTATCCGCTGACTCGGAGTCAAAAAAGAAACGACGCCTGTCGGATTTGAACCGACGCCCGCGAACGGACGTGATTAGCTTGACACATCTGATGATGTATGGATTCTAGTCACGCGCCTTAGACCACTCGGCCAAAGCGTCCAATTGTTGAAGAAACGATCGCCGTTTGACTACATCAATGGACTACAACAATTTCGATGCGAAATGGAGAGATCGGAACGTAGTAAGAATTAAATCCGCTGGCATTGCGTATACACTGCAATTATTTGATTCTGTATGATAATATCGAGTTTGAAATAGAAATTTCCATCTCTGAACTGATACTTTGCTTCGGCTTGTGCAGTTTAAATTTTGTCCATTGCGAGGCCATTGCGAGGAACTATAGCGAATATATAAATATGAACCTTTTGTCGTGCCATTGATATCACCCTTTCTTTATCCTGCCATACCGGTCATTCCTTTATTGACAATGCGATATTTGAACCACCAATAGGTGATATGCGATATTCTGGACCGGGATCGCGACTGACAGAACTTGAACCTATTGCTAACCCAGCAGTTAAAGTGCAAGATTCGAGGCTGGTCGTTACGCTGCGGATTCTGACTTGAAAGATGGCAGAAATTACCAATTGTACGTTTGAGTGGTTACAACAGCGATGAGCACAGACTGTGAGTCGTTCCCTCTTATGGGATGCCGAGGGCACTAACGCATTTGCTATATAGATGAGTTTATCCTCATTCTCATTCGACCAATGCCGTACTTTGAGAAGGAATGGGAAATTGGCGTGAACCTTACTAGGGTTGTGGATGGTGGAAAGAAAATCGCTACACTTGACCTACGACGCAAATGGGAGGATTGAACAGGTGATTGGGGGCGCTAGTCTACCCCTTCTCGCTGTTTCAAAATACTTTAGCTTTCTAGTCTAACTGTGTCCATTCCTTTATGATGTCAGAATTCTTGTATTTAAATTTCCACGTCATGAGTACTCGAATAATATAGACGAGGATGATACAGTATGCTCGGAAGTCATACAACAGAAGACTGTCCACCATAAGATGATCTCTATAACAAACAAAACGAACAAAAAACACTCCATCATCTATCATTCATATTCCATCATCAAATCTAAGCCTCCATCTTGCCGGTAATGCTCTCCATATGAGTCGCATGCTCCCCACTCCGCTTCTCATTGGCCTCAGTCTCAAGCTGGGCCAGATTGTTTCCACCCTTGACACCACCCGCAACATCACGCACATCAGTGTAATGCACGGAAGGCTCCCAACCAACCGAGTTCCAAGCCCGAGGAACCTTAGCATAGAGCTCATCAACCTGCTCAAGCGAAAGACCCTTAGTCTCATAGATGCAAGTATACACGAAAATCGCACAGATAAAGCAGAAACCGCCCCAGATGAAGAACACCTTGGACTGCAAGTTTGCATTTCCGGGCCCGCTGTTCACCATGTACGGGGTGGCGTAGGCGATCGCCCAGTTGAGGAGCCAGTTCGTCGCGGTCGTGATGGAGAGACACTTTGCGCGGGCCTTGAGGGGGAAGAGTTCGCCGGTCACGACCCAGGCGACGGGGCCCCAGGAGGAGGCGAAGAAGAAGATGTAGACGCAGACGAAGGCGATGAGGACTTTGTTTGCGACGGTGGAGGAGGCGGCCGTGCCGACGATGGCGACGATGAGCTGAGAGACGCACATGCCGACGGCACCGAACATCAGGAGAGGGCGGCGACCCCATTTCTCAACCATATAGAGACCTGGGAAGGTGGAGACGACATTGATGATGTTGGTGATTAGGGTGATGACGAAGGAGTTTTGGATGCCAGAGTTTTGGAAGAAGGTCGTGCCGTAGTAGACTGGAAGGTTGCTTGTTAGTAATGTGTCAATGGGTGGAAGGGGGATGGTATAGGTAAAAAACATACAGATGAAGTTCACACCGGCTAGCTGCTGCAGAGCCTGAATTCCGCAACCAGTTGCCAGACGCCTGCCAATGGAGCCGCGCAAGATCTCGAGGTAGCTAGCCTTGCCGAGACGGAGCTCAAACTCGTGGTTGGCCTGGATCTCGGAGAGCTCCTCGACGATGATGGGGTCATTGATGTCGACGCGGCGGAGACGGGCAAGGGCCTTGGTGGCGTCCTCGTAGCGGTCCTTCTTAATCAGGAAACGAGGGGTTTCGGGCAAGATAATCATTCCAGCGACCAGAATGATGGCCCAAGCAAACTGAATCGCAACGGGGATACGGTAGCAGCCAGTATCCGGGCGGTCCTTAGTAGAATTGTTGACGATGGCAGCCAGAAGCAGACCGATGGTGATGGCCAGCTGATAGGCACCGACAATGGTACCACGAATCCACTTAGGAGCAGTCTCCGACTGGTACAGAGGAACTAGAGAAAAAAGGTTAGATATCGATGCCAGACCCGTTGTTGGATATTCCTCAACTTACTAGTTGCCGAGAGCAGACCGACACCCAGACCGGCGAAGAATCGGCCAGCCACAAACAGGGGAATGGAAGTAGAGGCTGTCTGCAGGATAACACCGAAGCAGAAAACAAAGGTGTCGAGAATCATAGCAATGCGACGACCGAAGTAATCCGCAATAGGGGCAGCGCCGAGAGCACCGAAGAAAGTACCGGCAGAGAGAAGGGACACGATCATCGAGGACTGGGACGAAGTAACATCGGGGAGGCCGTCCGTAGGGTTGACATATCCAGTCGAGAACATCTCACGCCATTTCTTCATGGCCAGGATACCACTGATGGTACCGGTGTCATATCTGTGAATCGGAATGGTCAATGCTAGTCCTGAGTTGCACAAGCAGGACCGAGGAAGATACTCACCCGAAGAGCACACCACCAAATGCAACGAATAGACCGATAATAATGGCCGGGGTCGCCGAGCCGACGGCATCGTCGGGCTTCTTCAATGCGAAGCCCATGGCGAGAGAATTGAGTGTTAATAGTATGCGTATAGGCGTAAGGAATCAGGCAGCAGAAGGGAGATGATAGTATTGGGGAGTGCTGCGCTGCAGACACACTCAAATGGTAATAGAAGACAGAAGTCAAGAAAGAATAGGTCAATATCGCCAATGAAGAAACAATCAAGAAAAAGAAAGAAATCCGGAAAAGTCAATCTGGGGTGCACAGGATCCCACGAGGGTTTAATAGTCCACGCCAAAACCTAGAAATACAATAAAACACACTCGAACCGGCCATGATCAGCAATGCCCCCGAGGGGCCCCAAAGCGGCCGAAACCAGAAACCAGAAAAGACAAGAAACCACTCGAAGAGTCTTCTCCGTACCCCAGCAAAACCAAAAGCAAAAGGGCACTCCGAGATTCCCTGCATGGGGGGCTGTTAGGGTCGGGGTGTGGAGTAAACAAAACCGGCCAATGCAGCCATGCTGTAGAGTGGGGATATTTCCAGGAGAAAGCGGGTGGTCCGAGAGGAATTGCTATTGGCTCCGCTGGATTTGACTCTACGGCTCAACCGTGGCCGACAAAGATTCTCGAAGGGCGCTGCTAGGATCGGCGCCACCAGGGCCACCAGGGACGAGCCAAGGGGAACTGCGTTCAGGATGGGATAGGGGAGGCTTGGGTGTCTGGTGACTTGAATATACTAGAAGGAAATGGAGCGAAAATAATTGACAACAAAATAATTAAGTGTACTATTCTAGAAGGATAATAATAGGCATGTCTCACGAGGGCAACCGAAAACGGGGTTCGCCGGTTGCGACGCACCACTTCACGAGTCTCCAAGGTCGATCACCGCTTTGGGCATAAGAGAGACTGCCATCCCTTGTTGGTTCAACAACACAAGTATTAACATTAAAGTACCTTGATCATTATTTACAAGGCCATGATACATTCAGATCCATGGTGCCTCTGATTATTGACGATGATGTGTGAGAATAAACAAGGAATTAAGCAAGAACCAAGAAAGCCACGGGCTCGGAGCGTGGCGTCGTTCTAGGCGCAAACCACTTACGTTATGCCACTCAGGTAACTAGCTACTGGACTGTACAACATACACATGTTACAAATAATAAGGTCACCAAAGAACCAGCAATAATGAAAAAAAAAATGTCACCAGTCCTTACTCATTGGCTTTCCCCTCAAGTTTCAACCCCAATCCTCCAGAGTATCACCTCCACATCCCACATCCCACATCCCCAGAAAGTGGGAGGAAACCCATACATCTCCAGACTCAGAACCGGTCGGTCACCGATCATCTCACGCTAGAAAAATACAGTTTGGATCGACGACAAATGTCGTCAGCATCCCATCTATCACAGGGGGGAAAAGCCAATCTTATGCCCCGATACTGAAAGTCTAGTCCGAGTCGACGCCCCATCCGACCGTAATCTATAATGTACTGTAGGTCTACAATAGGACGGGCGCAATTGGTAACGACCCGCCCGAAGTCTAGGACCTCTTTCGCTATTCCAGGGCTCTCACCGGTGCCAGATTTGGGGTATTGTGTAAGACGAGAGACATGGGGCGATAGGTCTTGAAACGCGGAAAACTTACTGGAGTTACTTGGATGATGGTTGTATCCACCTCTAGACAACGTGTCGCGTATAGCGAAGGGTGTATGGGGTACTGTACCGCGAGGATGTGTAGGATGTCCGTACGGAAGGGAAAGGAAATGCTTCGTTGCCTGTATGTAGTCTGCAGTCTGCACTGCGAGGGTGTAGGTGTTTGTCCCTCAGACTACTACTGTATCTAACTAGTATTACCATAGATAAGGATTCGGGCTTTAATGACACCTCATACGTTTATGCAATATCCTCTCTTAGCATTTGATTCTAGGTATGAGGTAGAGTATTCTATCTTAAATGAGGAGTACAGTATCCCTCTAATACTGGTAAGACTGGTAGAATAGCCCACAAGAATCCTCCATCCCGTATGTATTCTGCGGTCCCCGGACAGCACAAAACCCCGACAAACCCACCCGTAAAACGATCGGCCCGTGTTTAGGGATCCTAGCTGAAAGCCAAAAAAAGTCCCAGGTGCGGCATTTTTCCCGGGCCGCGGATTGGTTACTCAACCCGATGCCCCTCCGAGAAATGCCCGTTTATTCGGCGAATTAGTGGGGTAGATGTTTCTGGGATCGGGATTAGGATTACGAAGAGGAACTCAGGGACCGGTACTATTAGGCTCCTTGTAGCAGCACTGCGGGCTACGGGGGAAAATACGGGATTTGTGGGGGTCGGTCGGGGTCGGGATGGGTGTGTTGGCCGTGCCAAGGGGTCGGGAGGGAGGATAAATGCGTACATATGTAGTGTATACTACTATAGTTTCTGATCATACGTAGAAGACGTCATCGAGCCATAATCACTGGTCTTGACAAGGTCTATGATTTTCTTTACACTATACGCACTGAACAGCACGGGCTACCAGCGCCAGATCAGAACAAAATACACCCCTAGCACAACCATCGCAACGGACCGGATCGACCGCACAAAAGTCCACCAGGCAAGTACAGTCTTCGCCCTCACACCCTTGGCCGCAACGGCCGGTCGATATAATCCTTTATCCTTCGTACTCACGACATCGTCACCATCTAGACCCCGATAAGCATCGCCGTAAGCCTTACCGCTGGGGAAGTAGCGGGGGGAAGGAGCAATCCCGGCACGCCCGATTAGGCCACCGGAGGGGAATGTGGAGCTGGACGTACCGGATGTCTGGTACTGGTGATTGGGGTGGAAGCTGCGTCTTTCGGAGAGGGGGAGGACGGAGCCGTTGGCGGGGGTGGGGGGCTCGGGGCAGTAAAATGTAGTGTAGAGGGCTTGGGCGAGGAGGATGGTAATGCTTAGGCCCAGGATGCAGAGGTAATGGATGAAGATGCCTAGTTGGTCGGGGAGGAGGCAGAGATGGTTTTGGATGGTGAGTGAAGAGCCCTTTCGTGTAGACTCGCCCGTGATGGGGTCAATGGGGTTCCAGAGGCTAGTGAGAAGGAAACCGGGGTGTCGCACGCCCATTGCCCAGGACAAGCTCTTGACGGTAATTTCGTTGGGCGAGCCGTTGAATTCGCGGTGGATGACCTCGCAATAGTCGTGATCATCGCCGGAGTAGACCTGGACCACATTAGGCCCGGCTTTGGACACCAGTTTGTTGGAGATGGTTTGGGTCAGCACGTTCTGGTACTGATAGCCACCCCCAAGTCGGAGCGAGTTGGGCTCGTCTTCCTCTAGTCCTGGTGCGGATGGAGGGAGATGCTCACGCAGTGGTCCGCAAGGAGTCGCTGCCTTGCGATAGAGCGGAACGTGCGTGAGGAGGATGGTAGGAAACCCGGCTGACTTGGGATTTGGGAGCTGCTCGACGGACTCGTCCCCAGCTTCCACGATACAATGTTTAAAGAGTACGTCTTCCGACTTGTTCTGTAGTACCCGGAGTTCCTCCGTCTCCGCGGTAGCTTTGCGGGTGGCCAATTGGTCCAAAAATTCATCTGCATCTTTCCAGATTGGCCGAGCGAATTCTTCTTCCTCGCCGTCGTTGGTACGAGAGCTCCCGGTCAACGGGTCAGGTTGGTCCATCGCGCTCAGTGAGACAGTGTCGATGGAAACAAAGGTATGATTCCCAATAACGTCCACTCGGTTACCGTTACCAAAGTGGCTTTGGAAGCGCCGACGGACGGGTTCTTGGATCCCGTTCCCGAATCCTAGATCGTGATTTCCCGGTAGACTGGCAATAATCTTGCGTCCACGGCCATCGACTGGATCGGAATACTGTTTGAGCCAGGGATCCATGAATATCCTCATGAAACGGCCATATTCCTTCTTCCAAAATGAATCCTTGATCTTCTTGTATCGGTCCTCGGGGCTAACGGTCGTACTGGTAGCCCATTCTCGCCCGCCATCAAACAGATCCCCCAGAAAGACAACGGAATCGGGCTCTAGATTATCTTGTATAGATGCGAATGCCCTGCGCATATATTGGTCGGTATATTTGACGGTCAGCGTCGAGAGGGGCCAAGGGCGGCCGGGGTAAGTGTGGGGATCGACAAGCTGGGGATCGGCCACGAACGCGACATGATGCGGCGTGGTACCTTGGGGCTAGATATGGAATTGTCAGTCTCCGTATATACCAACGGTGCGCAAATGATATGTATGCCTTCAAGCAGTCGCAAATGACATACCCACTTCTCCCAGCTCTCCCAAACACACCGATCAATAGCCTCTTGAAAGACCGTTCGCTCTCCCCACCACAGTGTGAACAACCACATGATAACGACGGCATTGGCGACCGTGAAAAGGCGTCGCAAAATCAATGCCGCCACGCCACGGGCATCACTCCTTCCCTTCGACCCTCGAAAACTCGTAGCTCCATCCGCAAACCATTGTTTCGCCGTAGCTGGTAATCCCTCCAATGCCTGCCGCAGAATACCCGATGCTTGCCCGGAAACCGAATTAAACGAGGGAAGAGACGAAGCGCCGGCGCTGCGTGGATAGGCGTAGCTCATATTGGCGACCGCCCGGTGTGTATGTGTTGGCGTGTAGCTTGGCTACCCCGTGGAGACGGGGTTGGATAAGTAATCAACGGAAAGAGTGTCGCTGCATGCTCTGAAATGCACAAAATTGAACGAAAGGAACGGATGGAGGCAGGTCTATCCAGAACGGGGCTTTTCTGGGACCTTATTGCATGGTGTGTTGCGGATTGAATCAAGGGGCGATGCGGTCGTTCTGGCCGGTCCCGTCTGGGGATCGCCAGAGTCGATCGGTCACGTGCTCGGAGGTTATATTTAGCTTGGCCCAGACTTGCTTTCTTCAATGATATAATTGTCTATCTGGGCGTGGGAATATAGACTCGAAGATCTTTTTAGAGCTTTCAGTGTGGTTTGCGTTTTCAAGTTTAATTTATTGATGAGGCAAAAGTGACTCACGAAATGGAAAGAAAGATTGTCCTTGACGAGCCATGAGTTTGCGAGTTTGCGGCAGACCGTTAGCACTCGTGGAACATTTACAATTAAAATTCTAGTCCACCAGATCGAGCATTCTCAATTAATGATAAATAGAAATACATGTGTATGGAGGTATGAGGTATCAAGAATCGCCTCGACACCGGTAGGAAGAGCCCCAATCCAATGCCACACCACCAATGATACAAAGGAAGCCAATCCGCCAGGGAGGCCAACCTCTTCTAGAAACAACCGACCCAAAGAATCCATGACGGGGTAACAGGGAGAACCACGAGGAGGAATTAGGGGGAATAAAGAGTGAGAAGACGCGTAAAGAGAACCATATAGTATGAAAAGTTTAGGAGAGGATGGATAGAGTAGAAGGGCAGTGAAGAGACGTGCCTCTAACAATCACGTAGAAACTCTCATGAGGGGAACGAATGTATAGGGGAATCAAAATTAGGTAGACTTTTTAGGGCAGCACTGGCCACCACGTGCGCAGTTGTCATCGCACTCGAGGAGACAGGCGTGAGAGTCACCCTCGCGAACGCTGGTCGCACGGCTGGAGTGGTTGGGGTCGTCGGTGCCGGCGCGGGACGAGGATGCCTGGGCTTGGTTCTGGTTGTCCTCGGTATCGCTGTCGGGGGCAAACTCAGGCTGGATGGTGGAAGAGTGAATGCCATAGGCGTGCAGGCAGCGGCGCACTTGCCGCGCCAGACGCATGTACCGCTCCGAGCCCTCTCCCTTGATTTCCGTGTCGACCTGGATGTGGATTGACGCGACGAGCTTGGTGTCATTTAGCTGCCAGACGTGGAGATGGTGAGTTCCATTTACACCGGGGAGACGCTCAATGTCTTCCTTAATGTGATCAACGCTCATACCCTGGGGCGCGGCCTGAAGGAGGATGCGTGATGCAGCCTTGCAGAGCGGGATGGCCGAGGCCAGGATGATGACCGTGATGACCAGAGAGATACCGGGGTCAACGTAGAACCGCCATTCGTAGTCGGTCAACCAAATGATCAAGGCCGAAGCAATAACACCAATGTTGCCGAGCGCGTCGCCCATGACGTGCAGAAAGACACCGCGCATGTTAAGATCGTGGCCGTGGCCGTGGCCGTGGCCGCCCTTTTGGCCCTTAGGCTTAGGCTGAGCATGGTTATGACTCTTGTGAATATCTTCCTCCGCGGGACGGTCTGGTATCGTCACGGGGGCGCCGTTTTCATCGGTGTAGTTGGAAGCACGGTCGCGGTTGCGCAATAGACCGGATCGCTCGGTTGGCGCGTCACCCTCGCGGCTGTCGGTATCGGAGGACTGCTCAGTATCGAAACCACCACGACTGGCGGCAATAATATCTTGTCGCAGAGTGGCTGGGTGCACGTATATATCCTCGACGTTTGTGAGAGAGGTGCTGTATCGGCGAGAGCCGCGGCTCTGCGAATCGGTCACCCGGCGCTTGCGGGAAGGGGATGATGGTTCAGTAGATGAGTGAATGAGTCCATTTGATCCAGTCTCAAGAGCTGAATTTCCATGGCTACTCTTGGCCAATTTAGCATTCACATCTCCCGAGTCCGAGGCCAGGAAGGGCGTGCTTTCATTCGCGTGGCTATGACCATGGTCGTGTCCCTGCTCAACATCCTCCTCGTCATGCTCAGCGCCTTCGCCGTGGTCGTGACCATGTCCACCGTGAGAGTGGTCGTGGAAAAGTGCCAGGCCAAGAATGTTGGACAGAAGTCCAAAGCAACCGACAATGCAAACCAACTTGGGGTTCTGGACTTCTTGAGGCTCTACCAATCGCTGGATGGCTTCTAGGAAGATCGAAAGACAAAGGGCGACCAAGAAAACGCCGTTGACGAGTGCACCAAGAGTTTCCGCTCGTTGCCACTGTATTCCAGAGTATCGATTGTCAGACAGATTTGCGTGCGGGGCACCCCGGTAAATTGAGGACCGGACCACTTACGCCATATGTGTACATCTGCGAATTCGTTTCGCGATTGGCGACCTTGACGGCCCAGAGCCCGACGCAAAGCGACAAGACATCATTAAGCTGTGTATGCATCAGAGGAGAGACTGGAGGGGGATAATGCTGATCCGAATCGGGTCATACCATGTGAAAGGAGTCGGCGACCAGAGCAAGGGAGTGGACGGCGTAGCCTAGCAAGCAAACATTGTCAGACCAGGGGCTTCAGTCGGATTCGAGGCAGAGGATGCTCACCAGTAATCAGCTCTAGCAGGAAGAACGCAGAGTCAATCACCAACAGGATGATGATCCTGTTGGTTTTGGAGAGTCCCATGGCGGCGATACGCTCGCGATGCGCTCGATGGCGCTGGACTGTAGGAGGGATGGACCAGGGCCGAGATCAACGAAGGGCGGCTCGTAGACCAGAGTATGAGTCTGAGAACAAATGAAACTGAAAGAGTGCAACCTGGCAGGGGGTGGGGGAGGGTGGTTGTTAAGAGGGGAAAATTTGCGAAGCGATAGGGCGGAGCGGAGGGCTGCAGATGCTTTGATGCTGACGCAGGTGGAAGTGGAGCTTAGCACATCAACGGCCGGGAGGTCTGTCCGATTGGGTCCGAAGTGGCGTTATATCGTCACATTGCTCGTGATAAGGCAATCTTCTATCAGGATGTATACAAATTACCTAGAAGGTACATACTGTCCGCAATCTTTCTTCCTTTGTTCTTCTATTCATGTTAGTTCAAATTCAAAGGCCCTTGTTCTCCGGATCTTCCGAGGTTGTGTGTTTCGAGCATCCTGAATACGCGGTTCTTAGTGCATTTGAAAATCCAAGCATCTGGCCCCCACCGGAACACGATCCAGGCTCGAAACGACTTCAGGTCGAGGTTTGAACGCTACGGGATATACGTAGGAAGACGAAGTCTTTATGGTCCACTTGCGGCTGCTATTCAGGCTGCAACCTTCTTCATTTTTTGGATCTAGTCTTCGCCTTCTAGTATCGGCTCTTTCTTCCCTACCTTGCGACCATACTCTGTATGTTCTACCTGTGCACATTCGCATCCAGGTTAGTCTCACAACACCCTAGACCTGGTAAGACATTGCAACACCGCAGTTTGGGAGTCTGAACCCAGAATGTTTGTCCCTATCGGCAATGACCGTGCGGAATGGCACAATGCCCCTCGTCGTCTAGCATCTCAAATCTCAAGAAGACCAAATCTCGGTTCTGAACAAGGAACTTAAAAGCCCCTCCCGAGCCCACTAGTGGCCAATAGCAAACCCACATGAGCCACGACTGGATTTCAGGACTCTACACAGTGGCTGCCAAGTTGGATTGTGGCTATTTTGCCCAGACACCGTTCACGCGCCGTCGTACGCTACGCTCTCAAGAGTGGACAAGAAACACGCTAGAAGGCGCACCAGGCAGGATGCGAGTTAAGTGGAGAGGTGAATTAGTCTTAAACTTCCCCAAGGTCCTCTCGCCCCACGTTCGGGAGTTGCCGTTTGCCGAGCATAGAAGATGCTGGAGGATTGTCCATGACTCCGTGTGGAAATCTCTGCCGGCAGTTGTCGTAGCTATCGAGCACCGTTCGCTACAAAAGGAAAGAGACTGAACATGTTGCGTTGCGACTGCTGCCGACTCCTACAAAGCTAATAAGTGGGCCCCAGATAGCTCCACTTGCGGCATCGCTATGATGGAGCTTTGCTTATTGCTGTTCAAGTGATTGGAGTGACTGCCCTTCCGCCAGCCCTATAAGCTATGCCAGCTCTACTTTCCGGTGAATCCCTTACGATTGGAATTGCCGAGGAGGGTGCCAACACACCAGACAAGCTTATTTGGTATTCGATACGAAATCGCTCAGACAGCGGCCCGAAGCTAGCTTAACAGCCAGTCAAGGAAAGCAAGAATGAAAGTATTTCTCTAGATATAGGACTAGACCTTTCTACACGCTGATCTTCTGACGAAGAGCTAGAATACGATCCGTAGCCTCGGAGAAAGAGTCCTTTGACAACGAGCCATCCTGTAAGGCTGACACCAGCGCATCAAAAACAGCCTCTCCCTGTGTGACGTTCCGAGCAGACGCTAGTATAATATCCATACCAGCCTGGCTAGCTAGGACACCACGAGCTGCATCATCGCCAAAGGCTTGGAGAGCCCCAGCCTCGATCGCGTCAGTGATAGTAACACCCTCGAAACCAAGTCTCCCGCGCAGCTCATCCTGAATCCAAGCCTTACTAAGTCCTGACGGGTACTTAGCGTCTAAAGCTGGATATAGTGCCCACGAGTTCATGACCATGTCAACGCCGGTGGGAATAGCTTTTGTGTACGGGATTTCGTCCACCATGCGAATCTCATCCAAGGTGAGGTTAATGGTGACGGGTCCCTCGTCCGTGTTCTCGGTTTTTCCAGCCGCCCCAAGACCGGGGAAGTGCTTAGCAGTTGCGATAATACCGGCTGCTTGCTGCGCCCCGATAAATGCCGGTCCGCACGTCGTGACAAGCGCAGAAGTGTTGCCATATGAGCGGCCGTAGTTATCCAAAAAGTCGCCCGCTTCACGGTACACACCCAAGACTGGCGCAAGGTTGGTGTTCACCTGGTATCCCCGGAGAGTACTTGCAGCATACTTGCCAGATTGTGTCGCAGCCATTCCCGGGTCAGCCGACTGGCCGATTTGTTTGGCGCTCTGAACTGGTCCACCGGGTAGCCGTCGGACTATTCCTCCTTCTTGGTCGGTCATAATCAACAGAGGGCTTCCTGAATATACGTTGCTCTGCTTGTAGGCATCTTGAAAGTCACTGATGATGGTGCTGATATTGTCGGCGACATTCTCCCCAAAGAGGATGATACCACCCACTTTGCCTTTCTTGATCAAATCGAAAAGATGAGTCGGTGGGTTGAGACCCGGATAGGAGAAGACAACATGGTGCCCAACCTGCACGGACAGGTCATCCGATCTCTTAGCCCGAGCCGAAGCGCCAAAAGCCAAGCAGAGAGTAAGAAACTTGGAAGCTGTGGTACACCGCATCTCAGGGTCTTTCAGTGTACAAGCGCAAAAATTCGAGTATGCGCAGATCAGCCAACTACAAGGCGACACTCGCACTTTATCAACATTTTCGAACCTCGTATTAATTGCCGGAGTACAGTTGCCTTTTGCATCATCCGAGGTTTATGCAGGTACATCGGCGGAGGGGGTTGTTACATTGATCGACGCTCACCAAGCCTATTATGGGCGAGGGTTCCTGTGAGCATACGGGGTTACTTTGCCATTATTTGCCCCCCTTTTTGAGGAGAGAATATTCATCTGTTGCATGCTTGAATGTTGTTTATGGCTATTTAGGTCCTAATATTTGGCCGGTAAGAATTGCGTTGCTCTTGTCAAATAAGATAGCGATGACCTACCACGCCTCACAGGGCTTCTTCAGGTAACGAGATAAGAACCTCTCCTATTACCATTCACAATGTAAACACTTGGAATTTAAGAAGTGCAGGGTGCTTGTTATCTTGTTTGTTTGTTTATCAACATCCGGGGAACATCAAAAGCCTGAGGCTACTTAAGCGATGCGTACCTCTCACCCACATTAGTCTTCCACGTTGTACCTATGAGGTTTATACCTCTCTTAGATAGTTCGAGGCTGGGCTGTTCAGAGCACTGCGTACTGGGCTCATGAGCCTAGTCATCTGCGCTTTTTTTTTTTTTTTCCCGCCCAAGTCTGCTCTTGATGCTCAGGGCTACAAAGTGTATATTTGCGTTCTATTCTATTTCCTAAGATTGATAGTGCGAAAGCCCCCATTGATGAGAATCGATCAAAGGAACCAACTGAACGAATATGTGAATTTCCTTGAACGGACTTTTTGGACCTTCTCGACTTCAACGTGTAGTCGGTCTCGGAAATCGACTCAAGCGATATCTAGACGGGGGCCTCTGTCATCGGGGAGTGGATCCAGACACCGATCGGCATAGAGCGGGAACGCCGACGCCAACATCCGGGCGTCAGTAGGGTTGAATTTTTTCTATCAGCTGGCCACGAACCGACCCGCAATCATAGTTGAACAAGAATTTTCAAGAGAATATCGATGGTAGCAAGATCTATGAGTAGTCTTGCAGCCTCTAGGGTGCGATTAGCCTATGAATTGCATCGCGCGAGTAAAAGCCACGCCTCAACGCGTCTCGCCAAACATACCCCCATCTTGTTTCTTCACGGTTTCCTTGGTTCCAAGAGAGAAAATCGACAGATGAGCAGGTAAGAAAACCGTATCGAGCCTTCAAAACACGCGATGCCTGGCTGACCCGCGTCGATACAGGAATCTTGCCACAGAATTGTCGCGTGACGTCTACGCCTTGGTATTGATAACACAGAGAGTTTAGGAACCAGAGATGATAGAGAATCTAACTAGGTCTAGGATCTACGAAACCATGGCGACTCTGATCATCATCCGAGACATGATTACATGGAGATGGCATTGGACGTTGAGTCTTTTATCAATTACCATGAACTCGAACGACCGACGCTGATTGGTCACTCGATGTAAGTTGCCCATGTGGAGGATCTTAATACACTTAAGGCCTAACAAATTTGATAAGGGGTGCAAAAACGGCCTTAACTCTTGCTCTTCACACACCAAAATTAGTATCCAATATTGTGGCCGTCGATAACTGTCCCATCAAGTTGCCCGTTGCGTCAGATTTCTTGAAGTACCTTGAAAGCATGGAGAAGGCTGAGCAAGAACAAGTCCGCACGCACGCCGAAGCGGACGAGATTCTCCGAGAATATAAACTGGTATGAGCTCCACGGATTATGGGCTGATGACAACTCGGTCTGACAGTAGAATATAGGACCCACCAGTCCGGCTGTGGCTATTGAGCAATTTCATCAAACAAGACGGTTCACCTTACTTGAGACTACGCGTTCCTTTGAATATCTTGAGGAATGCCATGGGACCATTAGGTGATTTCCCATATGATATTGGAAATGTGCCAGCCTTCCAAGGTCCAACTCTTTTCCTTCGAGCTCTTCAAAGCAACTTCATCCCTCAAAGCTCCTTTCCACTAATCTCCAAGTTCTTCCCAAAATCTGAGATAGTGGATATGGACTGTGGACATTGGATTGTGCAGGATAAGCCTCAGCAGTTCAAAGAAGGTATGTTCATGATGTTACCCGGGCTATTTTGAAAAACTTACTTACGTGCGATTCATCTCATCAGAGGTTGTCAGATTCTTGCAGAAATTCTAAGTCAAACAGTACCTATCATAGGACTTCCCATGACTCGCCTGCCAAATGTTTTGTACATTAATTTTGCCTCTCTTTCGTGAGCTGGCGTTTTCGACGTACCCTGGAGTGAATTAGAACTGCCCCCTCATAGATTTCGATAGATTTGGAGAATCCACTGTCTTTATTTGATTCCCTTCAATTAATCTCCACTTGTCAGCCCACAACTCCTCATGAAGGAATATTTTATTTCCAATTACAGAATACTTGACGTGCGACAATGCACCCGACAACACCTCAATGGCCCCCTCACTAAACGGTGAACATGAGAGATTAAGATCAAAGAAATCTCTAGATTCTAAAAATCAAAGATGTTGATGAAGGATGGCTTCAGGTTGCCATGCAAGCTTGACTCGCAAATATACATTTGTTATTGAGAACTAGACTTAAATCTCAGCTAAGTTATCATTTTGTGATAGAGTGGCACGGTCACGGTTGCTTGAGCGGCTGCTCCGTTGATTGCCGGCTGTTCTTGTCAAGGCAAGATTGCATCAAATGAAAATTAGATAGTAAAGCAGATAGCATAATAGACTATTATGAGATCATGCGCAAATATGCATATCTGATTGTAAGGGACTTAAGGTGAACCCTTAAGGATCGGGTTGACATGCAGTGGCGGGACCGAGATCGAGCCATGTTAAGGCATACATGTCCAAGCAGGATTATGTAGCCGGTCTTCCCGAACAAAGATTCAAGGCAAAGTTTACCAAGAATCTCTCATGCTACAGTAAGGCCTTATGAGCCACTGACTCCGATGGATTTTCCAATGGCTCACATCATTTTAGTCAAAATAGAATCTGTGAATGCTGAAAAGACCTCCCCAGGTTTTTGTCGCGACCAAACACCTCCGGACTTTCTGCTTCCGGGGACCCACAAAAACCTGACAAACCCCACTACTGACAACTTCCACATCGGGAAGTTCTGAGGCGAAAATCTTGGCCACGACTTTAAATCGGTGGCCACGTTGATGGCGTGGGCTGCTCTTAGGTAAAAAATATCAGCAGGAAATAGAGAACTCCCCACTGGAAGATGAGTATTAGCAAGCATCTTCGACCTATATTCACCTATTTAGGAAGTCAAGAGTAGATGGGCTTTGAGATTTAAAAATATCGTCGTCGCGTCTGATAAAAATTTTCTTGTATAATAGAGAAAACGATCCCGGAGTCAAGGCACGAGTTCATGTATATGATTATAATATACAATGCATTCTACCCTTCATGGAATCTCCTCAACTCCCGAGTCCCCAAACATGACGACACCCGAAGAACAAACAAACACTTCCACAACTGTGTTTGATCTCGAGAAGCTTGGAAAAGAGCGTCCGCAGACCTTCTCAGGGACATGGCCTGAGCTTGCCTTTTGTTTCTCAATTTTCATGTCCCAAATACTAGCAGTAAGTCATGCTTAAACTAAACAACGGTCGCTTAATCTAACGCAGGCGTTCAATAGGAATTCTATATCACAGGATCCAATCTCCTTCTTCCAACCCTCGTAAAAGAAATCGGTATCCCCGCCGCCTCAACAATATGGCCCACCACTGCCCTTTCTCTAGCCGTCACCTCAACGCTCCTCATCTTCGGTCGCTTGACTGACATGTACGGTGGCTATGCCATCTACAACGGCGGTGCCATTTGGCTGACTATCTCCTCAATCCTCTGTGGTGTCTCTCAGACATGGTTGATGTTGATCGTTTGTCGGGCCCTGCAAGGCCTAGCTTTAGGAGCTCTACTTCCATCCGGAATGATGATTTTGGGAAGTACATACCGCCCAGGTCCGCGCAAGAACCAAGTCTTCAGCATTTACGGGGCCTGTGCTGCGTTGGGCTTTTTTGCTGGATTTTTTGTCTCTGGAATCTGTGGCCAGTATCTGAGTTGGAGATGGTACTTCTTCATCGGCGCTATTCTGTCGGCGATCATGGCCGTGTCCTCGATTTTTTACGTGCCGCGTGACTACGCAGAGAAGCAGAAGCTTGGTATAAATATGGATTGGGTCGGATTTGGCCTATCTATCTCGGGAGCAACGCTGTTTGTTTTCGCTATTGCGGATAGCTCATACGCCCCGCAGGGCTGGAGAACACCGTATATCCCGGTACTCTTTACTATTGGTGCCATCTTGCTTGGAGTCATGGTTTATCTCGAAGGGTGGGTTATCAAAAATCCGTTGCTTCCCGGGGACATATTTCGAGTCAAATTCATGACCCCCTTGGTGCTGGCATTGCTATGTCTATACGGAAGCCTAGGGATATTCCTCCTCTACGGAGTTTTATAGTAAGCGTCCTATCTCACCGTTGGAAAATAAAATCACTAATTTCAAACAGCATGTCAAGTTTTATGGGTGCCACTCCGCTTCAAATCGTTGCCTGGACGGTGCCAATGGCAGTTGGTGGTCTCATTCTGTCTGTGACGGGAGGCCTTATCCTCCATAGAGTATCCGGAACAATTCTCATGATTATTTCATGCCTCGGATACGTCGGGTCGGGCCTATTGTTTGCCGTCATACCCCTTGGCGGAAATTATTGGGCTTACGTCTTCCCGGCAATGCTTTGCGGCACTATCGCTATCGATATCAGCTTTAATCTTGCAAATATCTTTATAACGACTAGCATGCCAAAAGCTAAGCAGGGCCTGGCTGGTGCTCTGATCTACTGTACCATGCATATGGGCATTGCTGTCATGCTTGGATTTGCAGATATTGTTGAAACCCAAATGAAGCATCTTGGCGAGCGAAATAGTTACAAGGCGGTGTTCTGGTTCCAGACTGGACTGTGTATCCTTGGGCTTCTGATTGTGTTGGGGTTTGTGCGGATTCGCCATGCTAAAAGCGAGTTGACGGCGGATGAAAAAGAGACCATGGAGACGGAGAATGCCGCTACAAAGCATGCTGAAGAAGTTTAGAGTGACAGCAAGTACTGCGCAGAATATATTTTGTTCATACATAACCTGAATGGAAGGTTTAATCTATCTTATGTTTCCATTCTAGCCTTCGTACAGGTAGGGCCTTAACTAAGTGTATCGGGAGTGCTAGGATAGACGTCCTCCCCATAGGTTGAGTTAAGGGAAACAGATCCCACAACGTCTCCAGACTCCAGTCGAATCCAAGTGTCAATATCCATATTCTTGAGCTTCGACTCGGTAACAAGGACCTGTCTAGATCCTCGAATCCAGCTTCCATATCCACCGTATCCAGTGTGCTGCCCGAAGCAAAGATTGATACCGTTTCCTTTCACCGACATCCCGGGGATAAGGGTATCCCACTTGTAGCACCATGTATCTCCGTGGTCATGACCTGAGAAGACACCAATTACACCGGGTGTATTCACCAATGCCTTCATAAATGTCACATCTTGACCACCATACACGCAAGAGCTATCATTGCTTCCGTCCGCGCACCACCCCTCTCCTTGCTGTGCTAGAGTATAGTCATCATTGATGCCTGGCTCCTTGTGGGCATTGATTCCAAGTTCGGTCTGGATAGCCTGGGATGCATTGGTGGGAATGTGGACGAAAACCAGAGAGGGGATATGCTTGTGGTACTTCTTGACCATCTCTGCATTGGTCGTTTTAAACCATTTAACGACACTATCATCGACCCAATTTGGCTGTGCGACCTCGTTTCCAGAAGAATCAAGTTCTTGGTAGTAGTCACCCCCGCGACTATCAAAGAACCATAACAGCATTGCGGGTGCCCCCGCAGCACCCTCGTTGCTGGAACTGTAGACAGGGAGATAGTAATTGGTGACACCGGCATTGCGACCAGAGACCATCTGCTTGGTCCGTGAGTTGGGCCACCGGTTTTCTCTGGCCAGGATAGCCGAGCGGGAGAGATTGTAGGAACTATCGTGGTTGCCGTAGGTGGACGCCCAGGTCAAGCCACGGTCAACAAGGGGGCCGACAATCTGGTCAATGTAGACGGTGCTATTTTCAAAGAAAGCGTTCTCGCCAGTGATCAGGTCCCCATTCAGAACAACGAGATCTGGCGACTCGGCATCTAGGACCTCGTTGATCACTTTGACGGAATTGACGTCTTGCTCGGGTCCCCAGGAGTCCCATGCATCTGTTTGTAAGGTGAGCATTCACAAACATTGAAGAAACGGGTGAAGCGACTGACTCTCTCCGAAGTGAAGATCTTCCAGAATAGAGATTTGAAATGTCCCATTCTTAGAGAACTTCAGAGGTGCGAACCGCTTCGCAAATGCACTCTGCAAAGACGGCGTAGCGAACAGCGCGGCAATCGTCAATGATTTCCACATGGCGAATGTCGAGTAAGCCTAAATCCATGACTAGTCTCTGGAACAGGAAGGAGCGATATCTCCTTAAATATCATTGTTCACACTATATCCTCCTTCCTATCTGGAGTATACAGTTAATTCGGCGGCAGCCGAGGACTCCGCATCGGATAAAATGAGCGCGTCTGGCTCTCCACGTGTGAGGAATGTTGACATTCTATGGGTCAGGGGCTTGCAGGGGTGAATGGACAGAGTGGGGTAGAATCGAAGGCACGACCGTCCCAATGTGACTTTCCTTGGACGGGCTAGTTTAGCTTGTAGACTAACACAGGTTGCCGATATCAAGGGATCCAATCGTCGCTAAATGAAAATCATAATCGAGGGGAAAACTCAAAGTGGAGTCGTCAAATTTAACATGATAACATGTCTGCTCGATGGGGATATAGGTAGCTCTACGAGTGGTCCCACATGGCTTGGGATACTGTTTTCCATGGTTTACTGTATATTGTGAATCCTTCCGAGGAATAGCCGACGAATATCGAGTAAAACAAGACCTTGTTATTGATTTTCGGTAGTTGGACTAATTTATGAAGGTTCTTTCTAGCGTCACAAGCCCCATTACGCCCTTGGGCCAACAGCTCCATCTATCCGCAGAGCGACTTGATATCCTCGGGCACATAAACACTCAGGATAGCGATCAGATCAGAAAGCTTGATCCAATCCAAGGTGCCGTGAATAGTCTGCACGGGCTGGCCACTATAAAGAACACGGGCATAGTAGCCAACGCTACCGTTGTTGTGGGGTTTCCTGCCATGTGTTAGAAGATATTTACCCAAGAAAATGTACAAAGTCAGAAACTCACCAAATCTCGAAAGCAATGTTGGAAGCCATAGCCGGCCATCGCAGGGCATTGATACCTAGCGACCCAAGGATGGGACCAATATCGCCGTCGTGAACGAAGATATGGCTGTAGTCAAGAGATGACTTCTCATCCTGGACGGCCTGCAGGCGAGCGACGATTTCACCGATGAAAAGACCCTCCACGACTTGGATGTACTTGGTGACGTACGGGTTGGTGCGCCAGTAGTAGTTCCACTCCCAGTCACCGGCACGGAAGACTTCCTCCGCCATGTCCATGGTCACACATGCAGAGGAGTTAGACACGCTGCAGGGCAAGTCGTAGCCGTTGCACAGGCGGGCCTGGAAGTTGTCGGAGAAGTGGTCGAATGTGTTCTGCCACGAGCTGGAAGTGGCGCCAAGCATAGAGCCAAGCTCGGAACGGAGCTCGCTAGTCACAGAAAGGTGCTCCTTCCACTCGGTGGTGGACTGCAACTCACTCAGTGTCGAACTGATGGCGCTGCAGGAATAGCCCTCGTTGACGGTATCGACCGAGGAGACCATCTGGTGCAGAGGCAAGGCGCCATCGTAATCGGGCCAAACTCCACGAAGAACGGCACCGGCCGAGCCCTGAGTCAAGGCGGACTCACTGGAACGGAACCAGACGCGATCGTTGGGCTTCTTAGGAATGAGGCCCAGCTTCTTGCCATAAACGTTCCAGAGGTCCTTGCCGTGCTGGTATCCATCCTGAACACCGCCGATGGTGATCTGAGGATACTGGCAGGTGCCATTCACACCCGGGGTGAACGGGTTGTTGGGATCCTGGTACGTCTGAGCGTACATGGGCATGGGCTGAATGCCACTATCGCTATTTCCGCCAGCATAGAGGTACGGCCGAACATTGTCGCACTCATAAGCTTGGTTCTAGAAGACTATTAGTCACAAGCAAGTTACTCAGGGATAAAGGAAACTCACTTCACCACCGGGGAGAATGTTGTAGGGAGAGCGACGCTGATGCCGCTGAAGGTATTCGAGGTAAACAAGCTCTCCCTTCACGGATCCATTCGCGATGGGCCCTGGCAACTTGTACTCCTGCGAGCGCGGGTGCGGCATTGAGCAGTAGTCATAAGTGCCATAAGGGTTCCCACCGGTCGGGCCATTGGTAGGAGCCTTGTAGATACCACCATACGTTCCAATGGAAGCGTTGGAGATGTACGCGGTTTGATTGAGAGTTGGCGGGTAGAAGGTATCTAGGGGCGATAGGCCGAGGACTGGGCCAGCAGCCCCGAGGACCAGACCAGCGGTAAGACTGCGCATGATGAGTTGAGGAGTAACAAGTGGAAGAGAGAACGACTCAACCTGTGCTGGATAGCCATCTCCTTCAAGCGCACGTCTTTGAATTTATCGATCGCATTGACATCAGAGCTCGGCAGCTTCGGTCGCACTAGAGATCGGCTACCGGGGGGTCCACCTCGCCAGGGGGCCAGTCGCGCGATCAGCTTCACCACACGTGGGAATAAGCACTATCCGACGGGAAATGAACCCCTCGCTACGACCTTGCAGAGACGTTATTTGCTGTTCCCGATCTGGCCGTTGGCAAGAAAGTGGTGAGTTCCAAGCGGATTGTGTTCGGAAGTTTGCCGAAAATCGCGCCAGTCCGTGCCCAAAGGGCGTTTAAAGACGGTGTCTGCATGAACCAAGTGCAGCCAAGAACTATCATCTTTCCTTCCTGACGATTACCACTTTTCGCGATTCAAACAAGACTTAAAATTTCGCTATGCGCGGCGCCACCTTGCCCCTGGCCGTCCTGGCCACTTCGTGGGCTTCTATGGCCCAGGCATCTTCGCTGTCTCATTACGCCCTGCAGAAGGTCCTCGATGATGCCTCACCTATCTTTGGCTCTTATGTCAAGCAAACCAACAGCAAGGCAGAATGGATGAAAGCCTACTCGGATGATACCCTCCTGGTTCACATGAACATCCCTGGCACCCACGATAGTGCGACGTGGAACTACACCAAAGCCACGCAAGATGCGATGCGCGGTATCACCGACCTCAATCAAGTGACATTGCCAGTTCCTGAGGCACTTCGCTGCCAAGAGCTACCCCTGATTGATATGCTCAATATGGGCATTCGAGCTTTCGATCTTCGCTATGCTTTCGACCCCACGAACAGCTCGATTGTCTTTTATCATTCTCAGGGACTCTTGTCGGAGACTGCGAATTTGGATGGTGTGCTGTTCAGTTTCTACAAGTGGCTCGATGACCACCCCTCGGAGACTCTGTTCTTGTCCATGCAGTACGAAGGCTCGACTGCCAAGTATGCATCCAACAATGCCGCACTTCAGCTGAAGCTCTACAATTCTTTGACCAATCCCGCTGCCCGACAGTACTTTGTCCAGACCAAGGACCAGCTGGGAACCCTGGGCCAAGCCCGTGGGAAAATTACTCTGCTGCGTCGTTTTGACCTCGATCAGCTCTCTTCTTCCTACACAAACTCTCTGCCGGGTCTTCACTTCTCGCCCAGCCTGTGGACGGACAACAGTCCCGACATCGTTTTAACTTATAACACCAAGGAGAATTTGACCGCGTATATCGAGGACTACTACGAGCCTCTTACTCCCACTAGTTCAAATGCCACCGAGAATATTCAGTGGAAGTACAATGCGACCTCAAAGAACATCATCAAGGCTACCACCGAATACCCCGATAGCCTGTTCTGGACGTGGGCCTCCAGCACAAATACCGACAATGTGCCACCGGAGTGGCCTCGCATTATGGCTCTTGGAAATGGCACCTTAACCCCCGCCGGTGGAGTCAACCAACTTCTTGTTACTTTCCTGAAGCAGCAAAAGGGCAAGCGCGTTGGAATCGTGATGTTTGACTTTTTTGATCAGCCCTCCAAGTTGATCGACACCTTCCTGAGCCTGTAGATATGAGTAGAACAAGAAGCCTACCACATGATAGATGGAAACTCATCTCCCATTTTAGATATAGTGATACTTTTCTTCAATGTGCGCTTTCATTTAATTAAACAAGGCTATTCCTTCAAAGAATGTGTATTATGAAAAAGCTCATTGTATCTCACGAGGATCTAAATACCGTAAGAGCTTGGGCACGGCCATTGGATTAGGCTCTGCCCTATCTCTCCTGGGACCCGGCTATGTCTCCATGTGTTTGTAGTTGAGTTTTCACACGTGGATATTCCCGAAATTACAGAATATTGAGCGTTGTCTCTTTCCTATAGAACCATCCAGTCGATATTTTGTGACAGTACGAAGTTTCGTAAGGAAGCTGGTAAGCAAATGTTCGTGAGCATATGTACCCTGGCAATGAATGCGCTTACAACTCTTTCTAAAATTCACATGAATTTGTCAAAATAGTAAGCCGCGTCTTTGAGTATTGAAGCAATCTATAACCCCTGACTAGGGAGGGCAGCCAAATTAATGATTTTTGATACCATTATCATTTCTTGTCCGCGATAGCAGGGTTCAGCGCACCGGCTCCTATACATTTTTCTTTTTCCATCTCATACCTTGGTTTTTTCCACTCTTATATGCTCTGGCTATCGCTATTCCTGTGTATACTCCCAGTGTATATAGATTAACCTAACAACTGACTATATCTGAACCCATTTTGACCCTTGTAATTCTACAATCCGATCTATCCATCCATATTCTTCGCCCCATGCCCATGTCCCATCTCTATAGGCTGCTTAGTGCTGGCATTAGTGTTCATAAGTGGAACCATCGAAGGAGAAGTCTGCTATCATGGGAATCGATTGTAACAAGAGGAATGTACAGGGCATTTAATTGACTCGTCCTCACGGTACTAACTTTATGAAGTTGGTCCTCGGTCTTTATTGGTGTTTCTCATAAAACTATCAATAGTCATTCTATCAATGAGATAAAACAGGGAAATGATATGAGTTGATGCATATTCTGATTCCGAAGAAAAGTCAACATGAGAAACAGAAAACATGAGATGAGTGCTCTCAGGGCTGTTGAAATTCCCCTGAGCTTACAGGAAAGGTAAAGCACTCAGGTGTTGCAATCCTGAGTGGCCCGATCTCGAGGGAACTAGGTAGGAGTCCCATAGGATTGTGCACGCTCACTTGTCATGACCATATCCGAATGTGCTGGTATATGGATCAGCGTGTTCCGTCGACATTGAAACATCGTTAGACTTAAGGGCTCAATCTGTCTGTCTTCTGCCTCTGGCATGCCGGCGCTCCAGGCTTATAGACGTGTCATAATCTGTGCCTTAAAAAAATCCACAAGCCGATTGAGCTTTTCAACGACCTTGGTGCCTTGAGTGAAGAGGCATCGTAGTTTCCTAGTCCCATCTCCCTTATCTGTATCTGCAAGAATTATAAGGCGGCTCGCAGGATCTGTTGGTAGGGCTTTAGGAGCATAGCGTAGATTAGTAGGAGTTTCGAGTAAGATAGGTTGGATAAAGGCCATTTTGCTAGTAATCACATAGCCATCGGACGGAGGCTTATCAAGATGTTCTAAACAATATCTTAGGCTGAGGTTAAGGTGATAACTCAGCATACAAAGCTAAATAGTAACCCCAAAAAGCCCCGTCGTATTTTGCCTTGTTTACCGTTAGCGAGGAGGTCGAAAGCATGGTGTCCGGGCAACAATTGGGCTCGTACATTTCTGGCAGTGATTGAAGAGAGGGGAACAGATGTCATTGGCCCTTGTTGCGCTGCCTCAGGAGAACCCCCAAAGGAATATTATCCTCATCGTAGAACTCGGCGTCCTCGTCAACACCAAAATCTCGCAGGCGTTCGCCCTCGGCGTTTCGCCAAGACTCCTCGCCTTCATCCGACTGGTCGCCATATACAGGCCCTGGCCCGCGCTCGTCATCGCTGTCCCCGCCACCCTGCTGCTGTCTATAACGATCATGGAACCGCTTGCGTCTTTGGATTTCAGAAAAGGGTCTCGTGCGGCGGATGTCTTCTGCTTGGCGACGTTGAAATGCTTCTATTTCCTCCCTAGCCGAAGAGTACGTCTTCAGTAACTCAGAGCCATCTCCCGGCAAGGGGCCAGCTGGAAGTGGAATGCGATCTGGGTCAGGCGGGGGCCACGATACACCCGGATCTGGAGGATGAGTCAGTATCGTTTCATCTATTAGTTGGCGCCTGCGATATTCACCTTCGAAGTCGTTGATTTCGAATTCCCACCCAGTCTTCCGATCCGATGTGGCTGCCAATGGCCAAAACCAGCTGATAATCTGTGAGGAATTAGCTCCCGATCTCGACTAGGAAGTTCGAGTCACTCACGTTCGCGCTACCACCCATGCCATTTCTTATATTTGACCAGATGCCGATGTCGTAAGGAAATTCCTGTTTTCTAATTGGAATTCTCTTTCCACCGGGTGCGTCTAGAAAGCCGCCCAGGACCCGAGCGCGGCGAACAAGAGTTTCGTGTCTTTCAATCTCCCACGACTCAATAGTGGTGGTATTAAAGACAAGAGACCAAAGGCTTCGCACGAGGAGTATGAATAGAGCAAAAACTGTCAAGCTGTTCACCACAAAGAGGAGGAAGAGATGGATCAACTGTCCAACAGATGGCCCGAGATACTGGAAGAAAGATCAGTCGATGAATGGTGATCTTCATCGGTGGGGTTTCTTACACTGGGAAGATCCCTGCTTTTCCAAACAATAGATCCACGCTCCCAAAGAAGGGTCTCGAGATAACCCATTCCGACCACCGCATAGAAAAGGAAGCGGATGAAGTGGGGAAAAGTGAAATGAGAGACACAATTGGAAGTCCAAGGACAATGGTGATCCATCTTCGGAATGCATCTTAATAAAGTAAGCCTTGGTCCACCAGGGTTATCAAGTTGCAGAGCGGACGAACCTCTTGCATGTCTTGCAATGGTGAGCCCGAGGGGGTTTGTAGGCTTCACATCTACGACACCACCGTGACCGGCCCGTCGTAGTATCTTTGTCAGCCCCGCCAGGAGCAATTTTTGAGCTCGAAGGAAGACGGCCAGGGTCTACAAAGCATGCACGGAAATAGCAGATCCAAATGCATAATGCAAATATGTTGATCTTCCACACCTCATCTTGGCGGAGGGGCGCCGACTCGAAGTGGAGAAAGAAATACTGGGAGGTGTAGGCGAGGAAGCTTATCAACAAGCTGACGGAAGGAATAGCCAGCCTCGATATAGTGAAGTCATCACTCAGTATTTTGCAAATCATGATCTCGCAGTCGCAAGACAAGCGCGAGGAGAGGAGCTTCAAAAGTCGTGAACGACGTGTTTGCAGGCACGGGGCATCGGACGGGATGACTAATCGCCTGTCGGGACTGACGCCGTCGACCATTCATCTTCACGTTGATAACAACTGAATAACAATCCGATTGCGCGACGGAAGGATCTCAACGCAAAGTATATGTTCTGAACAATTGGGATTTCTTGTTGAGTCGGGGCAATGACTGGCTAGTCGCACCTTCCCACAATGCCGATCGAGGCTCTCCCGCAGGCCACCGTCCGAGCAATTGGCTCCACTTCGGTCATCTCAGATCCCTGCTCGGTGGTCAAGGAGCTTCTAGACAACGCTTTAGATGCATCTGCCACATCATTGTCAGTCGAAATCTCACCAAACACCGTTGATTTGATTCAAGTCAAGGACAATGGGCATGGGATTTCAGTTGAGGATCATCCTTGCGTCTGCAAACACGCTTTTACCAGCAAGATTTCGAGCATTGATGATTTGAAGGATGTCGGCGGGAGTTCTCTTGGGTTTCGTGGTGAAGCGCTGGCCAGTATTGCTGACATGTCGGGTGGCATCACCGTCATCACCCGCGTCGCCTCGGAAATTGTCGCGTCAAACCTTGAATACGGGAGAGACGGAGAACTGTCTCGGTAAGTTCACGCGCTCGGCTCCACAGCATCATTCTGATTGAATTGAGCAGCTCGCAGAAGACATCTCATCCAGTTGGGACTACGGTTCGGATTCAAAACTTTCTCAAGTACATCCCTGTACGAAAGCAAACTGCACTAAAGGGAGCTACAAAGTGTCTCGCCAAGATCAAGGCATTAGTCCAAGCTTATGCTCTAGCCCAGCCCTCTAGAAGATTTTCCTTCAAAGTCATCAAAGCTAAAAACGAAAACAACAACTGGTCATTTGCGCCAGGGTCTGATATAGCCCTTGCAGACGCAGCGGTTAAGGTGGTTGGACGCGATGTTGCTTCCTGTTGTACCACGAAAGAGTTGACTTCCACAGCCAACGCGCCTGATGGTGTCGATCTGGATCAAAAGACGTATCAAATTACGGCATTTCTCCCGAAGGCCAACGCAGGTAATTTTTCATGGCTACATATGTTTTCCTCAGGTGCTGATGATGCCAGACTTCTCAAAAGCCAACAACAAGGGCCAATTTCTTAGTATCGATGGGAGGCCTCTTTCCACATCTCGTGGCGTCGGCCACGATATTGTCAAGCTCTTCAAATCCTACGTTCGTGCTGCTAGCTCGAAAGGGGAGGCACCCAAATCAGTCACCGAGCCGTTTCTTTGTCTCCGGCTCAGGTGTCCCTTGGGAAGTTACGATGTCAACATTGAGCCGGGCAAAGATGATGTGCTTTTCGAGGACCGGGAAATAGTGTTTGCCCTCATCGAAAATCTTTTCAATGACAATTACGGAGCACTACCAGACGTGACCACCAAGATTCCGGCCAAAAAGGCAGCATCTTCCAATGATCCAGCTAGTAGTGCTGGTTTTGACCTGCTCATGGCCCGGAGACCTGCCCACCAAGCCTCTCAGATATTGTACATTGATGAAGCAGGCTCTTTAGGTGCTCCCATTCTCACTAGTCCTGGTACTCAGACCTCATCGCTTTCCCCAAGCGTGCCATCCCTTGCGCAGACGCCCAATAATGGAGGCCGAAGTAGGGGACTTGAAAGCAACCCGGCCTCTGAGAGTGGTAATTCGCGTCAAATCAATCCATGGTCAATATCGCGGATCAATGCTTCATTGCAGGTCCCAGACCCTGGAGATGCCCCATCTTCTGCGGTACCAATCAGTCTGGCGACCGCCTCACAAGCAGCCGGACAAAGACACACACCGCAAAGACCAACTTCGATTTCACCAGTTCATAATTCTGAGCGGTCTAGTCCAGTTTATTCTAGAGGGACCCCTGTGTCTCCGCCAAATCACCGTCGAAACCCTCCAACACCTCATGAATCCCCGCTTCAATCGGCTTCATCGATCAGTGCCTCCCGAAGGGCAATGCGAGAAAGAGACAGAGAGCGTTACGGGAACGGTGCCTTAGATACTTGGTTCCAGCGGAATACACAGGCCTCGCTTGATTCAAGATCACCCGAACCCCTGGTTGAGCCTGAACAGGCCATTGCCACACTCTCCCAGCTGGCGGAACGGCGATTCAATCCTCCACTGGATATACCCATAATCACCCTACCCTTGGAGAGCCATAGCTTATCATTCTCACCTCGTCCACAACGTGAAGGAACGCCCGACCTCTCTCCCCAGCAAATTGGCAGTGATATTTCGCCTGACAATGATCACCAGGCAAGGTCAATGGACAGCGGCCGAGGGTTCCCTGTCCTGGAAAATTGGGCCGCTAGTATACACGAGGGCTTCACCCCTGAGAGTTCATCTGAATTGGAGAAGGCGCTGGATTTTGAACGGCGGAAACGAGAGGCTAATCAATTATATCGAACCCGGTCAAAAATGTCGAACACCGGGACAAGGGTTCCTCCGTCGAACTCACCCCATCACAATCGATATATTGCCGCCAAAGCTGCGTTGACTGCCGATAAGGCCGGGGTCGACCGGCCCCCTGCAGCAGCTTTGGCTGCAGGTGATCCTCGAGCGTATCTCATGTCCCTTAATGCAAACCAGTTGTCGGAAGACTCAGTTGATGACCCGGGGACACTTCGGCGAAGTCGAACCAGTAGACTACCCCTTGAACGGATCCCACAGGGTCTTGACCTTCACAATCTGCGCCTTCCCATGAAGACCAGTTCTTCGGATATTCTTGAGTCATTCAAATTAATGGCTCGTCACGATGACTATACTGGGGGCGGAGATGAGCCGAAATCACTGCTATTGTCCGATGTAACCGCACTGGTTCCATGCTGGAACGAGAAACTCAGCACGATAATCAGCAAAAACTACAAGACGAATGAGAACTTACAGCCTCTAGATTTATGCATCGATGTCGGCAGGGCCATCGTGGATCTTGGAAGACAGTTTCCAACACCCGAAAGCCAACCTGCGTGAGCGAATTTTACTGGACTGAGTCGAGCTTATCCAATGTATGACAGTTTATATACTATCCATCATTTATATTGGGGGAACCTGTGAAGAGCCGCTTCTCTTTTATAAAACCCCGTCTACTGCCATTTATGAGCTTGCGCACGATTATAACGGTGAAGCAGAATTGTATCATTGAATATTCATATCATAAGGAGAGAAGTACGAACTAGCCGGAGATTTCAATGCCCAACCCATTAATTTTCGCTATCTGATCCTGTCGTACACCCTTATACCCCACTACGAACATACGGTTCATCTTCAGGAATAGTCTGGCCTCTGACCTCTGTCCTTTCCTCTTCACCAATGCTCGCCTCCGAAATCTCAGAGCCAATGCGTGCTCTTGAGACACTCTTGTTAGTCTCAAAGGCCTCCTGGAAATACGACTGGCGGCCCGTCATGACATTGTCAATGGACAGGGAGGGTACACTGGACGCCGTAGACGAACTGCGGTAGTGCGCTGGCCGTGCGGACTGTGCCGTCTCGCCTTCAGGTGTCGCTGGTGATACCGGAGACCGCATTGGAGTTGAGACTGGAGTTGTAGCGGGTGTATCGGAGGCAACGTTGTATGATGTCGCGAGCTCGACAGGTGAAGAATCTAGGTAAGATTAGAGATCATTCTTTGCTTGTGAGAATGTATGTTATGGGCTAACATACCATGCATCTCATATACTGTTGCTCCTCCTGATTCCACCGTACGGGGCGAAACTGAGGTTTGGACGGAATCTGGTACGGAGGACCCGTTGGCCCTGGACTCCACGCCTGTCGATGTCGACTGAGGTCCAGAAATCGGAGAACTTAATTCGCTGCTGTACATTAACTGACGCACTTCGGTGCTATCGGCCTCTCTGGCACCAGCGGTCTTGCCAAAGCTGGGTGCAATGCTCTCAGGACGCTGATGGCGACGGCGACGGCGACGGCGACGCCAGAACCACCATCCGAAGATGAGAAGGCCGATAACGAACAGTCCAACAAGTACGCCGATGACTGCTGCGGCCCATTTAGGTAGACCGCCACTCTTGTGAGTTGATGTATCGCTGCTCGTACTATTGGTGCTGGTGCTGTTGTAGGGCCAATAGTTCTTGATTGTCTTGGAGTACTTCTTGTCAAAGATAGCTGCAAGAGAGGAATTGGTCCGTGAGGATGGGGCAGTAGTGGTTGCACCTCCTACGGAGCTATGAGAAGGGTCAGCCGAGATCGATTGTATTTCGTGGTTGAATACTTACCTTCCACCAATCTTCGCCGTCACAATGTCTGGCACCTTGTATTCGCTCCATTTCTTCGGGTCGTAGTTCTCCTCAAAGGTCAGGCTGTTCAAATTGAAGTTCACGACGATCCCTCCTTCCACACAATCGGTTGACGTGACGTGAACACCTCCAAGAGACAACATTTGGTCTGGATATACCTTGATACAGCGGTGCCCGCTACGACCGTGCGTGCTATTGCCTTTGTAGGCTTTGATCCACGTGAAAGACGGGAGAGACAAGATATAGACATCATCCGACGCAACGCTGTCCAAATCAATACCATTGTACCCTCCATAGATGTAGATGTTATGCGAGGAGCCATCCGATGCACTGGCTAAGACAGAGCAGAACTGCGTCAATTGAGGCGGCGTATCGCCCGTTGTATTTTGCATGTACCACTTCTGACTTTTGACATCATAGACGGAGACTGTTTCCATGAAAGTCGGGCTGATCTTCTTGCTCGTTGCAGTCTGTGTGGTGTTCAGCCCGGTGTTCTGGTAGAACTGGACCGGGTCCACGACTCCTCCAATAGCCACCAACACACCAGAGTCAGAGACGGGCACCCATACTAGCTCGGCATTTGCACGTCCAAGGACTTCAGGTGCCAGGGTGGTGTTACTCCAACTCGAATTGCCCATTATGGACATATCCACGGTTATGAGCGTATCCGCTGTGACGTTGGCGTTGAACTGGTCGTATGTAAACGAGCCCCAGTTTGCAGCTCGCATTCCACTGAAGTAGAAGCCCAGGTTTTCACTTGGTGCGGAGACCCCAGCGCCATTGGTGATATACCGAGTGACGTTACTGGGGAGGTCTTCTTTGTGCCAACCGGGCCCCCAAATGTTGCGATAGGCGCCATACTGGTAGCCTTCATATCCGAGGACCTCATTAGCAGGCGGCGGATCGCTGTTGTCGGTCAAAGGAATCATTCCCCTATGATAATCGGTTGCAATCAGGAAACATTTCTTTCATAGATTTGGCAAATTCGACGAACCCATAGAGATAGAATTCGTTTTGATTCGAAAACATCGCACCGTCGATGTAATTGGGAGCTAGATTGCTAGCAGTGCCACCGGCGACGGTTTCATTCTGGAGGACGGTTGAGAAATTCGAACTGGTGTTGAACGAAGTCCCGAGGTTGAGGGTATAGATGTAGCCCTCGAAGCTGTCTGCTCACGGTCAGTTTGGACAAACTTCATCGGTCGCGTCGCGCTCTTCTCTTCGACTCTTACTGTCAGCTGCATAGTTCACACAGCCATCGTCAAATCCTCTGCAATTATCAGTTCCGGCTCAGGGATGATGAAAGATTGAACGAGGGTATCGCATACTGCTGTAACCAAATATGTCCACCGTCGAGGTAGATTGTGTCGCGGAGGATGTTGGCTATCTCACAATCAGTTCAGTCCTCGTGCACTATTGGCGACTGCTCCTGCTTTCCTCTGCAAGTCCAACACGAGGATGACGACGATACTCACCTCTCAAGTTTTGCCAGGTGCAAATAGAAGTGTTGATTTGTCTTAGCCATGTTGAACATTCGCTCGCTGCGCTGTCCACCACGGCTGCCAACAGAGTCAGCGTCGTTACGAAGGGAGACCTCATCGCTGGAGGTCACGGCCGCATTGCGGACAGCTTTCAACGGTGATCTATCAGTTTGTTACAACGACAGAATACTCCACGGAACAAGGCGGACGACGATTAGACGAGAACTACGCATGTTGCATGTTGCATATTGCATGTTGCGGTCTAGCCCGTAATCAGGTTAGTTGGACGCAAGATCTGACCCCCTTCCCAGCCTTTCCCTCGCCGGCTGCTAGTCAGCTGCGGGTCAAAGGGAATGCAGCTTTGTTCACGTCTTCTTTGTGGCTTTACGCCTCCTTTTCGTCCAGCGTGCATCGCATCTTCCACCTCGAGTCCCCGTGCGGTACGGCACAGCCAACGAGAATTGACCCCCTCGCTGCAGGCGCGCCCGACCTTGACCACGATCGGTCCAGCCCCAGCCCTGGACCAAGACTGTCGATCAATGGTAGATTGAAAAGAACATATCCAATACTCCTTGGGCTCGGCTGATGCGGCCGACGGCGTTTCTTTCATCGACTTTCATTCATCCGTTGGCTTCGCCTCCACCAGTACCGGTCGGCCCACCTCGTGTCCCAAAGCTTGCATGGAAGCTCGTGTTCTGGGCTGAACGAGTCCGCATGATGATGGTGCAATTATTCCCAGCCGCATTGATTATTTACGAGCCTCGCAGGATGCAGTTCTTTGAACATGGAGAAGACGAGAAGTGGCGGGTCCCTCCTGCTGGGTAGCATTTCTTCCTCGTCGGCCACTCTGTCATCGAATTTCCTCTAGTGTACTTACACCACTTCGCCGATGCTCTCGAAGCAGCCCTTGACGGTTTGCCAGATAGGTCCACAATGAGGTTTTCACTCGCTTTCCTTTCGCTGTGGGCGACCGCTGCGATTGCGCTATCAACAAACAGTGTCGATGGGTCAACTCCAGCTCTCATCCCGACGATTCCTGCAACTATTCCTACATATGTGGAGTCACCAGGTGTCACTACTCGCGCATCGGGGGTAGGTGCCGAAGGACTAGGAATCGCAATTGATATTGGAAGAACCATTATCTACACTAAATGGATTACTTTACCTGGATCGACTATTACCGTGCCAGCATCTACGATCACAATTACCGTTTCAGGACCAACGGTCACTGAGCCTGGCTCGACGGTTACCCTGAATTGCTCGACAGTCACCGTACCTGGATCTGGATCGACGGTGACCATACCTGGATCTGGATCAACAGTCACTGAGCCAGGCTCGACAGTCACCGTACCTGGAACTGGCTCAACAGTCACCGTACCTGGATCTGGCTCGACGGTTACTGAGCCTGGCTCAACTGTCAGTGAGCCTGGTTCTGGATCAACAGTCACCGTGCCTGGAACTGGCTCGACGGTGACCATACCTGGATCTGGCTCGACAGTTACCGTGCCTGGCTCGACGGTGACCGTACCTGGATCTGGATCGACGGTTACTCAACCTGGATCAATAGTAACCGAGCCTGGCTCAACGGTTGTTTTACCTGGATCAACAGTCACTGAACCCGGCTCGACGGTTACCCAACCTAGAATGACGGTTACTGAGCCTGGCTCAACAGTTACCCTATCTGGCTCGACGGTTATTCTACCTGGATCAACAGTCACTCAGTCAGGGTCAATAGTCACTGAACCTGGCTCCACGATTATTTTACCTGGATCAACAATTAGTGAACCTGGCTCCACGGTTATTCTACCTGGATTAGCAGTAACTGAGCCTGGGACAACCATCACGTTCCCAGCCTCGACAATCACAACTACCATCACCCAGCCTGCGAGCACAATCACATTGTCAGGCAGAACAACAACTTTGCGAGGGTCAATCATCACCTCCACAATCACCTATCCAGCAAACACAATCACGATCATTGGATCCACCACTATTATAGATATACTCACCATCGCAGGTAAGCTCTCACATCAGGTCTCCATGTCATGAATATGACTAACTTGACTAGGTCCAACTGAGACAGTGCCCACGATAGACAGCGAGACCGTTCCTGGGTTAGGGACAATTCGGACACAGCTGAATGACAGGGTGGCCACCACGACTATCTCGTTGAGTGTGTGTTCGCCCCTTGTTGCCAATCCAACATATACGCCAACGTCCGCGCTTCCCTACGATTACACCTGGGGTTGCCCTCCTGGATATCTTTGTCGGCCTCCTCATACCGGCGATCGGGCCAACTGCAACATTGAAGCAAGCCTCCCCGCAGATGGCTACTTATGTGCTCCTTCCGAGTGTGTCGTTGCTCCTCCTTTGATCTACAATCACTCTATTGAGGGTGGCCAGCAGTACAATTTCAGCCGGGACTATTACAACCTCGACCCGCGGCAATTCGGCCTAAACTACAGCATTTTCCAGTACACGGAAACTTACACGGTTGCTAGCCGCAAAAGAAGCATGTTAGCTCCCCTCGTGGACCTCGTCGTCGCCCAGAAACACAAGAGGGCGGCTGCGAGCATCCCCTCTTTCTGCTATAACAGCTGCAACGATGCCGCTCAAGAGCCTCAACTGATTGGCAAAATACCAGCACTATGTGAGAGTGACTCTGCGTTTATGATAGATTTGGATAGTTGCAAGTCGTGCATCAATCATTGGGCGTCCACGCCGTCGGACGTGTATTCGAAAACGCTACTACCCTCGTTCTCCCAATGGCTTAACTTCTGTGCTGATGTGACGACTACCGCAAGTAGCACCCCACAATCGACAGTTGCTATCACTACCGCCGGGACAACTGCTATGAGCACCGGTTCAAGCTCGACCAGCAAATCAACGGCGAGTTTGCCGACGCCTACGGCGGCGGGAGGAAGTACCCGGACTACCGCATCTGCCAGCACCCAAACAGGCCAAAATGGCGATCAAAGTAGCTCAGATTCTAGCGGATCAAGTACATCTCGATCGACATCTGGGTCTTCGGAAACTTCTGAGTCGACTTTCGGCATTTCAGGAGCTGTTGGTCTAACGACCGGCGGATCTAGCGTCGGCAGTTCCATCACTGGGGCAAGCACCCTGGCAACCGTCACAGGTTCAAACTCGGCTGGAGCAAGTGGAACGACAGGAGACAAGAATTCATCTTCAGGCTCAACGGGCATCGGTTCCGGTGCAACGGGCGTTGACGCTATTGGCGTTGGAGGTAGTGGAAACGCCTCTGGCACGAGTGCTACTCCAACGAGCCCCCGGGGCGCCGGTGGCTCATCTGGAAGCCAGTCTGGCACCGCCAGCCCATCTGCAACTTCTGCTGCTCTTAATGCAGCACCACCGGCGAAGAATTTTCCCCGTATGGGCTTCTTGGGTCTGTTATTGGCTATCCTCGCGGCACTTTTCTAAATGATTAATGGCTACGACTTTCTTCTTCCGGGTTATACTCCCATGATATAATCACATTGGTTCGATAATAGCACCTTGACAATCTTCATTTTTCCACAAAGAGAGCATTAACTCGTCCAGTATCATTGCTATGGCTGGGGCTCCGGCCTATTCTATGATGATCGATCCAAATCCCCATTCACGGGCTCCCCCTCCTCCGAGCCCCGGCTTCAAAATGACAGCCGGGGATGTTGGGATCTTAAAATCAACTCTTCTCCCTTCATTCGGGCTATACTCCGGCTTGTCAGTTGCAGCATATGTGGTTGCGGAATCTACCGACCGCGTCGAGATTAAAGATTGGCTCTGGCCATCAGCGCAAGTCCTCAATGCATGGTTGACAGCTATCGGTCGGCCGATGTATGAAACCGGGATTACGCTCCCGGATGCTTGGAGAGGGCTAACTTGGTCTGAAAAGCTGCTTCTTAGCGGCGTAACTGTTTGGGGAACTCGACTCTTTGCCCGGATCGTGAGCCGGTCTTTAGCTCGTGGCAAGGACGATCCGCGGTATGAGGCGCAGAAGAAAGAGAGAGGGTTTTGGAAAACGGCTCTTCTCAAAATTTTCCTGCCCGAAGCTGCTTTCTTGAGTCTTATCTCTTTGCCTCTCACAGTGCCATTCGGTATGGGTGATACTACCCTCTCGGTGAGCACGAACATGCTTAGTACCGTTCGTGCATTGGGCGTTGGGCTGTTTAGTGCTGGCTTTACCCTCGAGGTAATGGCTGATACACAGCTTGAGCTTCATCGGAAGGAACGAGAAGATCTGTGCCGGCATGGTGTCTGGAGTCTTGTCCGACACCCTAAGTACGTCTCCTCTGGGAGCTTCACATCTTGTTTGCCGAATTTACTAACGCGTCTTTAGCTACTTGGGAGACACGCTGGTGCATTTATCATTCGCTTTAATGAACATCACCGACTCCTTTAATCCGATCGTTTTGCTTGGTCCGCTGGCCAATTATCTCTTCCTTCGCTTGGTGGGTGGTGACAAAAGAACCGAGGAGAGCCAGGAGAAGCGCTACCGAGAGCAGGATTCTCACAAATACGAGCAACTGTGTAATTGGCGAGGAGTGAAAAACAGCGTCTGGCCTGCTTTGAAAGACCTGACCAACCCTTGGGCATTGGTAGTTGTGGGATGTGGTTTGATCGGTGTTGTTACCGAAGAAGCTGTGCGGAGTACCTTCACCATGCGGTAAACAGTTGTCATATCATAGAATGACTAGACGTTTTGCTTTCCTAACTTTGAATCAACGATAGTATTTTGTCGTTGGCAAACCGCGTTTGGACGTAGAACACTCCTATTGTAAGTCGTATACCTCGGATGTCAGGTGATTACCATTCCCTCTAAAAACTCTATGGCTCTTCCTCTTCTTGCTTTCAGCTGCCAATCACGCCTGACCTCATCTGCCGATCAAACATGCGAGTTCATTCGAGGACCTCTGACGGCCATTTTTTAGATGGAAGAATGGGCTGAAGGACCTAATACCATGATGTCTCATAGAAGAAATGCTGACTCGTTCGAGACAGATACCTCTCTCTGCAGACTTGGAGCTCTGCGGCTGGCCTTATAGCTGCACAATCACAAGCGGACGATCGCAATCCAGACCAGCCTCTCCGGATCATGGCGTCCGATCATCACACTCTCAAGAGCTCATTGCCGTCCACGCAGTCAGCCCGCCACAACGCCGTTTCGTGAGCCTGAGGGAGGGTAGCGCAAGGCTGTAAGCCAATCACGGAGCGCGATAGCCCCCGCTTACAAACAACAAGACGCCGTAATTCAAGCACCCCCATCACGTTCTTCAGTCTTCAAAGAAGTGAGCGGAGCGCAAGATGCGGGTCCACTATGAAGTCCTACCCAGTTGTTGAGTCAATTTCCCCCTGTGCAACGATCACAAGGGTTCGAAACAAGGCAAGACAGCCGCTCGGGTGCCCCCGCCGGGCTGAGCTGAGTCAATGACCCGATTCAGACCTCGCTATCTTACTCCAGATCTCAATTCGAGTGTGCTTTGGTCGCGGTTTCAAAAGGAGGAAATCGGGGAAAGCGACGTATTAGCAGAACATAGTGGTGCAATCGGCACTTCGCACGGTCTCGCGGGACTTGATGGCTCTTGCGGAGTGGAGCTGACATCCCGTGTAAAGGAGCTCCACTCGAACATGTTCACCCCCTCGATCTCGGGCCATCTGCATAGTGCAAATCTCAATCATCCGGCTAGACCCATGGTCGCTTCCCTGTCATGCACCCATCCAATAACACACCCGGGCGGCTGACTTACCGTACAAGAATTGAGTCACACTCGAAGGCTCTCTATATGTCACCCTACTCTCCGTATCTTCGCGAGAGTATCCCATCATGGAGAATTTCCCCGTCTCTGACGCTTTCAACTTTCCATTTGCAGAGTTCGTACCCATCGATCGACACTGTCCCGTGCACAGATCGCGATCCAGGCCTATGATTCCCCCAACCCTCGCAATCCAGCTCCACCGTTCTTGACTACTTCTCGCGAGCGCTCCGTGCAGATCCCCGCCCGGCCTGGACGCCACCACAGACTGAAGCTGTGTGCTGCTCCATTCAGGGTCATTGTTATCTACGGAGGCGTGTCCACCCATTCAAACTTCAGCCCGCGTACGCGGGTCCTAACCGAACACCCGCTAGCTTAGGTTGTTGGCCTGTCATGATTGAAGCTGGGGGGCCCTCTGTATCCGCCGAGCTGCCAGACCCTGCAAGTTTCACGCACCGAGGATGCCGTTTCAAGTAGCAAATCACGCACATCGGCAGTCGAGCGGTGCTGAAAGGCCATGCTTAGCCTTTCTTCATGTCTCGGCAGCAGTCTAAAACCTGCACTAGGGTCGGTGGCATCTGCACCTGTCACGCCGGGTCGTAGGACGAAGGGGGAAGGAAAAAAAAATGAAAAAACAACAGAATCGTGCAGCTGGCCTGTTGATCCCACAGCTACAAATGTGCACGAGCACCCCCTTTCTTTAGATTGTGGTTTTTTCGACCTCGATTATCGTCCTGTGCCTTCTTCTGCTGTCCTAGCGTGCCGGCAGCCATGGCAGAAGGAACCAGAAGTCAAAGCTTTTTGCGCCGAGTCATCGAGGCCGCCCTTTTCCGTGAGGACAGCACACCCCCACCGATGGCTGCGCATGCTGCTGTCACTGCGCAGCGCACCAACAGTGGCCTCTACGGATTTGCAGGCAATGGCGCCCCCGATTTGGAGGAGGGGAAGCAATTTAGCAATTTGACGAGCAACCCCGACCATCTCATCCCACCAAACGATAAGCTCCTCATCTTCCGTGCCCTGACGGGTATCGACAGTGTTCCTGCCCTCACGCAGGGAGGACATCTTCTCCGAACCGCACCCAATGTGGGCATCTATACTCGTGTTGTGACCAACGAGGCTAAATCGCGCCGCGCCTACACCTTCTTCAATTACCTCATTAATATCTGTCTGGGCATTCAAATCGTTGTGGCGGCGGCATTAACTGCCCTCGGCGCCGCCAGTGGTCCCCACTCCGCCATCACTGCCTTCGGCGCTATCAACACCATCATGGCCGGTGTATTGACCTACTTGCGTGGCTCGGGCCTTCCAGACCGGCTCAAGAGCTACCAAAACAAATGGAAGAATATCCGAGAATATATTGAACAGCGCGAACGCGAGTTCTGTTTGGTGGGCTGCGATCTAGACGTGCAAGAAGAAGTCTTTATCGTCGAGAGCATGTACCAGAATGTCAAATCGGAAATGGAATCAACGAAGAGCAGTGGTGAATCCAGGCAGCAACAGCCCGATGACCCTCGAATTCGTCGCTCGCTTCTACCGACTTCCAATCACCTCAGTGGTCACCGGAACACTGCAACGCCCGCTCGGCGGTCCGACACACAGGCAATGGGTGCTCATTCTGGAGAAGGGGACGTCAGCCCTATCACTGTTCCGGAGCAGGCAGTCGAAAAGCACTGAGTCAAATTTTGAAGGAACGACAAGGCATTTGAATTATTCGTAGGATTGACAACGACGAAAAGTAATAGCACTGCCTTCCACCAACATCTTATCACCTGCTCTCAGGGTGGGCTGATAGCCTCACCTTCCTCGCCCAGCTTGACAGCAAGTTCACCTTGCGTCGCCGGCCAAAATGATCATTAATCTCTAATTTCTTCGGACATCGGCCAGTTCATCGGTGTTCGAATTTTCGATGTCTATATTACGCCATGCGACCTGGAGACACACGTTCCAGGGTGCTCACTGAAAGCAGTCTATCCATTTTATGATAGTTATGATCGTGTTGAGGTTATGATTCTGTTAAAACTATAATAATGGCCAAATATTCCGGATATATATCACATCTTCTATTGACGTATCACTTTGGAGCTTTGGTCGTATAAAAACCAGTCCGGTAGCATCGGAAAACTCCACTGGCAACCGGGGTGCGACCCCACCCCTCGTCTCAGGCAAAACGACCACGCAGCAAACTGACCAGTCCGAACCACAAATTTACACCTAACGCCCGACAAGACGTGACAGACGCGAGGAGACGCCTTCAAAAACAACCTGAAGACTACAGTGTCTCAAACATGGCTTCCGATGTGCAATTCACCCAGCCCTCCGACGCGCCCAAGCTCGCAGATGTATTTTTCGCCGCCTTCTCCGATCGTTTCAACAGAACCATGTTCCCGGATAAGCCGGACGTGCGTGTCTGGATGAAAAAAAACATGCTCTGTGGCGAGGGAATCTCGGAGGACCAGATCATGCTCAAGGTGACGGATCCTTCGAACTCTGACGTCGTGGCGGCGTTTGCGAAATGGGTTCGCCCCTCGTCTGGATCTAGCGCGGATCGCGATCCGCAGGCTGAGGACCCTGCCGTGTGGCCCGAGAGCAGCGATGGGGAACTATGTGATCGGTTTTTCGGGACGATGGATAGGCATCATAAAGATTCTATGAAGGGAAGGCCTCATTATTGTATGTTGTTCCTTTCATCACGTTCTTATTCATGCCTGCTTCCTTTAGTTATGAATTCTTGCCTGGACCCCCCCCCTCGAATCTCATGTGTTCGCGGTTTGTTCTTGATCCCCAACCTAACTGACGAACGGCAGATCTCGAAATTTTGGCCGTTCATCCATCGTATCAAGGGCGTGGGCTGGCCTCCAAGCTATTGCGATGGGGTCTTGCGCGCGCTGACGAAGAAGGCGTCGAAGTTTATCTGTCGAGCTCCCCAGACGGCAGGCCATTGTATGAAAAATATGGATTCCAAGTTTTGGACGGGCGGTTCTCGCCTTTCCCTGGCTACGAGCAAGTAAATATGATTCGGCCTGTTCAAAACAAATGAGCAGATAGATGGATATCTCAGCCGCTCTTTTTCTCTTGTGGATCTACTCTATGGAGTGAAGCCAATGTCACGTGTTTGGATCAGCTGGGCCTCGTCAAGGACTACATCAAGTTTATTTTTATTTTTATTTTTATTTTTATTTTTATTTTTTTCGCTCTCCTGTATCTATCTAACTAAAAGGGGATATCCTGGGCAGTCAGAGGTCATGAGAAAAGCAATTGACTTATCGCGATTGGTCATCATGACAACATTAAGTTATAACAAAGTGAAATAAGGATTCGAGCGATCATAGTTCCCGAAGCCTGTGCTCCCCGTGCGCACTATGTATTAAGCTGTTGGACGGACCCATGTTCCTCCCGGCGTCCTTGTGGTCAACACAAGTTTATACAATTAGAAATATCGCGCCCAATACAATTAATTATGAGAGATAGTAGCCTGAAAATGCCAAACTACTCATTAAGTGGCAACGAACCAATTTTGCTAATTATCGAAACTGGGCATTGAGTATGGCTGAAAGCGTAACCACTGAAGGCGACATGTAAGCTTTAATCCATGGCTCGCCGTATGCCACGGTTCAGGTTTCGAACACCACATAGCTTTCACTTTGACAAGCATTAATCAATTCCTTGTTTCAAGAGAACCATTTATCTAGTATTTGAAGCCGGGTGCCAATCATTATCCACAATCCCCAGAAAGCTAGCAACATTTCCTGCTTTGCTCTGCTCCATGTGTCATAGTTAAAGTCAAATAAGATAATTGTCCAGGTTAACAGCCGCATTCAGTGGCTGAGGATTCCACATGATCGATTATTATTGCGTATGGCGTCAATGAGTTTCCAATGTACCAGAGCTTCTCCAGGCAACACATTATTCATAAGAGTTATATAACGCAGGCCTGCATTCTAAAACATAATTTTCTAGCACACGATTATCTTCATTATCTCAGATCAAATCAAGTACCATATCAACCAGTGATCTCCTAGAGATACAATAACATCACAAACAATGTCCAACATTATGCACAAGGTCAAAGACGCCATGACTGAGAATCACGATAGGGACCGAGCCCCCAACACCGAAGGTCCAGGTGCGACACGCTTGTTTCCCATAATATTTTGTGCGACACAGGACCGCCATGCTGACGAGTGTTGATATAGAAACTCACCACACGTACAGATCCTCAAACCCCTACGCCAAGGACCCTGCGAGCCAGAACAATCCATCCACGATGAATCCCGAATCGGGATCCGGAAATACTTTCGGACTTCGCGGCCAAGGCGCAGCTAAAGAGCCTGATACATACGACTCGACCACAGGTGGTAGAACTACTCACGGACTGGGCAGTCAAGGCGCAGCAAAAGGACCTGATACATACGACCCGACCCCAGGGGGTAGAACTACTCACGGACTTCGCAGCCAAGGCGCAGCTAGAGACCCTGATACATACGACTCTACCCCCGGTGGTAGAACTACTCACGAACTGGGCAATCAAGGCGCAGCCAAAGGACCTGACACATACGGCTCCACCACCACTGGGGGTAACACAGTCAATGCTGGACCTCACGACTCCAAGGTGGCCAACAAACTGGACCCCCGCGTGGATAGTGATCTTGGTAAGCTGGGAATATTTTTGATAGAGCGATTCTAATCACATCATACTGACTAAAGGCTTGCGACAGATCATCGAGCTCAAAATGCAGGAACTATGGGATCGCAAAATGTTGGCGCTGCCCCTCAAGGCATGAACACCGGTAACACGGCTGCCGGTGGACAGCCTCGCGCCTTTGGTTCCGACCATCATAGGACCGACGAGGACAATCACAACAAGGCCAATCAAGAGCACAAGCTTCGCACTGAACCCGGCCCCCCCGGTACAGGCAATCAGGTCACCAGCGAGGAATCCTACAATAGCTCCTCGCAGGAACACAAGTCACACTCCACTACTACCCACACTGCACCCTGCGACCAGTTCGGTGGCGGTGCTGCTGGAGGTAGTAGCTATACCCAACCACCTGTCGGAGAGACGGCTGGGATGCAGAACACTAGTTTCGCGGGCAAGGTTGATCCTCAAGCACAGGGAATGGGCTATCAACAGGGTGATCTGGCGAACCAGCGAAGCGGATATTAATCTGTCTCGTCCACCACGACCCATAACTGATCATGTTCCTTCGCTATGTATTATGAATCTTGTTTAATGTAACTCAATTTGATGTCCAGAATGAAATATGTACAATTTAAAAAACCAATCTTCAAAGGCTACCTCATGTAATAATCCCAGAATATGCCGAGTCAGTTCAATGAGAATGGTGATGATCCGTAAAAACGCCTTGCTCCGCGCATGCCTTGCGGCATTCCTCAAAAATCCTCGCCTGGCGAGCGACATCGGCGAGGCGACCGATGACTTCTTTGTTTCCGTCAACAAAAGTAAAGACGGCATAGGGGATCTTCACATCCTCACAGAACTCTTTGACAAACTTCTGCGTCTTGCGCAGGTTGTGGCGGGGAATGCGAGGATATAAGTGGTGAATGGCTTGGAATTGGAGTCCACCGTGGAAGAAGTCCAGCCATTCCGGGCAGTCCACATCCATGGTTGTCCGAAGCATTTTCTGAGGGAAAGATTCAAGGGGACCGAGATCGGCGGTCGACATGGCATAGTGTGAAAGTGTAATTTGCACGTGGAGTGGAGCAGTGACCATGTGCGAAATAAGGACGAATGCGATCTTATTCCATAGACCAGGAATGTTGAGATAGAGGACACCATAACCGAACCAAGTCCAGAAGAAGATTTGGCCGGCGAGCTCGAACCACCGATGCCACCAGCCCACGCCGTGCTTGGGACCCAGGCCGAGGTAGATATGTTCCCAGCTCAAAAAGTAGAGGTTGAAGCGACCGAAGAGGAGAATTGGGTAATATAAGTAGTGCTGGTACTTGACAGTGACCTTAGCCACTGCATCGTATTCCATGATCCGATCGTAGTAAGTGCTGCGCAAACTCTTGAAAAATCGTTGCGAGACGGCGAAAAATGGCATCAGCTCGATATCAGGATCATGCTCTGGGGCATTAGTGACGATGTGATGAACGTTGTGGCTTCGCTTCCACCAGCCTAGGCTGAGTCCACCCAAAAAGTCCGCAATGATCATACCGATCACCGTGTCCGTCTGGAAGTCATGTGTAATCCCCATGTGGCCAGCATCATGGGCAGAGAAGACGAGCTGGTGCCAGAAGCACCCGAGAAAGAAGCCGGACAGACAGAACCAAGACTGCTTCAAGAAAAAGACAAACAGACCGAAAAATAAAGAGTATCGGCATATTTCAACGGCATAAGCGGAATAGTTGCAGTTGTAAAGCCCGGCTGCGCGAATACGCTCGTTGAGCTGACGGTATTTCTGTGTGATGTACTCTTGATGCTCAACATCAAGAGGAGGATACTTTGATTCGTCCAGCTCAATCTCTTGTTGAGTCCGGGCATCGATCACACAAGTTTGGCGTTTAGCTTCGGTTGTTGAGAGAGGTGTAGCGCTGATCGAGGAGGATATCGTGGATATGGATAGCCTGCGTCTTAAGCCGAACATGTCTTCTGTCGGTTCGAAAATCGGAGATGGTGGAGCTGAAGCATCCTCACTCGAAACTTCAGAGATCAACAGTTCCATTTCGTCTGTCTCTTCCTCGGATTCGCAGTATGGGCGGAAAGTGCCGCCTTGGATGGGTGGGACGAAGTTGATCCATCTTCCTTCGATGCGGCCGATTTGGAATTTGCTCATGCGCTGGCGCGCTTCCTGTGAATGTAGTCTTTGGATCCTCAGTCAGTATATGCGACACTGGCTCGAAATCAGGATTTATTGGACACATACGCGTTGACCTCATCTGTAGCATCTTTGCCAACCATGTGCTTGATGGCCATGTCACCGCCAGGGTGAAATTTAATCCAAGCATCCAGTCTGAGTACTTTGTTGTCGACAATGATAATCAACTTGTCCTCGGCAATCATGCCTTCAACCTCAGCCCTTGACAAGACATTGTCCCGGCCTTTGATTGAGGGAGACATGCTAAATGAATTTGATAGAAGGGGAAATCGGTCTCATTGAACATCTAACAACAAGAGCAGAGATAATAAATGCTTAAGAGGAAAAGGATAGATTACTATAGGGTAAATTCTCCAGTCAATCTACAAAATCCATACGTTGCGAGCTTAGTAGCGCTGTGGCGCGAATCCCCCTCTTCCCCTTTAATCATGGGGACAAAGGGGCAGTGCCGTCTCCAAAATTCTATATGCGTGGCGAATACAATGGGCGAGGGGGAGTTGTAAGTGGATACGGTACTGAATATGCCTAGTGTTTGTGGAGATACGAATACGCCATAAGTGGTCGCCAGCGGTCAAGAACTCAGATAGAAGCAAAGTGGACATAGTCCGGCCGCGTAGAGGGTCACCAGGGGCGAGGATAATTATGGGGTCGCTACAGTAGTGGGCCAAGCAACGTACGCGTATCCAAAGCCCTACGACGAAAACGACTCGCCGAGCCAAAACAAGCTTAAACTTTGACGGCAACCCCTGTAACAGATTGACCCCTGTTGCAAATTAAAAGGCCAGATCGCTTAAACTAGCCTATTCCCCGTACCGATTTACACGATACGCATTTAGTTAGTTAGTCCCACAATTTGATGTGGGAGGTTCCAAAGTTTGCCCTGTCGGTTTTCTGGAATTTTGCAGACAACTTTCGCCTACACACGGACGGCTATTGAAGTGCTAGTGTCGCCGCACAATCTGGTCATCTTGGCAGTCTCATTCCGACAACAGCCATAACCGCGAAATGGGGTTTCAAAGAGGAATAGAAACTATTAGCGTCTTTTGTGGCCCACGTTCACATAGGTTTCGTATGCGGAACAGCTTATCGTAGGAGCCTGTGCGCTTGGACAAGCTAAGGGGACACGGCTTTTCCACGTGGTTACATCAAAGGTTGACGGGTGAATCTTTCAGGAGACATAGTTTTCTATATGACGCTGCGAGCTGCTCATTGGCTGTTATTATAATGGTAATCGATGGGAAGATTATCTCAGTACGGAGTACATACAGGCGAAAGGCATTGACCGCGGGGGGAGCCCACCGTAGACCGTATTTGTCGATAGAGACCATCTTAACCGCTTTCTGAGCCGCCCACTCAAGAGATTTTTACCTAATTTTCGCCCCCACACTGGGAGGCGAGTGGCTGCGCTACCCTACGTACCCACGTACGTATTTTGGTCCTCATTCAGATCGGGGGGCAAATTCTTGGGTTCCTAAATATTATCAATGATGGAAATGCTTTTGTTCTTTTCAGATAAGATAGCCGATTACATAGACGTAAAAGTATAGACTGATGAGACAAGACGTGTAGTTATCTGTTGTGTACGTGGACTGTGATAGGAAAAAAGGTTTTTAGAAATGACTCTCAGTTTAAGAATGCCTATTTTAGCTTTTTTTCCCTCCTTTGTTGCTTGGCATCTGGGCGCAATAAGCATATCCCCTTTAATAACCGTCCAGTTTTCGCATCGACTTACCCAGGCAGCAACCATTGCTCGGGCCTTCGTCGGCAAGAAAATTGCGCCTAAAAAGCTATAGATAGTCCTGATGGGGATGAGAACTCACTCTTTCTCCCCGTCTTCGTTGTCCTTTCAAGCGTGAGGAGAGCGGCACCCCTGTTTGAATATGGCGTTAGAGGAACTCCTGCGCATCAGTCATCTACATCTATCTTAGCTTAAAGTTAGAATAACCTACATAGTCAAGCGGGTAATATTGACAAAATTAAGTCTACCATGTGAAGCGCATTTGGCCTTTAAAATCTGTAAATACGGGCGAATGGCCACCTCAGCCCCTGCATGCTTACGTCTTGTGGTGTTTTCTTGTGGCCTCAAAAGCAACACAGATAAATCTGGGATAGCACCTACTGCAATATAGAGAGAGCCAATCTCCACTCATAACATAAGGTGGTCATTGCAATAAGTTGAGATCTGAATCATGAAGAAGCAATTGTTCATGAAATACGACCTGGAATGAGAAATCTAGTGTGATCCAAAAAAGAGCAGGTCCATCAAAAGGAGTTCTCGGAGAAGAGAGCATAATTTGGTCTATATAAGCTCGGTGACTGGAATTGTACTTCAATCTTTCGCCGTTATAAAAAAGGCGAGCAAATTAAGCGACCGATAACGCAATCTGTTGCCTAATTGAGTGTCCTATTTTAGTTCCGTGCCTCGAACATCACGGCGCCGTTACGCGGTTGCCTTGAAGGCTGAGCAGGGTTGCAAAAGGTCAACGCCATCTACCATCTGATCTCCTATGTTTTTTTGTCTGCAATTCTAAGTAGCGCTTGCAAACAATGAGGGAATTAGCTGCTACAATCACTATTGCTGGCAGATAATCTTGCTCCCTTGCGGGAATTCGAAGCCTGAGTCTTCCTTACCTCCAGAGGTAATTTCCGGACACATTGAAGATATGCATGTCAAGACATACTAGAATCATGTTGCAAAATTATGGCAGTTTCAATGTTCGCGCGATAATCCGACATCTAACAATTCTGCTTTTTTCTCCCAAGGGGGCTGAAGATAAGGATTCGGTGGGGCTTGCAAGTTCATGAACTGAAAAGGGATAGCCTCCCCTTTCGACCAATGAGGATAAAAGCTGCCAAAGGTCCAATTTCATGCATCGGAGATACATCGCGATCTAATGGTGGTCAGAGAGGCCTGAAGTCCCCACCGACCGCTTACAAATGACAGTAGCCTGCCCGGCTTCACTTGCGGGGTCCTAACATTTGAGGATAGTGACAAGCAGTCATATGGAAACAAGAGTGACAAGGTATACGATGACTGGGATGGAGTTGAAGAGCTTTTGAGCCTACCCGATCATGCTTTCCACCGAAATGTGGACAAGCTTGTCTTGGATGCTGCCGCGAAGCATGCAGACGTACTCAAGCTTGCTTTGATCTGTCCTCCAACCATTTACGGTGTGTATCCTCCAAGAGCTTCTCTGTCAAATTATAATCTTACTAGCTGAGCAGGACGTGGGCGAGGCCCATGCTCGCAACGAGGTCGGCAAGTCTATGAACTCGCGAAAGTGACACTGCAGCTAAAGAAGGGACCAATTATCGGTGCTGGTCAGGCAATCTGGAACAACATCCACATCCACGATTTGAGTGATGTCTATGCATTGCTCGTAAATGCTGCAGTCGCCGGCCGAAATGACGATGGGATCTGGGGTCCGAAGGCCTATTACCTTACTGAGAATGGGCAGCATTGCTGGGGAGATCTAGCTAAGTCTACTGCGGAGGTTGCTGCCAAGCTAGAGTTCATCCCAGAAGCGAAGGCTGAACCTATCGATTTGGAGAACGCAAAGCAGTATGCGGGGTTTGAGTCGCTCAGTTGGGGAATGAATTCTCGTGGGCGGGCACTGCGAGCCCGTAATCTTCTTGGATGGAATCCGTCATCTCCCAGTCTGCTAGATGAATTACCCCAGATCGTTAAGAGTGAGTGGAAGCGACTACAAGAGTAGGAGTCTCGCAGAGGGAATCTTGTTACTGGCACGCATAAACCTTCCTGTCTATGAGTGTGAATCTGGCGATTAGATAAAAAGCTATCTAGATACAGATTTACTGCCTCTCTTTTTAAAGGTCTTTCTGAAAGTCTTTTGAACATCACCCTAGACAGCTTTAGTGTATATAACATTCGACGAGGGGTTAATGTGTAGAAAGTTTATACATCACTATTAATTCCCCTCAGCCAACGTCAAGTGAGACGGGCAATGAATGGATCATAGCCCTTAAAACTGATAAATTCTACAGTCAATAATATGGCTTCTCAGACGTTCCAGGTCCAGCCCTGTTAGGTTCTAGCCTTGGGACATGCGTACCTTATATGTTGGAGTAAACGAAAATCCAGCGATTTCATCGACTGTACCCGTTCGACACAAAATTTGAAAGTTGCATCCATCTTGTTTGCACCACCTTTTTTTGGTCGAGATGGTGAGATGGGAGCTAAGAGGATAACTTTATTATCTCCGATGCGGACGGCGATAGCGGTCGCTACTTCATACTCCGCCTGAGAAATCGATCCTTTACTTGAGTCATGGTCGGAGAGAATAATCATTCCGTATACTACCGGGAGGCCGGACCAACCAGTGGGGGAGTCGAAGGAGAGTTGTTATCCTCCCCACCAAGAATATTCCGGTAAGCCTAAGAGTAATCGGGCCAGAAAATCATCAACACGACCAGCAAGCACCCGATGGCGCATGATCTCCATAGAAGCTCTATGGAATTGGGCAGGATTGCACCGACTGCCAGCTGAGTCGGGGCGTCGGCGTGGAGTTCGCCCGACTCTTGGCATTCCAGCCTCTAAGGGACAGCCTCACAACAGTCAGATCGTAAGGTTGTGGCTTCGGGAAAGCCTGAAATTTTCTGCTTACAACCAACGTGCTTGTGTGGGATATGGCGACGGGGGAATACTTCACCCTGCTCCAAACGAGATGGAGGATTCAGTTTGACCCGCAAGGTGGTTTGTGCGAGGGCCTCATCATCACCGCCTGTATATAGCCTGAAGGATGTAGACTGTCCGGGATCCTCCTTCAGGGCATTTCAATTATAAAATTTTCTCTGGGACTAAAGTCAGCTTCATCTTTCTTTCCAGTTTCCCATTGTCTTCTCCGGATTATACTTGTCGTTGATCAACAATGGCTTCCGAAGATCCGTTCGTGAATGGCTCGGACAAGCCAGATCCAACGAGCACTATGAGCAATCCCGGGTTAGGAAATGCCAGTGACCAAGACTCTGATAGCAAGACGGAGAAATTTGCACTTGGTCGGCGAGGTCAATTGGTGTTTTTTACCTTGGCTGTCCTTACTCTGATGGCTGCTCTGGATGGGACCTCTCTTTCTGTTGCTTTACCGGTAAGTCTACTTGGTTTGTTTCATGTTCATCACGGAATAGAAACTAAACCATATCAAGACAATTGCCAAAGCCTTGAATGGCACAGCTATTGAAGCCTTCTGGAGTGGAACCTCCTTCCTACTGTCCTCAACAGGTAGGCAAACCCTCATGGAATTGTTATAGCGGATATCTAACGCTGTGGCAGTCTTTCAACCAAGTTTCGCATCCCTCTCGAACATTTTCGGTCGGCGCCCTATGGTTCTGGTTGCTATTCTCTTCTTCTGTGTTGGCGCTATCATCGCTGCAGTTGGCGACAATTTCACCTACATGTTAGTCGGTCGGACTATACAGGGTGTCGGGGGTGGTGGTATCATTGCCCTGAGTGAGATTATTGTCACAGATCTCATCCCATTGAGATATCGTGGCCAATACTTTGGTATCCTGAGTGCTATGTGGAGTCTTGGCTCTGTGACAGGGCCTATTCTTGGCGGAGGCTTCGCAGAGAACGTAACCTGGGTAAGTCGAATATTGACCTTATAGAGGCGCAAAGCTAAATTTCCTCAGCGATGGATCTTTTACATCAATTTCCCCTTTATTGGGTTTGGCACCGTCTTTGTGGTTCTCTTCTTGAGGCTCAGCATCCTTCCAAGCTCTCTGGTCGAAAAGCTTCGTCGCATCGACTACATCGGAACGGTATTGTTCGTCGGTAGCATGTCATCATTTTTGATTCCACTTACCTGGGGTGGAGTCTCATACCCCTGGGACTCATGGCACACCCTGGTACCATTGATTATCGGTGCAGCCGGGTTATTCGTCTTCGCCTTTTATGAATACCGTTTCGCCGCCGACCCAATCATTCCACCAAAGGTCTTCCGCAACCGTACGGCAACAGTCTCTTTTATTGGAAGCGTCTTGCAGGGTCTGATTCTGTGGTGTACGCTGTACTACCTTCCTCTTTACTATGAGGCTGTGAAGGAATATAGCCCAATCATCTCTGGAATCGCTCTGTTCCCGGAAACCTTCACGGTCGCTCCAAGTGGTATGGCCGCCGGTATTCTCATCACCATGACAGGCCACTATCGTTGGGCAATTTGGCTTGGGTGGGTAGTGTCTACCATCGGTTTGGGATTGATGTGTATCATCAAATCGTCAACCAGCATCCCAGGCTGGATCCTACTCAATATCGTTCCGGGTTTAGGACTTGGCCTGCTTTTCCCTTCGCTTGGCTATGCTGTCCAGGCATCAGCAACCTCGGAGAACTTGGCGATTGCGGTTGCCATGTTCAGCTTCTTTCGCGCCCTGGGCCAGGCAATCGGCGTGGCCGTCGGTGGTGTTGTCTTCCAGAACCGTATGCGCCATAGTCTGTTGAGGTATCCTGCGCTTGCGCCAATGGCCGACGCGTACAGTCAAGATGCAGCCGGTCTAGTCCAAATCATCAAGGGAATGGCAGATGGCGTCAACAAGTCTGACCTCAAAGATGCGTACACTGATAGTCTACGCATTGTGTGGGCAGTTTGCTGCGCGATCTCAGGAATTGCTCTTCTATTCAGTCTTTTGACGGAGTCTTATGATCTCGACCAAACTTTGGACACAAATCAGGGCCTCCGGGATGCCCATGAGAATGACACAAGTGAGAAGGATCTCGAGGCCTCTGCCGACAAAGCTGTCCAGCAGAATACACCCTGGGCCTATTGATTAGTTATGTCTTTTGATGATTTATGATGCATGTATAGATTGTACAGCACAGTTGGATACTTAGTTCACAGCATTAATAATGGCACTCCCCATTCGTGAATTTTCAACTCTTCGACTGCCCGTTCTCCGGATACTCCATACCCTCGACTCTTCTCGTCACCCCCCATGCCTCAGTCACCTCTCAAAAATAAGGACTTTGGGGAATCTACTGCGTAGCGCGGAGATGTTCCGCATTCTCTTCTGCGGAAGGGAGCTGTCTGGAATAACGGTTACAAAATTAACATGTCCGTCGGATACAAATCACTACGCAAAATCCAGCTTTCTGCGACTGATGTCCGTCGATGTAATCAAGCTTGCCCGTATTCTCAAGCAACAGCCGCATATAAGAATAGTTCCAGTCCCAAAAATAACAAATTTATCGCCAGGCTGAACACCAACTTGTCGTACGAAATGCTCCAGCCAGAAGAGGGGGTAAATACTGGCGACAGAACGCCGATCATTTGATTAGACGGCGTGAGCTTAACTGGCATACAGAAGTGGGTCAATTGCGAGTGTTGAAAAAACCGGAGGGATACTACCGAATTTAACCTTCTAGAAGTATTCGTGTTGCAATGGACATCAGACCAGTCAAATATTCAATTGGAAGGGGTAATCGTCACCACAAACTAGGTAATCAAAGGAGACCAACTCAACGAGTGGTCAAAACACCGAAATGTCAAAACGCCAGATGAACCCAAACTTTCAGAGAAGCAGGCTGTTGAAACAAACGCGAGGTCGTGAAATCGTAATAGGAAACAGTAAATAGCAAAATTAGAGCCAGGAGATTACTCGCGGCCCATGACTCTCAAACGCTCCTTGAGCAGATCCATCTCCCTGTCATGATCCATCCCCGTCTTCTTCTCCAGCTTCTCCCTGTCGCCGTCTTTCAGCACAATTGAACGATAGGCGCCATCGCCATCAGGTGCACCGACTGTGACCCAAACGAACTTGGTTCCATGAGTTCCGCCAGATGAGCGATCTTGTGTTCCTTGCCAGAACATCTCAGCAGGTACCAACTGATCTCCAGAAGCAGAGCGACTGGGAGACGGACGGCCGCCGAGTCTTCCATACTTGATCCAGACTTTGATAACATCTCTGATGAAGCTAATCTTTTGCAAGAACGAGTTGGCATCAAGGATATCACGAATTCGGTCCTCGACGGAGTTGATTGACTCCCCATTGGCGATGCTAAGGAATGTAGCAGCTTCATCTGAAGCGACGGCACGAGTATCAAAGCCCGAGGGATGCATCTTGCCCTTGGCCGTGAAGTAGCGAGCTGCAGATGGAGAGAGGTGATAGAAATCGATCCATGGAGAAGAGCTGCGAGTGCGACCGGGCGCAAGGACGAGTTTGGTATGATCGGGAAAGTTGAATTGGAAGGCGCCGTCACCGAAGCCCCAGATGCCGACATTACCAAGGCGCTGGTAAAACTTGATGAACTGGCCACTACTCGGGGCAGGTGTGTCATCGGTGATACCCTCATCGCCATGGCGACCAAGTGATCCGATCATGTATTTACCAAACTGGTCAACCAGTTTCACCCGCTTGATTTTCTCAACATCTGACCTCTCAGAGCCGGATCCAGAGTTGGCTCGAAGCTTCATCACCTTTGAGTGCTTTGCATCAAAAAGGGATGTGTCAATGAAAGCTCGTCGGATGCCACGGCACCCAAGGAGATTATCATCCCGGTTCTCGTAAAATTCCACCGGCACCCCGGCGCGAGGGACAAGTTGGTCAGCCTCGGAATATGGGATGCCCTTTTCCTCGGGGGTATCGACACTACGTGCCTTGCGACGAATGTGTCTCTCTCCATCTCGAACCACAACGCTAGTGGCAGGCTGACCATTCTCTCCCTTGAACACACAACCCACACTGCCATCGTCCAAGACATACCCGATACCGTATCGGTTGGTATAATCAACCCATTTGATCACATATGCATGGGGTTGCTTTCTGGAGCCGACTCGGCGCCGGGTAGGGCCTTGGGTAACCAGGTTTGCCAACATGAGGCGTAGATTGGTGTTCACATCGGTCAATGAAGTACCTGGGAGGTCCTGGCAGACGTCATCTTGGTGGAAAATAGGGCTCAGTCCCAGACTGGAGCGAGCTTTGCTGGACTTGCTATCAGTTCGAACAAGACCCTGAGATTGGGTGCTCGGCTTGGTGAGCTGAGTCGAGGAGAAAGCGGACTCGGTTGGGCTCTGCTTGGGCCGTTCAACTCGCTCAGTAGCGATTTTCGTGTCGGAACGAGACATGGATCGGAGAGAGGCTTGGCGACTTATTGTTCGTCGCTCCTCAACTACTGCCGACAGCTGTGCATTGCTAGTAAGAACTGCAGGCTGCGGCCCTTGGCCAGCAGCTTCCAACCTTCGGGATTGTGATCGTGTTTTGCCGATTGTCAGGCCAGACGGCATGCTCGTAGACTTGGCCAGTTGGGGAACTACGTTCTCACGCAATGTAGCGGCATTGGAAGCAGACACCATCCTTCGCGTACGAATTGGCCGCTCAGCGAGCCCGCCTGCAGGGACATCAGTACAAGACAGAGGTGTAGGTTCCGGCACTTTGGGTTCTCTGTAGGATTTGGCAGAGGGCTCTGCAAATTCGGAGACAACTGGCGCCTTTCGGACGGAAGCCATTCCAGGGCGCGCTTGTTGGCGGAGTGTCGCTGCATGGTTCTGACTCTCCATCCTGCGTTGTTGAGCAGCCGCGAGTGCAGCATTTGTTCGAGTAGTTGCCACTGCGTTGGTGCGAACCGACACGCTGCGCCGGGACAAAGTGCTGCTGTCCATTGCTGAATCTTCTGTGCGAATTGTTTTGCGAGAACTGTCCATCAGGCACCAGTCGCCCTCGATTTCGTGAGGCCATCGATACACGAAATCCATGGGTAGCGGCACGACGGGCCGAAGACCTCTTGCATCCTCAGTCTCGCACTCCGAGTATGCCGATTTCGAACAATTACGACCGACAGACTTGCGAGCGGTTCCATCTGGTTTTCTACCGACGCCACACAGCGAGTAGAAAGCAGCCCTACAAGAGTGATACCGTTGGCTTGGATCGTCTACTTGATAGACGTAGGCACGAAGTTTCTCATCTGAGTCGAGACCATAGCCCTTAACCATGGAGTCGCCTCGGGGTGATTGGTCTTTGAGCCAGATTGGTTTGTTAAATCGACATGCTGGGTCCAATTGGCGAGGGATACAACCATCGTACATGTTGAAAAATGGATGTTCAACGATGTCATCGGGATCGGGCCGTTCTTCGTCAACCAAGTTCAAGCAGGCACTGACCAGGTCCTTTGCCTCGTCTGGAATGAAATTGGAGTGTTCGGATTCTTTCGGCCATACGTAGGTCAGATTCCGGACCTTCTTATAAATCTCTTCTTGTGTTTTTGATTGGAATGGTGGGTATCCGGTGAGCATTGCAAAGCTGAGTAAAGCACATTAGTCAAATTTGGATGAATAAATAGCATTGCACATGCACTTACCATATAACACCCAGCGACCAGATATCGACTTTTTGGGTATGACCGCCCTTGCTCTTGTCAAGAACCTCGGGCGCAATGTAATTTGGTGTCCCGCACAAAGTATTTCGCCGCTTCGCATCCTTGTCTGATAAAATCATGGCAGCCAGGCCAAAATCTCCAATCTTGATGTTCATGTTACGGTCGAGAAATAAGTTTCCCATCTTCAAGTCGCGGTGTGCAACGAATCGCTTGTGTAGGTACTTGACGCCGGCGCACAGCTGGATCATGAAACGCCTGACTTCTGGAAGACTGAGACACCGTCGTTTTCGGACCATATCCATCACTGACCCGTTCGGACATAACTCGAGAACGACATATGTGCTTTGCTCAAAGGCGAAGGCGCGGTAAAATTGGACAATGAAGGGGTGACGCATTTTCGAATGGATTTGGAGCTCTGTTCGAAACTTCTAGATGTCAGCATGCACCATCAAAATCATTCTGCAACGGTGCCTGTACCTTTTCTTCCATCTTTTTCTGCGGCATTTGTGACTTGACAACTTTCATCGCAAAAACGCGACCATTGCGCGCGAGGGTGCCCTCATAGCAGACCGCAAATCCACCTTTTCCTAAGAACCCGCCAATGGAGTATCGTTCTGCATCCTCCTCGGGCTCTGTGACTATTGATGGGGGTGGATCGGCGTGGTTCTTGGAAGCTGAAGACGACTTTGGTGCCGCGGCGACTGCGTTCTTGTCCACAACCTTCCGGTCCATTGGAGCCTTAGGCTTTATCATTTGGTTCGTGGTCCGAGGCGAAAGAGCTTCCATTATGGATGTTGCGACACTTGGGTTGTTGTGTCAGAGCGATCAGGGCTGTCGCGACGGGTACGTTCGATGAAATCAAGCCCTTCAGTAGCAATGCGAAACGTAGAGATCATAGGATAAAACAGAATATAGAGTAGTGGTGCAAGTTGGTTGGTATCAAGGTGCTGCAAATTGGTATCCCTGCAACCGTCCGAGGCGTTAGCACTTGACTTGGATTAATCTCAGCCCAGTCGGGAAGCCGACCCAAGCAACTCGGTCGGAAAAGGTAGTCAGTATTCGCTTACCTGAATGCAAAGCGCTAAAGAATCAAAACTGTACAAACTTCCTAAAGGCAACAGGGCTCGACTCGACTGGGGGTTGAAGTGGGGAGAGAAGACAAAGAGAAGATCTCGGACCATAATAGTTTTCCTGATTTGGAAATCGATAAACAGTGGTTCCCATCACGTGATACCATAGCAACCTCGAATTTTCAGATCAAATGGGCTGAATAGTTACTCGATATCTAAATAATTATTGTCAGAATGGTATCTATGTGCCAGTGAAATCAAACTTCTTTCCAATTCTATCGCTTCAAGGTTGGCATAAATTGTTCCATCAATGGTGTCGTTCTGCTACCATATTACGCCCTTCAAAATATATTTTTGCCATGTCCACCATCGAATCGTTCCTGACCTTCAGCTCTGTATAGACTATTTAGCTCACAAAAATGAATATAGTTTCGCACATAAAAAAACGCAAAAGCCTTGTTTTCACTTGTATAGTTTACCTCTTTTAACATCCACTTTAAACTGGTCTTGTGAGCGTCAGACTTTTGTGTTTACAACTGTGGCCCCGCCTTGACATTCTGGGATTTTTGAGGTAGTAAGTGGAGCCCAAACGCTCGTCGGAAGATCACCTCCACAACATTTCGCGTGTACCTCCAGGGCTATACATATCTGTAGTTGTTTACTTCATACGGACGGGAGTCAATTCTACAAAAGTCCCTGTAGAAGACGTCCCATCAAATTGTGATGAAATTATTTGCTGGAGGATCTGATTACCATACAATGAGACCCAGTCCTCAAAATCCAGAAACAAGCACATCGTTCTAGCTCATTGGCTAACAATGGCAGGATCACCCTGCACTGTCTTTCAAATTGGCATGTCCACCTATTTCAACAGAATTCAGGGCTCATTCCCAGAGGTTACCATATTGTAGCGATCTAGATTCTGACCCCCCATAATCGAGAACGGTAAGCCGGAATGGTTAGATAGCTTGTTGAGAAGACTGTCACTTTCATTGATACATAGGGCTGTGTTGCATGGAAGGTATGCTAATATGTGGCTAACAATAAGATGGCCAAGCATATTTACCGATGCCCAGTAATGCTCTCTACCTCTTATCCATCTCTACCCCGCGGCGTTACTCGGGGCTTGACCGTCGCCGTCGTATAGCATTGTTTGACCGAGCCTGGTTTTGTGGTCCAATATAAGTGCTCAAGGGTGACCAGCATAAAATTCCTACTGATGAGCCCTACTCTAAACCTTCTCTCGAATCGCAATTCCCCTTCCTCATCTGCAGCGCCATACTACTGTTGAAACAGATGTTTTGATTGGGCAGCTCCTGGACGGGCCTCCGTTCGGTCCCGTCTCTGCGCTGACTCATCACGGACTAACTAACTAACTAAGTTATGCCGATTCTGCACAGTGGGGACATTGATGACCGTGACTGATCAACGTCACGGGCTTTTTACATTCGTGGGTCGAGCTCGAGGCTGCTTGCTAGTCTCTGACTTGTCTTCCTCAAGCCACAATGTCTTTGACACTCAAGCTTTCTTCCCTTGCGATTCGCACTCTTTCCAAGCCCATTGCCGTCAGTATAAATGCTCTGCCCACCATACCCCTAGGGCTAAGCTGACACTCCCGCAGAACCAAATCAAGGCTCAGGCTCGCGAACATGAGCGCTTCCGAAATATTTGTGTTTCCATGGCACAGGCCCTCCACCGATTCGATATGCGCCTTCGCTTAGGATCCATTCGCAATGATACCGCAATCCGCAAACAAGCCGAGGCCGCGGCCGAAGCTAAGAAACACGTCCCCACATCGCCAACAGTCAAAACCGAGGCCGCAACAAAGGCGGAGGAGGAAGCTCTTACAAAAGCCAAAGCTGCAGCGGAGGAAGCGGCAAAGCCCCACCATTACCGAATCAGACCCCTGTCCGAATCGAAAGCTATTGAGTCCGGCGCCAACTTCATCAGTGAATCCTTCCTTTTCCTTGTCGCAGGCGGCTTGATTGTGTTTGAGTCATGGCGCTCGCGTCGCAAGGAGAGCAATCGCAGAGAGGGCGTTGAGGATCGACTGGCTGAGCTTGAACAATCAGAGAAAATGGCCCGGGAATCTTTGGTAGCTTTGGAGAAGGAACTGCTGGCGCTCAAAGCTAAGCATGGAGAACTACCCAAGCCGTCACACCGCATCTTGCCTCGCCAAGTATGGGAGGTTGCCCCAGAGGTAGAGGAGCCTGAAGCTCCAGAGACATGGTGGACACGCATCACATCCTACATACCTTTCAGCCAAGGATCTCAAAGCTCTACCGTGGCCGCTCCTGCAGAGCCAATGCCAGAAACACAGGACACGAAACGTGCTACCGACAAACCAGCCACGCCAGTGCAAATCGTTACATTGAATGGAAAATCCTAGGCTAAAACCTAGTGCCTATGCTGGATTTTTCCAAACTCACTTAATACGTCTAGAGCGTTTTGAGCATTGCTACTTGGCGCTTTTCTTTTCTCTTGATTCATCTCTTCAGCTTGGATACCCTCCGCTCTCCATCGTCGCCTGGCGCCTTATACATAGACATCTGTCCATAAGCAGGTTTATATAATTTCAAATTCATCCCTTGAACCATGATTCTCAGCACTTATCCTGCAGTACGCAATGGTGTGGGACCGACTGTAGTTTGGGTTCTTACAAACATGATTGTGTGTCTTCCGATACTCGTGATATTTCCCCACCACAGCGCAAAACAACTATTACTACGAATCTGCGTTTAGATAATGTTGAGGCTCTCTACTTCGATGTTGGATTGGTCATTCTGGCTTTGCTAGTTAGCACCTCAACTAGTACTATATTGACATGCGGTTGCTGTTTTTAATAATAATCCATGACCAAGAAATTTATACCGGATCGATGGTTCATTCCGGATGATAGAAGACTCTTCGCCATGTGCAATCTAAATCAAGGGCTTTGGCTCTGGAAATGAACGAGGTATAAAATTTTGATTCTCAATGTCAGCCTAGAATCATACTGATCAAGAGGGGAAAAAGAATTACAGGATTGATTAGTGGCGCCTAACGGAGCAATACCACCTACCATACATATCCATCGGGATAAGAACGAGACCCTACTGTAGGATACTCCACTGCGAAGAGGCGCTTACGAATATGTCAGGCGTCAGTTTTCCGCTGGGTCCATGCCCAATGACGTCTGTGCTGCTATTCTTGACCCGCACGAGCCACAGTCCCTGACGCCCGTGCTAACAATTCTCTGTCAAAGTTTTTCTCTGATAGTCACCAGAGAGGCAAAAAAAAATAAGCCACTAGTCAGAGTCAGTAATCTCATACTTTTGTAAATGTGCCGATTTCCCGACTTCGTACCTTGTACTAATTACGTTAGTTCGTCGCCCCTGAGGCAGCAACGGAAGAGAACCATAGAATGCCCCGACCAGAACCCTTGGAGTGTGGCGCAGTTCTGCGGGTTGTTTGATCTAGTTTGTTCTGGTTGTACGTAAGTCCGCAGCCCGCACGCCTCCATTCCGATTCCCTTCGATCGTACACTCTGGCCCTTTGTCGCCTCAACACCCCTCCTCGCTACAATTCCTCTCTCCCAGTGAATCGGATTCACTTGGTCAACCTTGATTGATTGTACAAAATTGTTACCCGGGCGCGAGATCTCGGGAGCTTGACACAACTATGGTGAGTTGCTCATCATTTTTCCCCCCGGTGTCGCAAGACAAGGCACCCGGATTGATCTGGACTGACCGGCAACGTTTTCATTCTTTCTAGGGTCAGTCACGACGCCCTGCTGGCGGTGAGAAGAAGAGCCGCTTCGGGCGCAATAAAGCAGTCGCCGATGTAGGCGACGGCCGACAGACGGGCAAGTCGCAGGTCAAGAAGGCCACATTTGAAAGTTCCAAGAAGAAGGAGATTGGTGTGTCGGACCTCACGCTACTGAGCAAGATCTCCAACGAAGCCATCAACGAGAACTTGAAACTTCGTTTCGAGCATGACGAGATTTATGTAAGGGAGCCGCCGGCGCAGCCGACTGCGGGGCAGCCCGCAGCGCGGGATCAGAACGAAGGCTAATGGGCTTCATACCAGACTTATATCGGGCATGTGCTTGTCTCTGTCAACCCGTTCCGGGATTGTAAGTCGATGTGTGACCTTATTCTCGATCGTTGGGTTGCTAACAGAGGATTTCTCCTATAGTGGGTATCTACACTGATAAGGTGCTCGACTCCTACCGCGGCAAGAACCGACTCGAAGTTCCCCCTCATGTATTCGGTGTCGCCGAATCTGCATATTACAACATGAAGTCCTACAAAGACAACCAGTGTGTGATCATTTCTGGAGAGTCAGGTGCCGGAAAGACGGAAGCCGCCAAGAGAATCATGCAGTATATTGCCAGTGTTTCTGGGGGAAGCGATTCGTCGATTCAGCAGACTAAGGACATGGTGCTGGCCACCAACCCGTTGCTGGAATCATTCGGCAATGCGAAGACATTGCGAAACAACAACTCCTCGCGATTCGGCAAGTATCTCGAGCTTGAGTTCAACGCCAACGGTGAGCCGGTGGGTGCCAACATTACAAACTATCTCTTGGAGAAGTCTCGAGTTGTCGGCCAGATCACGAACGAGCGGAATTTCCACATCTTCTACCAATTCACAAAGGGTGCGCCGCAAAAATACCGCGACAGCTTCGGTATCCAACAACCACAGACCTACCTCTACACGAGCCGTTCGAAGTGTTACGACGTTCCGGGAATCGACGATGTTGCGGAATTCAAGGATACTTTGGATGCGATGAAAATGATTGGCATGAGCGAGGCAGAACAGGACAATGTTTTCCGGATGCTGGCGGCGATTCTGTGGATCGGCAACATTCAGTTTACGGAAGATGATTCGAGCAATGCGTCAATTACGGATCAGTCGGTTGTCGATTTCGTTGCTTACCTGTTGGAAGTGGATGCTTCCCAAGTTAACAAGGCTTTAACTATTCGTCTGATGGAGACCGCTCGCGGAGGCCGAAGAGGCTCGGTATATGAGGTTCCACTGAACACGGTTCAGGCCGTCGCAGTTCGGGATGCTCTAGCCAAGGCCATCTATTTCAATCTCTTCGACTGGATCGTGGAGCGTGTCAACCAGTCTCTGACTGCTCGTGAATCCATCGCCAACTCCATTGGTATTCTGGATATCTACGGCTTTGAGATTTTCGAGAAGAACTCCTTCGAGCAGCTTTGCATCAACTACGTCAACGAGAAGCTGCAACAGATCTTCATTCAGTTGACGCTAAAGGCCGAGCAGGATGAATACGCACGCGAGCAGATTAAGTGGACCCCCATCAAGTACTTCGATAACAAGGTCGTGTGCTCCCTGATTGAGGACAAGAGACCCCCCGGTGTGTTTGCTGCGTTGAACGATGCTTGCGCTACTGCGCACGCCGATTCGGGTGCTGCCGACAACACTTTCGTGGGCAGACTGAACTTCCTTGCTCAGAACCCCAACTTCGAGGGTCGCCAAGGCCAGTTCATCATTAAGCACTACGCTGGCGACGTGAGCTATGCCGTCGAGGGAATGACCGATAAGAACAAGGATCAGCTGCTGAAGGATCTGCTCAATCTGGCCGGCTCCAGCAGCAACCAATTCGTCCACACCATCTTCCCTAACCAGGTGAACCAGGACGATAAGCGCCGCCCGCCTACCGCTGGTGACAAGATCAAGGCCTCCGCTAATGATCTTGTTGCTACCCTGATGAAGGCACAGCCCTCATACATCCGGACCATCAAACCCAACGACAACAAGGCTCCTAGGGAGTACAACGAGGGTAACGTGCTTCACCAGATCAAGTATCTTGGATTGCAAGAGAACGTACGCATCCGTCGTGCCGGTTTCGCCTACCGTCAGACCTTTGACAAGTTCGTCGACCGATTCTACCTCCTCTCGCCCAAGACTTCTTACGCCGGTGACTACACGTGGACCGGTGATTCCGAGTCCGGCGCCAAGCAGATCCTGAGGGATACCAGTATCCCCGCGGAGGAGTACCAGATGGGTATCACCAAGGTCTTCGTCAAGACTCCCGAAACCCTGTTTGCACTGGAGGCTATGCGAGACCGGTACTGGCACAACATGGCCATTCGAATTCAGCGTGCTTGGCGCAACTATCTGCGTTACCGTATCGAGTGTGCTATTCGAATTCAACGGTTCTGGCGACGCATGACTGGTGGTCTCGAGCTCATCAAGGTGCGTGATCAGGGACACCAGATCCTGCAGGGCCGCAAGGAGCGCCGGAGAATGAGTTTGCTTGGCTCTCGTCGCTTCCTGGGTGACTACCTTGGTGTCGGCAACAAGGGTGGTCCTGGTGAGATGATCCGTAGTGGGGCCAACATTAGCAGTAAGTTCAAATGCCGGTCTTCAAATGAACAATACCTAATTTCTCATCATAGGCTCCGAGGACGTGCTCTTCTCTTGCCGTGGTGAGCTCCTGGTATCCAAGTTTGGTCGATCCAGCAAGCCCGTCCCTCGGATTCTGGTTTTGGTAAGTTTACTCAGTGAGCGCCGTTGTTAAACAGCGACTAACGGCTTGCTAGACTTCCCGTCATGTGTACATTGTGGCACAAAGTATCGTCAACAACCAGCTGGTCATTGCGTCCGAGCGTACCGTTCCCCTTGGCGCTATCAAGACCGTCAGCACTTCCAACTTGAAGGATGACTGGTTCTCGTTGGTGATTGGTGCTCAAGAACCTGACCCTCTGCTCAGCTGCGTGTTCAAAACTGAATTCTTCACCCACCTTTCCAATGCTTTGCGCGGCTCTTTGAACCTCAAGGTTGGCGAAAGGTAAGACAAAATTGCCCCTTCTATCCATCACAAGATTGAGTCCTGACGAGTGAACAGCATTGAGTATAATAAGAAGCCCGGGAAGCTAGCGTACGTCAAGGCCGTCAAAGACCCAGCAGCGGGTGCCGTCGACAGCTATAAGAGCAGCACTATCCACACCAGTTCCGGTGAACCTCCCAGCTCCGTGTCCAAACCCACCCCTCGAGCCAAGCAGGTTGCTGCTCGGCCCGTCACCAAGGGTAAATTGCTTCGACCGGGCGGTCCCGGGGGCGGTCCCTCGAAGCTATCCGCTGCGGCTCGCAAGCCCGCACCGGCTCCCCAGCCTTTGCCCCAGTCAACTCCTCAGCCTGCTGCTCAACCTCGGATCGTTCCTCAGCCCGTGGCTGCTGTTACGGCTGCCGCTGCCGCACACTCTCGCAACGTGTCGACCAGCTCTGTGAGAGCTCCTCCTCCCCCACCTCCAGCCGCACCCCCGGCCGCTGCTGCTGCTCCAAGGAAGCCCACTGCAAAGGTCTTGTACGACTTTAGTAGCGACCGCGCCAACGAATTGACCATCCGCACCGGTGAGATTGTGCAGATTGTTTCCAAGGAAGGAAACGGTACGTTTTGTCCCCCTCTCGTAATGACAAACATGAAAAACTAATCTCCCTCCCAGGATGGTGGCTCTGCATGAACACGACGACCTCTACTCAAGGTTGGACTCCCGAAGCCTACCTCGAAGAGCAAGTCGCTCCCACACCTAAACCCGCGCCTCCCCCACCACCGCCTGCTGCACCTCGCGCCACACCTAGCCCTGTTCCCAACGGCGCTGGTGCCGCCGCTGCTGCCAAATCCAAGCCCGCCCCGCCAGCACCGCCTGCCAAGCGTCCCAACATGGCTGGCCGCAAGCCCGCCCCTCCTCCTGCTCCCCGGGATAGCACTCTCAGTATGAACTCGGGTGACTCTTCTGGTGCGAGTGGCCGGGGAACACCTAACAGCACCTCGAACGTCAGTCTGGCGGGTAATCTGGCCGAGGCACTGCGGGCTCGGCAAAGTGCTATGCAAGGGAAGCATGATGATGACGATGAGTGGTAGAATATCCCCGATCTGCATGTGCAAGATTGTTCGTGATTCCGTTCTGTTGTGCTTCATGTACCTGGTCGATCGGTGCTGGATCCGTGTCTTCGTTTCTGCGCTTAGCGTTGGACCTTTTTTTTTCCCCCCTGCTTCTTGTCACACACCCTCTTGTTGTATCCGAATTCTGTTTCACTTCCCTCTCAACTTTTACGACTTTGTCCTGTGTGGCTGCGAGAAACGTTGATATGAAGTCCGATACATTGTTCATTGATTCTGGTTTTCTGGTGGATATCATCCCACGTTATTATTTTTCCTGTGCGTCATGGACTGGCAGCTTTTGACTGCCCCTGTCCTTTCTCGTCACTACCTTTTTTTCCATGTTCCCAAGACTCTTTTTTGGTTTGAACAGTAGAAGATATGCGATTCAAAGAAAGGAAATACATACTGTCTACAAAAGAAGTCATCCTTCTGATCAAATTGATTCAAATAAGAACAACATCCAGGATTATTGAAATGCAAGCCCCGATTCGAAGACATTCATAGCCCCAGACATAGATTTCCTTTGCTGGAACCCCAACCCTACCAGATATCACTCATTTAGGACAGGAACTTGCTAGCCAGGCTCATCAGTCCAGAAGCACCACCAGTGCCACCAATACCACCGCCCTGACTCTTCATGTACATCTTGAGAGCCATCTCCGCAGCACTGTTAACAGCAGACTGCTTATCACCAGACTATCCAAACACAAAAACATTAGCACTCCATTTCATGCCCCTCCCCAATAATCTCTTCAAAAAGGAAACTCCTCAAACTCACCATACTAGCTCCAGCCCCCTGCTTCTGCTCCCACAGATTCCCGGCCTGAGCCATCGCCAACCCAATCAACTTATTCTTATCCATGCCCCCATCACTCGCCCCACCCGAAGTAAACATCTTCAGCGCCTGCATCGCCGCCCCAGCACCCACAGTCGAAGAATCATGGCTGCGACCCTCCTCGTTGCCGCCCCCGTTGTACATGGCATTGTGCGCCTGCACCGCCTGCTGCTCGTCCACATCGATCCGCGAGGGGTCTTGGAATTGGCTCTTGCGCTCGTTGAGGAAGGAGAGCGCCGAGCTGAAGAGGGAGCTGTCTTCGTTGCTGTTGTGGGATTGGGCGTGCTGGGCCGCGCTGCTGAAGTCGTCGCCGCCGCTGTATTGGTGGTTGCCTTCGTAGCGGGTGTCGTTCATCTCGCCGTGGCGGCGGTCGTCGCGGCCGTAGGAGTCTCCGCCGTAGCCTTCGTTGCGGCCTTCGTTGTTGTAACCCTGGTTACGGCCTTCATCGCGGCCGTAGGAACCTCCGCCGTAGCCCTGGTTACGACCCTCATCACGGCGGCCATCCTCGTTATACGAGTTGTTATCGTTGTAGTAATCACGGGAAGCCATGATGGTGTAGATGGGAACTCAGATCGTGTCGAGTCTTGTAAAGTGGACGATTCAAAGGAAATGAATCTGGATAAAGGGGATGGAAGAGAGAGCAGCTGAGAGCTGAGAGCTGAGAGAGGGGTATTTACGTCGGCTTTGGGGATCGGAGTGGCGTGGTGGGGGTGTTTTTGGTTGAGGGGTGTGGGGCAGGGGAGATCGAAGCTGAAAATAACGATCTGCTGTAGCACTTTTTTTTTCTGGGTTGATGGGTCAGATCGGGTTTGGGGTTGCCACGTACGTTGCCAGGGGGGGGNTTGGTGCTTTATTGGGTGGTTCGTTTGATGTTCCTCCGGGAATGGTTTAGCTGTTTGAGTATGATATTGTGAGTGCTGGCTCTCGGAGACAATGGATATACCGGATTCGCTGCAGACACGTGGAGAACTCAGCCACGGCAGCCTTTGCCACGTTGTTTTTATGGGAGAATGACTTGGAGATAGTTCCTGGATTGCGATTCCAGGATGACTTCTACCAAGGACCAGTCATAGATGCAGAATTGAGGAATGGATTTGAGTCATTCTTTGACCTGAGATTTGATTCAAACAGCCAACAACACCGGGAAAACAAAACAAAGCATACAATGCTCAAGGAAGAGACCAAAAAAGCCCAGGGTATCAGATGCAGAATCGCAGACGGGAACAAAACCCAAAAGAATGAAAAAGAAGTGGAAATCACCCATTTACAACATAAACATCTCATACTCCTCGTCATCCAACGTCCTCAAAAACCTCAATTCCCGCTGCCTCCCACCAACCAAACACCTCTCATCCCCATCCAACTCCCCGTCAACTAACCACTCATTCGGTAAATCCGCCAACCCGAAGGCCTGCCCCCAATTCCGACGCTCGTATCGCATGAACCCGCCAAAATGCGGGTCCGTATTGGCAACCCAGATCGACCCACCGTCGGGTGCGTAGTCTGCACCGCCGATTTCACCGAAGAAATCATGGACCTGCCGGGATTGGTACATCTGCGCGTCGATAATGGAGATGCGGTCTGCGGGCTCGGCGCAGAGGAGGGTGCGGGGCCCGCCACCAACGGGAGAGAAGCGGAGGGAGCGGTAGCCGGCGACGTCGGAGTCGATCGTTTCTAAGGGTCGCCAGGTGCGTGCGTCCCAGATGATGACTGTTTTATCTTGGTTGCTAGTTGCAATGTGTCGCATGTCTGGGGACCAGGCGCACGCGAAGCCAAAGTCGCGGTGACCGCGAAGGGGGTGCACGGGACGACCGGTGTCGGCTTCGATGACCCATGCGTCGGGAGAATCGCCAATGACGACGCGGAGTCGGCTGTCTGGGGACGTTGCGGTGCAATTTATTGGGCGGGAGAGCTCGTGGTCGGAGAGGAAGATGTTTGTCTCGCAGTCCAGGACACGGAGGTGTCGGTCGTTCGAGGCGAAGACGCAGATGGGCGAGTCGCCGGATCGGTTACGGATGATGTCCACATGGTTGGTGATGCCGTCGTTGAAATCGGGGGTGACGAGCCCTTTTGCACCGGAACCCTCGCCGCTGATCCCACGTAGTGCGTACTCACCGCAGAACCCGCCTGCGATGGTAAGACCGTATGCTGATTTCATACTGGAAATCTTGACTGGACTGAGGAAGCCTGATTCCGGAGCCGGACGAGTTAGATCAATGAGGCAGCGGATGTCGTCAAGGTTCGGTGTCCACGAGAAGACTTTGGATCGGCTGGCAAAATGGACGGTGTGGTATCCCGGCACCGACATCAGATTGCGCAGCTGAAAGTGCTCAATGGTTGCCTTGTGCGCCGTATGCATAGATTTTTCTTGGAAAAAATTTTCGTCCTGGGGAAGTCGTTCGGCGAGGACATTGTGCGAGTAATCCAGGTTGTGATAAGAAGTGTACCATGCATCGCGGAGTGCCCGAGCATCCGACCGTTTCACCTTCAGTGTTTCTGCCCAAGGCATCTGCTGTAGATCATAGAAACGGCCTTGGAACCCGCGTGGGCGGTGGCTTTCTAGTGGTTGTTGCCAGCCCATCATTTTGGAAAGAGGACGGAGCTGAGGAGGGACTCTATTCTCGGAATGGAAACCATGGGGGATAATATTGGTATGGACCATCCAGCGTTGAATAAACTCATCGATGGTCAGATTTCGTTCGTATGCTAGAACCGTTAGATATGCTCTATTAGAGGTACTGGGGGTAGCATACTAGTTGTATGAATGATAGAGGCAGGATGCCATTCAGCCTCCTCTTCTGGTGGATTGTCCACAGGAAGTGGACCTGCGGGGGGAAACTCAGGTGCTAGCGCAGGAATTTGTGGCGGAGTGGGATTCGTCGGTTCGTAGCTGATAGTCTGGTAAAACTCATCCAGATTCACATCGTGCATTGCATTCTCGCGCGGTGAGTCCCCGGCAATATACTTGTGGTAGTAGTCTTCCTCGTCGGGGTAGAAACGGAGTAAATCATTCAGATCATCATCCGGAGCGGTCGATGGCGATTGGTGGTCCTCCTCCGGAACAGAGTCATAGTCCATGACCATATCCTTCCAAACCTGGTCATCCTGCCCTGTAATCGTCGCGATGTTCTGCCATGTTGCGGTTCGCTCGATCAAGTCATGTACGTTGCTCTCCATATCCACATCACTCTCACTCGTCTCTGAGCCCGACGACGAATCCTCCGATGCTGATGGGAAGCTGTCTGCGCCAGAAAGCGGCGAGTAAAGCCTACCAGCCGAAGGTTCCGAAGTATTTCCTCCTACTTCCCTGATCCCAGCGCCCCGGTGAAAAGTCGAGGGACCATCAGTCACGGCATTCACAACCTGATTGACGATAAAAGAGCCGCTCTCTTCGTTGACAGCGTGGGGATAATGTGCCACGGCTGCCAAAGCCGCAACCCCCACATTGTGCAAATGCAGATCCTCCTGCGCAGCCATAACGCCAGCCGTAGTCGCCAAGGTCGAAGCAGAGGAACCACGACGAACTTCCATGCTCAGAGCGGACGCAACGTCGCCATCAAGAATAGCGGACCTGCCGCTGGAGACGTCTGACAAATTACTATTCATACGTGGATGGACTGACACTCCAGCGGTATCACATGACCCATTGCGAGACGCAGGTGGCGAGAGATAATCCGACTGGCGAGGCAAGTCCGATGAGGGCAGCGTAGTTCCAGCGTTGCTGTCACCACGCATTGCCCGTCATGGAGGGTCGGAAAGGGCGCAGGTGTCTCCCGGTCCGGGGGAGATACGCAAATGGCGGGCGGGTGAAATTCGGAGAGAAGAGAGAAACCTAAATTGCGTTGGGCAAAATAAGAGCCCGCGATTCGGAACGGTCGAAAAAGTGATCTGTAGAGCGACGTGCCAGGCACGATGCAGAACAGAGGCAGATAATATTAAATGCCGGAAAAGAGAAAATGCCCGGGGGTTGATTGGCAGCGCGGGGTTACACAGGCGAGGACTGTTGGAGCAGAGGCCGGCAGCGTATCTATCGTCGCAAATCCCTAGATGGAGAGGAGACTTGTTCTTCTTTTCGTCTTCCTTTTTCTACCCTCTCTTCTCTGTCTTGACTTTCACGAGGGTTTGTCGGCTGGCAGCTGACTGATACGCACTAAAATCTCCCACAAGGTGGCTTACTGGGTCTCAGGCGCCGACGAAAGGACTGTAGTTGATGCGGGCGGAAGTAAAATGCCGAGGAAGAGCAACGATTGGAGACGGCGAGAAGTATAAGATGGTCAGATCGCACGGGCTGCAAAGGCGACCAGGGATGGATGAACGAGATAGCGGGGTGTGGGCAGGCAGCGCAGTAAGTCAGCGCAGGGGGGGATTGAATGAAGGGCGTAGGTATAGCGGAGAGGTCAAGTAAACCCGCCCGTACTCCGTAGTCTTGGAACGGAAACAGTCGTGTCGGCACGGGGCAAGCGACTACCAACGTGGCTTTCACGCCGTTAAAGTCTCCAAAGCGGAGGACCGGTGCTGGAGAGAGTTGGGGACTGAGCGCGCAGGCCGTTTTTTGGGGCTAGCGCCTTGAGTATTGACGGGTTCAGGAAAGCGGTAACTGCACTCGATGCGATTGGGAAGGGCACGTAACGAGGAAAGCAGGAAGTAGTTCAGCAGGCACCGACTGTCCGAGCGTACTTTTGCCGGATGGACATGACAGGTGTGAAATGGGGCGAGGGGGGAAAGTGGAGCGTCAAGATCGTGGTCGAGTGAGGGCTCAAATGATCCCAATTCTGGCGATGCGGTCCCAGGATACAAGTCGAGGCTGATGCGCGCGGGATGTAAGATGACGAAACGAGAAGTGGAGTGAGAGGGTGGGGGGAAATCGGCTGGGCGGTGGGTGGAAGACGGTCGAACGGGTTAGTTGATGGGAGAGGGGCAGTGCAGGCAGCTGAAGAAGGAAATAAAGATGATGTGCGAGTCAGGGAGTGAGAACACGGAGGTTGACCAACTCTCGTAGAAAAAAGAAGAGGAGCTGAGCTGCTGTTGATGCTTCCAACTACTGCACGAAGTTCTCAGAAGGTTGGACGAAGATCAGAGTTAGTCAGCAGAACCACGTTCCACCCGAGTCAGGTTGTTTGTCCCAACGGACTCGGCCGGTGATTCCTGGGGTAGCAATCCCACCGATCTACTTCGGAACCGTAACATTGAGAAAAATCGGAACTATGCATCCATATATCCATGTTTCCTCCGAGAACAAAGACCTCCATCTGCAATCCACGACTCAAACCATAATCTCTACTATCCCTGCATCTCCATGTAAATGATCATGCAGGGAGCGACGCATTGCAGATCCATCCTGGCCAATGCCCGGATGACCTGCGCTTTGATCCGTTGGGCACGCTTTGGGCCGGCGGGAAAAAAGGGTGATGTAAGCCACAGCATTGACCAAGCCCGAGGACCGGAGTTGATAGCCGGGTCAGCGTCAGCATCATGTAGGCCCGAGTAGCTTATAGTAGCCACAGTCCTCGTATGTGGCGAGATGGGAGGGGCGACGAAGATCGAGTGTACGTGCACACTATCGAAGTATATCCTGGCCATTGAATCGAGTCGTCAAATCAGAGACAGAACGGAATGTATTTCCGAGGGCTTGAAAGTATGATGAGAGATTATCTGTTCCCTCGAAGCACGGTCGATCATCCGCTACGGAGCATGTGGCGGATATCATACGATGTCTACATTTCCGCCATTGTTGGGCTGTCTAATGATGGAGACGGGAGGTAAGATCAGTCCGTGCATCAACCGACAATGCGGAAAAGATATTTATACAAGTCGAACCAGAATGACACCATTCTCGGGCAAAATAGACAGATCCAAAAGAAAAAAGCAATATCGATGTCAATTGGGCACGAACAAGCTGAAAACAGTAATCGCAGGTACCCGACCTCCAAATCGACGCATCAGTCAATGACCCGGTCCCTGTACAATCTCAAACGAACAAAAGGACGAAGTGAATGTGGGATAAGAAGGATCCAAAGAAATTGAGTCATACGTAAGACGTATGAAGCTCTCATCACTCGTGCAGCGCTGTACAATTGACGTACCCAGATTAGATCAATGTCCAGGGAGTCAAGTAAGACCACCATGATCCACAACTTCCAAAAAAAAAGCTCTGTAAATTAAGTACAATTAAATGCCAGATGTGAAATTGAAAACGCCGTCCCGAGAGTGATAACTGCTTCGTATGGGTAAATACGATGGTATGAATGATGGTATGTTAATGGCAGGAAATAAATCACAATTGAAAACAGACAAGGGGGGGGGGGGGGGGAGGGGGGTTCTTCCACAAAGGCAAGACATAAATGACAGACGCGCTCTAATAATCCGAGTACGCCTCATAGTTTCCAGGGTACCCGTTGCCAGAGGCATGAGTCTGCGGCTGGGTCCAGCCACCATTCCGCATACGACGCTCCTTCTCAAAGTCGCGCCAGCGCTTCATGGTGATCTGTGTACTGTCGAATTCGCCCTCTGCCGCACCGTGGCCCTTGTCTTTCTCGCCGGCTGTCTTCCGGGTATCACCCCAGGAGAAGTCGTCGAATTTCCAGAACGCGTAAGTGGGCAGGACGAAGTTCCAGATGGGAAGAGACAGCAGATAGATCAGCATCCAGAGAACGTAAACCAAACGGTGGGCGGTGACCACAATCAGGACGCCCGGGAGACCGAGGATCAGAGCAAGCAGGACCAGAGGAATGATTTGCACTGGCCTGCGGACGATGGAGGAGATGACGACGTAGATAGTGAACGCGATAGCGGCGGGGAGGACCAGAGTACCGATGAGCTCAATGAAGATGACAAATTGCATGCTGAAGCAGAATGTTCCGCAGAGATCGCGCACGAGCACCAGTTCCAGCAGATTGTGCACAGTACTGTTGATCCAACGACGGCGCTGGGAGAGCAGGACCAGGAACTTGTCGGGGACGACGGTTTTGCAGACGGCTTGCGGGACGAAGATCTGCTTGCGCTTGGGGAAGGTCTTGAGCATCAGCGTGGTGAGGTATCGATCCTCACCGAGGAGAAGCAAATTCTTCTTGTGCAGGGTGTCCACCACGTTTTCAGAGTAATGCTCGACAATGTCCGGGTTGGCCAGAATGGGCACCCAGTAGTTTTGACCACCCTTGGGAGCCTTGATACGGTACATGGAGAAACAACCAGGCAAACAAGTGACACCACCGAAGACGGACTCGAACGACTTGGCCTGGTGATGAGAAATGAAGTATCTACGAGGAAGAATAATCGTTAGTATAGGGCACGATCAGCAGCAGGCGATGGGGAGAACATACTCGAACACTTGAATCATCGTAACCCAACTATCGGTCTTATTGGCAATCTTGGTCTCTCCACATAGACCCATAACCTCGGGATCCTTGACCATGGCCGAAATCATGTGCGTCAAACTATCCGGGAATACCTTTGTATCGGCATCGACCATAAGAACGACCTCGTAGAAGTCCGGCGGGATACCCGTAACGTTCCACATGCCATTGAACATCTCAAACTCAAGCTCGGTCATACGCTCATCGAACATGACCTTCTGCAAGAAGGACATCAGAATAATCTGACTGTCACGCTTACCACGGTTACCGGGTTTGGACTGGGTCGCTTCGGCAGGGGTACCGCACTTGACGATAACCATCATCGGCACACGCTGCTGCTTCTCGGGAGGAATCATGGAGGTCTCGCCGAAGTCGTAGAAACCAGAGTAAACCTTAGCCATATTGTGACGCTTGGATCCAGTGGCCACGGCGACGTAAGAGAAAGGCTGGACTTCATCGGGGGGAACGACGTGGTCCTTCACCATGCCAAGCACGATTTCGGGAGTCGAGAACTCTTCACCTTTACCCTTGATCAGACCGTCACAGATAACTAGAATCGTCTTGTGGCTGTTGGGGTAGTCGGTCATGGCAATCGAGTCGAGAGTGGAGCGAATACCTTCCTCGCCTTCCGAGTAACAAGTAACAATGCAAAGAGCGTGAGCCAGTGGATAGCCGAACGGCTGCCAATCAGGTGGAGGTTGCGGAACAACGGATTCATGAATGAAGCCTGCGGGGCCGGGACCTTCAGATTCGGAGACGATAGTCGAAAATCCTGGTTCTTGTTGTCCGTGACCTACGAGGCTGGTTCGACTGGCGCCAGGGTTATGACGAGAGTTGTCGGCGCTGAGAGTGCCGCCACTACCGTTGTGGCTAAGTTTGTACATGGTGTTGCTGTTGATGGAACCGGGCATGAGTCGAGAGGTCGAGTTCTGGCTGGCCATGGTGACATATTGCCTGTTTTGTTTGCCGCTCCCAGTACTACCAACCACATAAGGACTGGAGAAACGAGACGTCGTGGGCAAGAAGCTGGCGCGTTTGCTGACACGCTCAGGAACTGGGGGATCTGCAACACGAGGACCGGGGCGATAGATATCGTTGGACCAGTCTTCGATCTGCTGATTGCGAGTTCGTGCATCGGAAGCCATGCTGGTAGTCTGCGCCGCGAATCTGGGCGCAAGGAACCATTGGAAGAGCAGGGCAAAGGCGAACTTGACGACGACGATGGACAGAATGAAGATCAAAGACACGTAGAGCACAACCTTGGAGGCAATACAGCCGACGGTATCCGTGTCAATGCTGCCGACCTTGATGATCTGGGTCAGACATTTGCCAAGCTTCTTCTGGTCTCCGCTTTGGAAGTAATAAGTGAGATCGACACCACGG